GTTTTTTTTTCAAAGGGGATTTGATTTTTCGAAGAAAGAGACCGTTTTGAAGACAAGAAAGAGATCTGATAAGAAAACTTCCTGAAGAAAATATATTGAGGTAAAATTATAATTTATTTTATTAGATTTTAATCAAATCGCAATTTCTAAGCCAAAAATGATCCCTAAATTTTTCAGTCTTTTATTTTCGGAACTCAAGAATCATCCCTTTTATTTTCTTCGATATTTACTCAAGCCCTTGTTTTGTCTACTGTGGCATCCGCTACTAGTTGGCAGTCAAAAGCGCCCCTCCTGCCAACTAGTAGCAGTGAGCGCGCGCCGCCGGGGTCCGGGACCGTTTTCCTTTCCCAGCAGGAAATCATGCAAATATCTCGGACTTTTTTGGTTGGTTCGAGACCCAAAAACCATTCCGGAAATGGTTCTTTTTGTAAAACTTCGAATTTGAACGGTTTGATTAGCGCAAATTCTATTTCCAGCCCCAAATTAGGCTGGCTTATCAGGCCGAAAAGCGCGCGGGGTGCCAACTAGTAGCGGAATTTCGCACTGCCAACCAGTAGCGGACGCCATAGTATTTTTTCAAAATCCCTTCCACTTTATCATTCTCCGCCCCAAGTTCTGCTAAATCATGAATCAAGTCGCTTGAAGTGAATTCAGAAGAGCATTTGTTTCAATAAGTGATCTAACTTTTAATAAGAAATAAGCTCGATATGCATATCTGCATTTTTTGCTTTGGGCGAATCGATCAAACTAAAATCTGACAGATCGTCGCCACATGACACGCTCATCCATCTCACTTGCAGCACATTCCAGACTTACAATAAATGCCATCCCTCTTCTCAGAGTCGTTTAAGGGGGTCAACATCGGTTTCAGACATTTTTTCAAACTGAAAAAAAATTTCAAAAAGCCACTATAAATATTAAAAATATAAAAAGCCGCGCTTAGTACGGCTAAACTTAATATGGTCAAAGCCGCAAGCGGCTTCTCGACGTATTTTATATCAAAAATAATACCGGTATTCTCCAGTAATATTCACTGAAAGAGGCATTTACTGGTATAAGTAATCAGATTTGGGCTCTCCGTTGACCGGTTAATCGGGTTGCTCGGGACAGCCGAAACCTTCCTCACCTGCAAGGCCTTTTTTCGTGGCACAAGCCGATAAGAAATTTCCTTACCTCTATCGCTAGCCAACACTCTTACTGCGGGCACTAGACTCTAGCCTGATAAAGGTCGGTGCGAAGGACTGAAGTTTATTTTAGTTAAATCAATGCTAAATTGAGACGAATTTTCTTACAAAATCAAGAAAAACGGTATTGATAATTTTGGAAAGCGCAAAACGGCTTGGCTTTAATTTTGCGAAAATCCATCACAATCGCTCGGATCCGCGGAGGAAGATCCATCAAGTCCCTTCCGACCGCGGTTACTCGAAAATTGGCCCTTTGAAGCACTTTCAGAGCGGAAATGACCGGTAGCGCAAACTTTTTTTAAATCACTGGAATTTCCAACTTCTTGAAAACTTTTCGATTTTTCAAGTTTTTCGATTATTTGCCCGAGAAAATCACGATCTTTCTTTTGGCTGAAATTTACACTTGATTCGTACGGCTCGGGAAATATTTGTTCCGCCCAAGATCGGCATTTTCCGATGACCGGCCCGGTCATTTGTATATTTCCAATAAAATAATCATCGCCTGGCTCGTCGATTCGGGATCAATCTTTTTTCTTGTTTTGCTCGTTGCTATTTATAGCGCTGGGAAATTCGCATCGTTCCTGTTTGAGCAAAAGCGCTTATCGCGTCGCTGAAATTTGCATTGGGATCAATCACTGCTAAATATAGACGGGGCGAAAAGCTGGAAAATCTGGGGCAATAAAAGAGCCGCTAATCCGCGAAATATTTTTCCGATCGAGAAATGAGCATCTTCAGCAGATTCTCGAATCAAAAAGGGCTTGGAAAAAAAGAACGTTAGCCGCGCTTTGTGCGGCTTTTTCTTTAGCTCGAAGCCGCAAGCGGCTTCTCGGAAAAGTTCAATGTCTTGAATAAAGTTTTAATCCTCCTTCATTTTGATTGAAAGCTGAATAAAAAATGAAGTTCCGTTCTATCAAAAGAGGCCTTGTAAATCGTCGAATTCAAAAGCAAAAGAACTGACAAATAAAGAAATCTTCAAAAAAGCTGGAGCTTCCCACGTCGCCCGGCGGAGCGCCAAATTTCTCATTTTGAGGAATATTTTGAACATTGGGCGAAACCTTTTCAAGCCGGTGTAATATCAAACAACGCACCTTTATTCAAAATCATCTCAAAACAAATTCGACGAGTACTAGTTCTATTTGTAGATTAAGCTTTTTTCTATTGTCAAAATACGTTCAATTTATTTTCAATAAAAAATAAGGTCAATAAGAGCAAATCTATAGTGTTGCTAGAAAATTGCATTTATGTTTGGCTTAGAAACCTGTGTAAAAACCTGAGTCAGGGTCTTATCATGAAAAGCCGCATAGCGGCTTTTTTCAAAACAAAGCCGCAGAGCGGCTTCGGCCAAAAAACAAGTTCAACAAATTAGAACAGCTTGACAAACCTGACTCAGGTTTTCACACAGGATTCCTGGCATTTATATTAATCACTCTCTTATGATGAAATTTTGTGATTTGGAAATTCTTCTGATTCGAATCTGATCCGCTATCCGCTCATAAAGCAATTAACCCGGTTATGCTTCGGGTTTTTTTTTGTATTTCTCGCGTGAGAAAACTTATGGTTCGAGCATATGCTCCGCCCTGAGCCTGTCAAGAACTATTTGACAAATTAGAATCAATAACGACCGTGCTCACTCAGCAAAGAGCAAATCCAAAACGTACAGTTAGGTTTTGAGCAGATGGCACGTAAAGGGTTTCTCGGTAATTGGGGAGAGAGGAGGCTAGTCAAGTGTACAAATTACTTAGCCAGGGTTCATGGGCCAGAGGGCCGAAAAGGGGATTGATTTCGCGAAGGTAAATGGCAGATGGTTTATGTGGACAGTTTGAGTTTACTGGACTTGATGATAATTTAATTAGAAACTACTAACGCTAATTGATTAATCTCTTTCCTTTGAAGTTTTTCGGAAGAAATATAACAAAGTGACGCCCTTATTTTTATACTTATTTCAAATAAGTTATTTGGCTATATTTGGCGAGCTTGAGCCTTAAAATTTTGACTTTCGATCATTTCCTTTCCAATTTTTTCCGGGGCCAAGGTGTGAGGATCCTATTTTCGTAAGTTTCCCCCATTTCCTGCGCTCATAAAAACGCGCTCGAGCCCGTGATGGATCAGTTCCCACAGGGTGCGATTTGCAAACACACTGCCCCTAGTATTTAGTCGAGTCGGTGAATCCTACATGCGCGTTTTGAATCAGCTCCTTAAATATAATTTCGTATAAATATAAAATGAATCAATTGACATTTGGGCGACAGGGCGTTTTTATTCTTGCCCTGGCGGAGCTCCATGGACTTGTCGATAATCTGGTAACATTTGTGGAGACTTTTGAGTGCCAAGTGCTCTTTGGACAATTGAGGGTTCATAAAAAGAAATGACTCTCTTCTATACATATTTTTTGAAATCGAGAAGCCGCTTGCGACTTCGAGAAGATTTGTGAAAGCCGCGCTTTGCGCGGCTTCATTACTTGGCTCGAAGCCGCAAGCGGCTTCTCGACTGCTTTTGATTTTAAAAAATATTTGGAAGGGTAGTCTTATAATTTGACTTTTCTGTAGGGATGATGAAAATACAAGAAAAAACATTCCAGGGCGTGTATTCGTTGACGATGTTCCACTTAGTCGCGCCTGAATTCAGCTGCATTCGGCGATTTTGGACGCTAAGTCGCCGGATCATCTGGCAAGCGTGTCCCCTTATTTTTCTTATCTCGACTCATTTTGGATTTTTATTTATTATCATTTTTCTTCCCCGGTTTTGCGGTTTCGAATCATATTTTGATTCTTGGCCGCAGCTTGAGCTGGCAAGAGCTTGTGGATGTTGCTGCTCCTGCTCCTGCAACATGTATTAGATAAGCAAATGACACGGAAGCGTTTTTGGGCGAAGATAAGAGCGCCCGGCACCGCCATCTAGTGGTCAATCTTCCGGAGTTGAATTGGGCTATCGAAAGATATTAAAATGATAGGACAATGGAAATTTGTTTTACAGTAATTTCCCCCTCCAGATTTGGATTGCACAAAAAAGACCACGATGCGCGAATGGGTTAGATTTCTTTATTGACCCAACTCGCAGCGGATCATCCCCTCTTGCCAAATAACAACAACAAAACTCTCCTCGTAACACTATTTGCCCATCAGTTGCTTGTTTGCAAAATCATCGTCGTCAAATATTTGCTCTTCAGCTCATCCCCATTTTCCGCGATTCCGCGATTTTTCTTCCCAGTCGCTTCTTGCTGGGAGAAAATGCAGATGACTAGTGGATCGAGTGTTTCTTTTGTTAGGGGGGAGAAAATGGCTGAACCAACATTCGGAGAATCAAATAGATTAGCTAGGGAGGTGTATGGATGATTCTTGTTTTTCCAGTTGACATTACGTCGAGGCTTTATTCAAGAATTTTTGTACAAGAGAATGGCAATGAACAAGTTTTTTAGGGGGCTGACAATTTAACCAGCGCCACAAAAATGTCCATTATGCGCGTTTGAGTTAACTCTAAAAAAGCGTAGAATTTTAATTAGTCTACTGAATATTTCTCAAATACGGTCCCTTCAAAAGAGCAAAATTCCCCCCTCTTCTGCCAAAAACTTTTCAAGAACATAAATTCCTTACTTCAAAGGGTCCTTTTGTTATTTTCCGCTGACGTTTTGCTTTTGCGCGAGTGACAAGTTGAGCACTTGGCAGATTTGAAATTCACTTTTGACGATTATTATTTTAGACTTGCGGAGAAGAAAGCGATCATCTGACAGGGGGCGGAAATTCGCTGAAATTTGGAAAAGAAACAACAGCAGAAAAAACAAAAAGGGCGTCGTTTTGAAGCTGCTCTGAAAGAAAAATAATGGAAGTGGATGAGACAAACTCGAAACCGGATGATCAAACGAACCTTATTCCAACAAATAACGGTAAGAGAATGGAAGCGATTTTTAAGGATCTACCCTTTGATAATCAAAATTCTTCAAAAAAGCTTTTAGATTCTTTAAAAATCCCTAAACTCCCTTCAAACTGATAAGAAATCCCCTTAGCGGGGCGTCACCCTATCGTCTGAGAAAATCTCTGTTTACCACTTTGCCCCCTCCCTTAGACCAAAATCACCGAGCGCGCGGAAAAATACCAATTGGTGATCTTATAAAACAAACAGACCGGTTATCTGACCGCAATACCATGCCGCGGTCCCTTTTTGTGTCCGAGTGTGATAAGCCCAGAAAGGTCAACTGCGGCTGATCCCAAGTCGGACGCGCGTTTATCCGCGGCGATTAGCCCCGATGACCGGTAGCTTCTATTTCCAAGCGGGCGAAAATTTGAAGCTAAATGTCAGGCTTATTTGTAACCCAGGGATTTATTTACAAGAATTAAGGGCGTCAACGCTCAGCTTAGAAATCTCATTCATTTCAAATCATTTTTGAATGACTACCTCTTTTACAGTAGGGAAACCCTTTCGAAATTTCTGGCCCTGGTTCAGATTTTTGCTAACCTGATCAGTGATCAATATCCCCTTTGCTCTTACCCGCTTAATTCAGCAGATCGAACTTGCTCTCGCTGTTTTATGCACTGAAATCGTTTTCAAAATTCGCGGCATCCCCTTTCTTCTCCCGTCTTCTCCCGCTCCCCAAAAGGCCAATCCGGCTTACCCCCTGTTTTGATAAAGAAAATTTAGCGCAGCCTTCTTGGCTCTTTCCAATGGTGCAAAGGTGCAGCCACGGGCCAATCTGGCGCCGGAGAAAATAAAGAATTATCGCTATAAAATAAACACTCTTCTAATTACCGTAAATTATAAAATTCAAAATGCCAAAATTCAATTATTTCTATTTTAGAACCAGTTGATGAAAAAACATTCGACGAGTCATCTTCTTCGGAGACTTCTCAGCCTCATTCTTCGGGATACAACTCGCATGGAGATGCATCAGAAGAGCCGATTCCTCCAGGAGTAATTGATAACTTCGTGGATCATCGAACTATACAGGTAAATTAAGGGTGTACCTGCCCTTAGTCAAATGAATGGATTTCTTAAAATATAATTTATCTTTTGATTTTTCTTTTTTGAAAAAGCCGCAAGCGGCTTTTTATTTATAGTTTCTTCTCTAGAACCCGTCAAACAACGAGTTTTGTATCCAGATGTGCGTTTCCTTAATTCTATTTCCCCCTTCTTTCTTCCCAAAACCGCCGGATGTTTTGAGCTCCCTGCGACTTACCGACAAATTTTCTTTTTGTATTTCAATCCGGTGATCCGGAAATTTTCCCCTGTCCAGCCGCGAACGACGATCATAACAAAATCGCTTTGTTTAGCCGACAGATTATCCAGCGTTGAACTTGGAGCGGGACAACTACTGGCGCAACTCGCAAAACTCATTCTCGCACTTTATTCCCGCGAGCAGGATCAGCAACAGGCCGAGTCCAGGTGAGCGGAAATTGGGAATGGGGAGATAATATTTCCCACAGGATGAATACAGCGCGATCCGGAGGTGATTTCTAGCGTTTTTAGAAAGCAGGATTAGAGTACTAAAGGGAACATGACTAGCAGAACAAAATGACTACTGATTGAAACAATTTTTGTTAAGAAAATATTTTTCTAGAGCTCCAAAATTGTCAAATTCTTTCAGAATACAGGGGTTAAAATTTGTCATTTCTGGTGCTGAAATTCTATTTCCACTTTCCTTCTTCCACTTTCGGGAACTTCTTTGAAGCTCAAAGAACAAGTTGAAATTTTGAATCGCCAATCGGTTTCTCATAGAAAAGAGGGCAGGCACTTGAAAGGATGAAGGATGGAGCACCCGATCTGCACTTGGACGGGGCTCAAGAATTTGTGCACTTTCTGTCACGTGACAAAGTGCGATTGGCCTTTCCCACAATTGTAAAATTTCTTAATTTCGAATTCAAATTTTCGATCCATCAAACAATCTAACAAAGCATAATCTGTAACCTAAACATCCAAACATCGCAAAATCCGAATAGTCGGAAACCAAGGTTGGCCGCCATCCAACGTAAAGTAATAATAACAAGCAAAAGAGGCTAAAACTAGATAAGCTAGACAATCCAACACGCGTTAGTCGACAAAAAGCTTCCGTTTGGGTAATTTTTGGCAGCTGACATGAACAGAATTTGTTCGGAAGGACGATTTGTCTAGTTCTTTTTACAAATGGGCTTACGTAAACTTCAAATTTGCGCCTGTAGAATCGAAATTAAGGGCTTCCCTTTTATAAATTTAAAAGACAAAAACGATGATCCATCATCTTCACAAGTGAAAGTTCCTGAATTGAAAGTGTTTGAGCTGAAGAGCCGCTTTATGGCGCTAGAGGAGCTTTCTGAATGGTACTTTAGACACGCACTTGAAGCGATTTCAAGTGAACTTTGATTCTGTAACGAGCCAAAAAACCGCTTTCTTCTTGATTCCCTAATACTATATTTTATATTTTCAATATCGAAATGATCAATAAGCAGATAAACGTCTCCCGAGACGCGTTGCGAGACAGTAATTAAGAACGATTCAACCTTTTAGAAAAAATAGAAAAGGAGATATAAGTGTAATGAGAAATGAAGATTTTAATATTTGATGGGTTCTATCACTGGACGGTGGCCAGCGCCCTGTCGGCCATCGCTGAATTCGTCTCCATCGGCCTGTCGCGTTTGATAGTTTTCATGTTGAGTGATATTACACTGTATATATGCATGTACAGACAGTTTTCTTATACAATGAATTCGAAAAGAGCCCATCGAGGATACAGTTGAAATATTGGCAGTGCCTTTTTCAAAAAATAAAGCTGAAAAAGGGTTGAAAAAATCAAGCCAACTTCAATTGCATGTAATTATATTCGGTCTAGCCCCATTTTTCGCCGGTCTGAGCTGCCTCTCGGAAGTGAACACTTGACAGGGAGTGTCTTGAAAATGAAGTTTCGGAATTCTTTTACCAGATTATGCAAAAACGCGTGCATCACCTCCTTTCTATTTGGAATTCTAGAGGCCGCCTCGATTGGTGCCTTTTTGTCGCTTTGGATTATCGCCAATTTACCAGTAGTATTTCCATTTTCAGTATTTTTGGAGGACGAAATATACAAAGGGCGATTTCCGTGGCTTTTTTGGCAATTAAAGGATTCAGAACGGCGTTTTTTGATCATTCCATTTTCGCCGACTGAAGACCAAAGAGTCTCGATCCATCAAATTTCGCTGTTTGTCCAATTTTAAGGTGCTTAGGCTTCAATTTTCAGTAATTTGGCGCCTTACACCGGCTCGGTCGAACATTAAATTATTTTGACAAGTTTAAAACTTTGCGGCAGCGCAAAACTTTTTGTTTATGCACCTCGCGAAATCATATCGAAATCATTTGATAAGCAATTTTCTGTATGAAAAATTATTAGATACGCGAATATATCATCTTGATTAGCCGAATTTAATAAACTACCGTTGACCTTCTCCATATGCCCTTTCTTCATTTCTATAACCTGGCAGGTGTGTGCCTAGATCGCTCATTTTCCATATGCCAGAATATAAAATAAATATATACCAAGAGTCACGTGATTTTGTCAGGTTCAATCCATCACGCTTATTACCAAGCAAATCAATATTTTACTTCAAGTTTTAGACGGAAATGCTTTGATCCGGGCATCCGTAATCGCAGATTTTGCTACTGATATCGAATTTAATGAGCACTTACCTTCATATCTCAAGAAAACAGAAGAATTTCAAAAATCAAGAAGAAAAAATCGACAAATTAACCACTAAATTGGCCCAAAACTCAAGTATCTTTGGATAAATTTGCACATGAATAATTTCCAATTAAGGGAGGAGCCTCAAGTACACCACATTAAATAATTGACTCCGGTTTTTTTTCTAGCGGTTTTTTTCTTGGCGCCCCTCCAGCCGAGCAAACTGTATTTTGTCCTCAATTAAAACTTAGGCGGGATGATGCGCTTTTTTAATTTTCTGGAAAATTTGGGCTGAAAATTAACGCTTGACACCTTGATCCGCTTTTTGCGAGAAAAAGCACTTGGCGAACACAGCTTTGACGGATCCAATTTTGACACGCGCAGAGTTTTTTTCTTGGAGGAAAAAAGCGCATTATTGAATTAGATAAACAGATGTTTGGAGAAACGGAGGAAAAAATTAGGGCTAATGGAATTTAAAATTTCTTTCAGCTTTTATTTTCGAATTGAAGCTTTGAAAGTTCCTTTCGGAGAAATCTAACCGTCTGCGGTTTGTCCGCGATGCTCAAAATTGTGTCCTAATCCGCTGAACGGGACTAGACGACACTATGTAAAATCAAGGAACCGCTCAGCAGGTGCGCCTCCGAGAAAAAATCCCGAGAGATATCGACATTCCGGCCCAATTACCAACAATTTTCGCTCGCTTATTCAATGTACAGTAGGGTGCAATCAAATAAGAGGCAAAAAGGAAGCACTGATTAGCTAAGAAAAACATGCGTGGAAAACCCCTTCATTACGAATTGAGCTGCAAAAGTGAGAAAGAGTGACACCGCTTGGCACCGTTTGAGCTCTTTTTCTGGCACATTCACTGACAATTAGCCTGATTAAAATTGATCACCAGTGACAGAGCCACATACAGTTCGCTCATATCACCATCACCCGCGGGTTATACACACGACTCGGGAGGCGATACAGTCTTTGAAGAACGAATATCGAATGGATGGATTAGCTCCGCTGAGATTTCAAAACTCTGAAGCATCACGCTGTGTTCATCCTTTGTGGCAGTTTTCTGCCGTGTTTTGAATTTATAAATTTAAATTGAACTGGGAAAATAGAATCATAAACGAAATCTCATTTCATTTTTAGCTGTGGCGAGACATAATCAGCAGAATCAGATGTACTACGACTCGATTCCACCAGAAGCAAGAGGTGAGTTTAGCTTGTATGAGTAGAAATTAAAATATTTTGAATTTAAACAGTTTAAAATAATAGTATTTTAAGTAAAATATAACTTGATAATTATCAAATCATTGTAAAAGTCAAGGGGTGCAATACTCCAATATTCGCTGTACCTAATTTTTAATTTTCGAATTTGGCTTTCATAAAAAAAGTTTTTTGATAAAAGTCAAAACCATTTTATGGTTTCTTAAATTTCAATTTTCAGATCATTCCCGCGAGCAAATGACCTGCCAGTCGATCCAGTCGCTCAACGGAAACAATCGCCAACAACACATGTGGACCGCCAGATCTGGGTAAGCTTTATTTTCCTCCTCCTCCGGGTCATCGAAAACACATGTTAGATAAGAAAAAATTCCTTCGCCCCCTAAATAAAAAATAAGTTTTTCCGTCGCGCATTTTCTCCAGATTAACTGACGATAAGGTCAGTCGCTACTCAGCGCGGCGTGAAATTTCCAAAATGCCAACTCGCCAATTGTATTGGGTTTTGAAAGAGATGGGATGATTCAATGCCAACACGGCGGAGATCGGCCAAGTACCCAAAATAACCACTAAGCGCAGCTGATTCACTAAGACGCATGAAGTTGGACAAAGTGGGATTGGAAGAATTAAGACATTAGAGTTGTTAATGGCTCTGCAGCTGCGTGATTCATACGCTGATTTCTAAACTTACCTTTTAGTGCGAGTTACATTCCGTCACACTACGCCCAGCCGAATCATCTGTCCGCATCTGCCGGCTACTCCTACACTCCAAATCACGTCCGGGTCTCATCAAACTTGACCGATGTCAAGTCACAGAAGAAACCGGACAAGTCGGATAAATGTTTCAAATGGCGCGGTCTCATTGCGATTCTCTCCGCCGCCTGCATAATTTTACTCCTCCTTGTTGCTGTGGTCAGTTTCAAGTTTCTACTACCCGCCGCAACGAACAGCCCCTCGGACAGTACTGGAGTCACTGTCGGCACGGGGGTCAAAATAATTGACCCAGCGGTTTCCTGCTCTTCAAAATCTCCCGTCTGGGATGCGACAAAGGAAATCTACGTTGGCTCGACGATTGAAACGCTCATTACGCCTGAATCAAGCGTTCCAATTGTCCTGTATGTTCCGGAAGCTGGTCACGTGAACTTCTTTGCGAGAACAGATCGGCCTGACTGCAGCCTCGTCCTTATGGCAAGACAGACCCTGCCTCCAAAACTCTCTGCTCATGACTTTTTGGAATCACTTTCTGGCGCGTATGCCACTTCCACCGCTGAGAATTCGATCATGTACGAGTCCCGCATTTCCCGAGGATTAGCTGCTGGAACTTGGTATCTTCAGCTAACTAACGACGGGTCCATCACTTGTCAAGTCAGTCTGAAAACCGAAACGAGCGACAGTTCGTGTCCAAATGACTGCTCCCAAAATGGAATTTGTTTCGAGTCGAAGTGCTCTTGTTTCGGTGGCTGGACTGGAAGCGACTGTAGCATTGGCATTTGCGCGCCAGTTTGCTCGGGGAATGGAGTCATGGCTGGTTTTATGGACGCTTGTGTCTGCTACCCTGGCTTTTCTGGAGAAAAGTGCGAGATGAAGTCTTCAGAAAAACAAGAAACTTGCGAAAGTTCCTGCAAAAACGGCTCATGCGAAGGAGAAAAGTGCATCTGCAAAGCCGGCTTCAGCGGAGAAAACTGTGAGACGAAAACATGCCTGAACGATTGTAGCTCAAACGGCGTTTGTGTTTCAAATGGCAAGTGTCGCTGCTTCAATGGCTACTCAGGCGCTGACTGTAGTTTTAACAACGCGGCGGATGAGAGCTCCGAGTCGTGCTCGGGCAATGGCTTGTTGATTCAAAACGAGTGCTTTTGCGATGACGGTTTTACTGGCCAAAAATGCGAAACAAAGACGCTAAACGAAGAAACCGACGAAAACTGCTTTCCCAAATGCGAAAATGATGCTCGATGCGTTTTGAAAAACAGCGATTGGAAATGCGAATGCAAGCCTGGTACAACAGGTGTCAACTGTGGCGCTAAGGTCGAGCAAAATTGCATCGACGGCTTGGATAACGACAACGATTGGCTTGTCGATTGCGAGGATCCCGACTGTTGCTCGAATCCAGCATGCATTTTTTCTTCTGGTTGCAAAACGACTCTTCATAACTTTGAAGTTACTGGGGAATCAACCACGGAAAAGATCCAATCGTTGGCAAAACAGCTCAAACTTTCCTCACGATTTTCTTCAAACGAAAAACTCGCTGTTCTGACGGGAATTGTCGAGGATGAGAATCTTCAAGGAATAAAGGGCGTCTCTGTCAAGTCGAGAAATGGAGAAGTTTTCACAGCAGCGACGGGGCATTTTATTCAAGTCCAAGCCTTTGGGTGCGAGATTTATACGTTCGAACGAGCTGGATTCAAGGAACGAGAGGAGATGATATGTACATTTGAAAAGATCAATTATCAGGTAAATTTTAAACTCAAAAATAAGATTCTTTACATAAGAATTAAGGCTCCTCTTCGACTCTCCTACAAAAACTCTCCAGCCGAGTTTTTCCGTTTACCTCCTCCAGCACTCGTCACCATTCAATCAGACTTCTCAACGAATCTTCTCCCGAATGAGTCATTGTCTGATGATTTTCCCGTTGATCTGGCAACGCGAAAAGTCAGCTTCTCGTCTGAAATTCTCGACGGAACGCTCAACCTGCGACTCATGGAAGATCCAGATGAGTTCTCGATGATCTACGTGACTTTTCAGCCGACAACTCCGCAAGCAAGAGTTATCATTACCTGTGACGGAGCGGAAGTTTTCTCGGAGACTTACTTCAAGCTCGAACTTGGAAAATCGAAACAGATCATCGCCGATTGGAACTTCTCGAACATCTTTCAGCAGACATCGAAGTCGATCGGAAGCTGCCAAATCCACATTGGCTCTCGATACGACCTCGAGAGTGAATATACTTGGTCATCATCTCGCGTAGCACTGGTCAAAGCTCAAGAGCCCGATGTCAAGCAAAAGACTGCTGTCGCCAATTTCGTTCCCGACTTCATCTCATACCTTGATCGCGAAAACGGAATCATCTTCCATCAGAAAGACAACAAAATTCAGCGATTCTCCATGCAGCTAGAAAAGGAACTGAGTTCAACAGTTAAGATACAAGTCGATGATGTTTTCGAGAGTGATATCAAGGAGGAGATCATCGTCTTCTCCAAGTCAAGTGGCATCTTCTCAAAGTCCTCGACGAATTCTCTGAAACGCTTGGTTCATTTCCAGAACGCTGTTGGAATATCGAAATCGCCACTCTCACGGGACAACACCTTCTTTGTCTCCTTCGCCGACAAAATCATGAAAGTTCAAAAATGGCGCCAGACTCTTGTTTACCGCAATTCTGGAAATGAAAGGATTGGAAAAGTGGTGGCACTCTCTGATGATGAGCTGATCTTTGTTCGTGGAGAAAACGAGCTGGTCAAAATTTCAAACGGAAAACTCTCTAGTTTGTCTAGAAAAGATGGCCTTGAAGAACCATGCCGTCGCGACAATGACTTCCGTCGAATGTCTTCGATCAAATTTGAGCGAATCAAAGATCTTCAGTTTGATCCATCGACGAAACAGCTTCTCATTCTTGACGAAAGAAACATCTGGCGAGTGAGTCTTCGATCTGATGACAACTGGACGAGGAGAGTGATTTCGTCTTCTTGTGGCGAAGTGAATGAAGTTCTAACTGGAGCTTCGAATCTGCAAATCGGGAGCAATTCTGCCGTCCTTATCTCAAATCAGCAGCAGGTCTACGAGCTTCTTGGCGACTCAAAGCTAGTTCTATTCCTTGGAAGTTGTACTGATGACGTCTGCGATACGATTTCATCGACATCCGCTGCGAAGTTTGGCATGATTCTCGCTTTCAGAAGAATCAATGATGGATTCATCGTGGTCGATGAAAGCTCTGGCGCCGTTCAAATCTGGTCAGTCAAACCAAGCGAACCGACAAAAAGCCCGAGTGGATACGAAGTCGGTTTCCCAGACGAAAATTTGATTCGCGAATATCTTCCAGATGGTCGACTGGTTGTCGTGAAGGATATCTACACAAGGAAGACCCTCAAAATCCTGACTTACAAAAATAACCGCCTTGAACAGATTGCTGATCACTACAAAAATACCATCAAGATCACATACGAGTCAAACTCAAGAATCCTCCTTCAGAACTCGCACAACCGAGCAAGAGCGCAAATCATGCTTCGGGGAGGACGCCCGGTCAAGATTGAGGACGAAGATGGTTCGACAGAGATCAAGTGGGGCCCGGATGGCAGTCTCATGGAAGTTGGGCCTTATTACCTCACTTACATCAAGAGCCGTATTGCTCGAGTGTCTCTCAATAATTTTACCGTTGATTTATCAACAGTATCTTCCTTGAGCGCCTTGGAGAGCTACTCTGTGACTGAAAAATGCACAACTAGACTGGGCACAGTCCAAGTTGGATCCTACACTGCTATTCTTCTTGATTCAAACGGCCAAGAAACATCCGTCGCTGCTGATGCAACTGTCTCGACATCTTCTTCTGGCTTCTGGAAGAACATCGAAACATTTTCCAGAGATCCAATCACATCACAGCCCTCTCTCTTTGGTCTTCACGAAAGCCGAGGATTCACAAAGATCCCAGATCGAACAACCGAATGGATCTCCACTCTCTCAAACGAGCGGAAAAACCACGTGACTCGCATGCGTCGCGAAGGAGCAACACTCATGAGCTATGAGCTGGACTACTCGAAATCAAAGCCAAGGGGTAAAACTTACGATCAGCTGAAAACTTTCACTGGTACACTCGATCTCGACCCAGCTGGAGCCATCGAACGCCTTGCTCTCGAATACTCCCAAGGCCAAGAAGGAAACAAGATTGAGTTCTCATACGCAAGTTCTGGAGCTCTTGTTGGCTGGAAACAGCTTCGAGATGGCGTCAAAATCGGAATGAGCTTCACACGCGACCGGGGCAACAACATCGTTGAAGTCAATCCACAATCTTCAGCTCCTCTCAGAGTCGAGCACAGACGTAATCAGCTGAAAGTCACAACCGCCGCAGGAAGCACCCATGAACTCGGCTACAAACTTGGCAATTCTAAATGGTCCGAGTCAGAAATCACACGACGATATCCCTCTGGTCAAGAATTCAGCCGGGTCCGCGAAGGAAAGACTTCGACCTTCTCAAGAAATGGAATTTCGTTTCTGTCAATCGACGATCAGGGTCTTTATCGAAAAATCACAAACACTGTTGATGGAAAATCGTACAATACTGTCGAGCTCTACAGCTGCTCCAGTGAAATTCGATGGCGAAAATCTCCTGTGGAATCGGTTCGTTATGAAATCAACGAAGAGAAGTCCAAGATTTTCTTCGACGATTCTCAACTCTCCATCGAATCTGTCAAGTACAAGAATCTTTTGTCCTCAGAGACGATAAGCGTCAGTGGAACACCAAAAATGGCGGTTACGTACGCTTACGACAGCTGGCATCGAATCAATCGTGTTATTCTGGAAATTCCTGGCTATCGCTCGGTTAGCAGAGTTATTGAATACGATGGAGACCAAGTTTATGCGATTGACAAATTCTCATTCTTCGCATTTCCAGAAAAAGCTCTCATCCAGATCTCCTCCGCAAATCCTCGAATGAAAATTCTTCGTAAGAATCATCGCTCAACTGGCCGTCTTGTTGCATCGCAGTTGAAAATTGCCGACGAGCCAAAATTCCAGAGCCAAATTGAGTACAATTCCCTCAAACAAGTTCAAAAAGAAATCGTCGAAGTCCTCAGCACAAATAATGAAACGATCTTCAACACAGAGTACGATCAAGATTACAAGACAACGAAATCTGGAAATGGAGAAAAATCCTCTATCGCGGCGAACTTGCGGATCAGCTCATCTTTCCAAATGGAAAGCTCGTCCCGATCGGCCGAGATCATCTTCATCGACTCACCAAGTTTGGCGATATCCGCGTCACTTGGACTGGCGCTAATCACATGACCCTGGGCTCGGATAAGATCGAGGTCAATTACAAAGGTCAACCAGTGAAGATCAACGACGATAGAGTCCATTTTGATTCTGAAGATCGACCCCGTGCGCTTGGGACGAACCAATTCTTCATTTTCAATGGCGATCAACTCCTCTATCACGTCAAATCTCGCGACATCATCGAGTACTTCTACGATCCGTCCGGACATCTCTTCGCGATCGCTCAGAAAAGTACGCTCTCTCCCCAAGTCAAGTACTTTTACGTAATGACGACTGGGGAAGGCTCGCCAGCGATCATTTTTGACGAAGACGGAAAGGTCGTCAAAGAAGTTCGCTACGGTGCTTTTGGCCGAATCGCTTTTGATTCTAACCCGAAGTTCGAGATTGTCCTTGGTTATTCTGGAAGACTCTGTCTTACCGCCAATGTCTGCCAGACAAAAGACAAGCTGTGGATTCAAACCCTGACAGGCGAATCCTTCAATTTCGCCGGTCAAATCGCCGAGCTTGAAAAACTAGGCGAAATCGACAGATCGAGGAGCACTCTCCCAAGCAACAGCTGGTGGCCTTACTCTGCTCCCGAAGCAAGGGAACTCATCAATTCGAAACGAGATCGCCTCGTGGTCGACTTCTTCAAAAGCATCAACATCCCAATAATGCCTGAAGAATCTGGACGATTATTTTAGGCTGTAAAAACATTTTTTGTATATTTCTGCCCTTCACGATAACCTATCATCTGACTATATTGTACATATCAAGCTTGCATTTGAATGACTTAATTCTTCACATTCTCAACTGCTCGAGCTATTTATTATTTCCACATTATTACTTTTTTGAGAATATTGATAAACAATAAACGAAACAGTGCTAAAAAATTCAATCAAAATGTAGAATAATCAAGTAAAATAGCTGCGTATAGACAGTAATCGAGTAAAGAAAAAATTAGTCTTCAAAAAACTGAATATTCCATCTGATGTATTTAAAGGCGCCATATTCAGGTAGATATGCGATTTGTCCATTTTGAGAGCTTTGACTAAAAATATTTTCATCTTTTGATACCACTTCTCCAGAGCTATCGATTTTCTCAGCGATGGCACAGAACTTCGAAATCCCTTAAAAAATCTTCTTTAACGAATAATGAATTCGTCTTTTACAAACCGTTTTCATTTGAAATAAATAAACTGAACTTTGCGCCAGCTGGAACAATATTTTTTTCATTATGAACAATTTCTGGAAAATAAATCCGCCAACCATTGCCAGTTTTATCAAATCTAGTACTCCAGTGAAACTTGAAGTAAAAAATTTTTAGCTGATCAAAATATTGAAAATTAAGGGGGAGGTGGTCGGGATCAGAATTTTCTCGACGAAACCAGTGGCCGACATATCAATTGAAATATTTTTATTTTTATAGAGGTAAATAATTAAGCGTCAGAATAAAAGTACGGCGACACCCCGATGAGGATGACGCGAGAGTTGCCCAGTGGAGCTTGAGCCAGCGCTATCATAAATTCCTATGAAGGTTCAATCAGCAGGGTTGTCCAATAAGACTTTGTGCGCGCGCTTTAAACTCGTTTATTTCTGTAGGATGACAATTCATCCTGTAGAATCGGATGATAGGAATTTTCCATAACACAGGCTGAGGCTCCACTGGGCCACTATCGTGTCATTCTTATCGGATCAAAAATAGTCATGGAGTGTAGAAATCAAAATGTTTCATTTTTGATGAACAATCAAAAAGTGTTAACATTTGATTAAAAATCCGAAACAGAACTCCTGACCACCTTCCTAAAGGAACCTCTTCGAGCTAGATCAGGCGCATCTTCACGGGCGCCTCATGTATCTTTGACTTGCGATTTTTTTAAATTTTTCTCTGCAAAAAATATCTACAGACATGCATCTTTCTATCGCAGCTTTCTGTTTTTTTCTACCATAAATAAATTTGCTACGATTGCAATAGAAAGAAGTTCTGCTTTAAAAAAAAATCAGCGCTGTCATTTTCACTGTATGAAATCGAAATTCATTAGAATTTCAACAGATCGGCATTCAGCAGAAAGCCAAGACGATTCGCAAGCGTTTGCTTAACTATAAATGATAGAGAACTGACAGCTAGAATGGAAAGATGAGTGTGTTTAGATATTGTTTGCAGAAAAAAAAGTCAAAAATCTAGTAAAATAAACATGAGGCGAGCGTTAAGAAGCGCTTGATCTAGCTCGCCAAGGTCCCTTAACAGCATCTCGAGCGCGAGCACACTTTCTTAGATCGCGATAGTTGTTTTATTACGATTTCCTTCAATTTTTGAGATAATCGAAAAATTCAAAAAAAAAAACTTAGAATCTTTGGTTTTTTTTACGTTTACGACAAATTTCATTCAAACAAATTATCAACTCATTTACGAATAAAACGTAAAAATGTCCGTAAAATTGCGAATATTTGTCTCTAGATGGCCTTTATTGTAACAAATTTGAGCGAAAAAAAGGAAATGTCGTCTCTGAGACTTAGAAAACAGCAGGAGAAGCCTCTGAAAAGAAAATAATTCATTCTAATTGGTTAGATTTTTCTGGTTAAAATTTTCTCTAGAGGCCGAGCTCAAAAAGTGTGCTCGCGTCCGAGAATGGGTGATCGTAAGTGCTCGAGCTACGATTAAAAACCTTTAAATTTATTCGTCGAACTCCATCTTTTAGTTTCTGAAAAATATAATCAGAATGATACGTTTCACATCGGTCAAGGTTAGGGCGTATTGTATTTGCGTCATTGCCTCTATAGAATCCTGAAATCATAATTGAATTAATTCTCAACAACAATCATACCGATGCCTCTCAATCTCTCATCCAGAGTAAACTCGTTTCGTAAGTATCGCACTGGAAATTGATTTTGACAAATCTTTTTTTGCAAGTTTTCAATATAAATTTCAAGATCATTAATTTTTGCTTTAGCCTTATTGCAGTCTTCGCTAAGTACTGAGAAGGCATCCTTATTTCTTCTCTGAAATAAAAGGGAATCGTCCATATGATTTTCGAGTGTTTTTATTTTTGATTCCTGAGCCGCATGTTTCGATTCCAATAACCGCAACGATTTCTTACTTTCAGAAGAATATTTATCGAGGCTTCCTTCAATCTTTTCTTGATCATCAATAATTACTGCTGTTGAGGCTCTGATTTGACTGATAAACTCTTCATAACTTTCGTCCTTGTCTGTCATGCGTTTTTCAAAAGAAAACAGCTTTGATTCAGTTTTCTCATATTGTTTATCAAGTTTCGAGACTATGTCATCCAAGATTATTTGATTTTTAGATGATTTTTTCTTGATTTCTTTTTCAAGGGCAGTTGTTTTATCTTCCTCTTTTTTCAATTGTGAATCGAGTCTGGAAATTTCGCGCATGAATTCGCTATTCTTTTTGGACATTTTGTGAAAGCTCTCCATTATTTCGTCAATTTTATTTTTTGTTTGCAATGATTTTTCCGTCATAACATTCTTCAGGTTGTTTTTGAATTCATTGAATGATTGTTCTTCAAGAAAAGAACTCGCCTTATTTTGAAGACTTGTCAAATTATTTGTAAGAGTTTCAAGGTCTTGAATCGCTTTCTCTCGGTGCCATTCTTCTTTTAATTTTCTAACGACTTCTTCCATCTCATATTTTTTCGCGACAAATAAACTATTCTCCAAATCTTCTGCTTTGTTCTCCAGTGCATGTAGTCGCTCATTCTGCGTTCTGGTCATATTTTCATATCTTAGTTGAAGATGATCATATTTTTTTGTCAAGTCTCCTAGTTTGATTTCCAGTTCAGAATTTTCGGAAATGAGTTCAGAATTATGCTTAGTGAGATTTTCAATTCTCTTATTGAATGAGTCGCGGAAAACCTGCATTTTTTCTTCAATTATCTTTTCAAATCGTTTTGAATCAATCCTCTTTGAGTCTCGAGAAAATATATCTGGAATGGATTATAATTATGAAAGGACTCAAAGCTCCAACCTCTTTCATCGTCAGATTCGGATCCACTATATTGAGTGTAGTAGATATGGCTTTCGCTTTGTTGCTGGGAAAAATTCTCTGACATTTTGCAATTATTTGAAGCATTTCTCGAACACAAAAAGGCCCTATTTGCTCCGAGTAAGCAAAACCAAAGTCTTCATATTTACATTATGCGATCGTCGTAAAAAAGGAGGAAAGCCTGCTGATTCTTAACAAGGTTCTAAGAAGTTTTCCCTTGATAAACATTTATAAACAACCTCCGTCGTCACATTGATCAACGCCTTTTGTCAGATATTTCTCCGTTCTTTCCAGCTCATTTTTCGTGTATATAAATGAAAAAATGATTTCCCTTTTCTTCTTCCTATCTGCTGTAAGATGCAACGAAGTACCCATCGGCGGGGTCGGCCTAAAAGACACTACTGGGATGAGATGGGAGACCTCAGGATGCGTTCGAAACGCACTCTGGGCGATGAGAGAGAAAATGAAGTTTTTCGTGACGCCAAATTTTCCGATGAAATATCCGGATTCAGTCACTTGCACTTGGAAAATGAGAACCACCGGTGCGAAGAAAAGTAAGTTGTTGACCGTTGAAATTCTATTTTTGCTCAGTTCATACGCTCAAAACTAATTTTTCTCTAGTAAAAATCGACTGGCAAGTTTTCTGGATGGACGGCTGTAATGACGGAAATCAAGTCATCGTTCACGACCCAAAAGCTAACAAGCGTCTTGGTCCATATTGCGGCATGAAAAAGCCACCAAGTTATATTTCCAAAGGAAACCAGCTTGAAATTACTCTGAAAAAGGGCAAAACGCCGCATCCTCAAAACGGACGGGGAGTTCAATTTATGGTCGGATTTCTTGCCGTTGGTTCGAATGCAAAAACTGGAACAAGCAAAACTCCGAAGAAGGGAAATCGAAAAATTGGTGGCGGAAAAGGTGCTTTGTTGAAATCAGCTTCGCCAAAACGGCCACTTTTGCCACCACCTTCAAAAGATGGAAAAGTGAATGTTTCTCATCTTTCAGTTTCTAGAAACGGTCACGTGACGTACAAACGACCAGTTCTACCATCGAAGAAAGAACCGTCGGGAGATATCAGAACTGCGCCGAACTCCGGTCCGGGAAATCCAGCCGGCCCGGCTGGAAAGAACGGGTCGCCAGGAGGAATGGTCGATGGAGTCTGCACTGATCCGCCAGATATGGGCTGTAACAATAAGAACTGGAAGCCACATGAAGACACTCATTCAAGTTCTCCGATCGATCTCAAAAATGCACCAGACGGGTATGGAAAGATAAATATGACGGAGCTGGCAATGTGGATCAATGGCGAAATCGCAGAAAAACCAACTCCAGCAACGAGAAACACAAAAGCGCTAGCGCCGACTTTGGTTCCTACAACAACGATAATGAGTCCCGTCCGACCTGGGGTCGAAAATCTATGGCAATCAAAAAGGTCTCGTCCGAACGGGCTTGCCATCGTCTACGGCAGCGACTTCGATGCTGTGAATGGAACAGAAGAAGTTTATGAATATTATGACTACGAACAAAGCATGGACAACAAAGAAATGATTAGAACAGTTTTACCGTTCTTGGGTGGAATTTTTGTTCTTTTATTACTCTTGGCTGTTGGAGTCAAATTGTGTATTTTTGCTGATAAGACGAAACGACAATCACGTACTACTTCGCAACAGCGTTTCATCTCTCACTAATTTTAACTTTCCTACTGTACACTGTCTACTTCATCATTAAAAATGCAAGAGAACTGAGAAAATAACTTTTGCTATTCAAAGTTGTTAGCATGCTGCAGAAGAAAATTCTGACTAACCCGAAATCGGAAATTTCTTGCAGAGAAAAGCGTCGCAAATCCAATGAGAAAGGTCAAGTCACTGAGAAATAGTCAGATGAGCGAAATAAGAACAAGCTTATTCAAGTTTTCTCATGGCATTTTCAAGGGCAGAAATAATTATTTTGGCATATTATCATAATCTCAAAAACGCTTCTTTCGTCGACGGCGCCTGTCAATTCTCATCACGAAAAATTCACAGTAAAAAATGCGGTCGAGAAAAAAAGACGAAAAAACTGAAAAACCCAATCAAACAGCAACCGATGCCCATGAGCTGGTTAAATGTCTCGAGTGCCACTGGGTTGGGACTTTGAGAAAGACGATCGAGGGAACAGTCTTGTTTCCAGAGAAAGTCAAGACGCAGTTGAAGCATCGGGAAAATAATTTAGTACAGCAAATGCACAGAAAGACTGCGGCATTGAAGATTGGTATTGAAGTAGCCAAAAGCATGAAAAATGGGTCTGATAGAAATCCTGATGAAGATGTCGGACTGATTGGAAATGCAAGAAAGGGGATCAAAATGACTAGAGAAAGACTAATAAGCGTTGAAAGGGAGGAAAAGCGAAAGAAAAAATTAAAGTACACCGGCTTATTCTCCGACGAATATGTTGATGTCGGCGCTAGATCCTGGAAAAGACTTTCTCGTCAGTAAGTAAAATTTGAAAGTTGTGCTTGAAGCCATCATGCTTTTTTAGCGGCAATGCAACGATAACGCAGCTGAAAAACTACATGTTCTTTGGCATTCTGTTTTGGGGAATCATCGTAGGAATCAGTAACTGGGACTTAAAATAAAATTTTATTCATAATAAATTAAGCCAATTACTACTCGATGCTTGCTGCAAGAATCCAGCCCTCCTATTTGACTACTACTTGTCAAGCTGGTTTCAAAAGCTGCACTTTGACGAACGAAATGAACCTCTGTGCTCATCTGCTTCATCAATGCACGAAATCGAAGAATTTTACTCAACCTCTTGTGCCCCTTTCAGACAAAAAAATTAACGAAGATGGTCTTGTATTCTCTGAGGAAGAAAATGGGATCAATCGCCGACGATGCAAGAAGCAACAGTTCTATGACCAAATGGTTTGCCGGCATTTGTGTTCGAACACCATCGTTCTGAAATCAACGAGGAAAGTCGCCTTTAAAACCTGCGAGAAATTGTGCTTTGAGTTAACAAGATCTACCTCTGATGCTGGCCAAATTTGTCCTTTTGATAAATACTGTCAATCTGGCTGTCCCTGTAAGGACTACCAGTGCGAGAAGATTGAAAACGATCAGACAATGATTCCAGCTTGGGACTTGAGAAATCAAACAATCAAAGGAAAAGTCAGATTATTTTTATAAGTTTTCTTGAAGTAGCCATCATGGCTTACCCTCATGCCGCATAGAATAAACCAACTTTCTGTGTGAGGACAATGTTGCGTATTCGGTTTTTTAACATGTCTAGCTCAGGCAAGCATCGATAGTGGCGGTGTGGTACTTCAGAGAAAGCGCCCTCTTGCGCCATTTTCTGAAAAAAAAACGAAAATAGGAGCGCGCAGCGACAAAACGACCTCGAAATCAAGCACTCCTGGCCTTTACTCATCCCATTTTTGAGTCCGCTTTCGATTGTCTAACAGGTAGGAATTGTCCCCATGCCTACTCTCTCCTATCCCTCTCGCCTCTTACCACCAAAAACATCAACACACGAGAAACGAACTTCTGACGACCATACCGACCGTATCGCAAAGCCACTATTAATAATAGTCTATTATGCTTGCCTGCTGGCAAATTAGGGTCCTAACAGCCGCACTACCGAAAAATTGTTAGGGTTCTAACTCAAAATTAGTGCGAATTAGTGCGGCATCCCCGTCCTACCCGTCCTATTTTTTTTCTTTGATATTTTTTCGTCTATTAGGACTGAATCGCCGTCCTAACCGTACTAATTAGGAGGCTCTTTTTCATCATCCAATCGGCGCGCGCTTCCCACCAGGCGCGGAGGACAAATTGGTGGAAGATTGAAAAAAGAATGGAGCTGAATGGATGAGAAAAACGAATGACCCGCCATGATTCAAAATCGAATTCAATATATAATGAATGCTGATGAACTATTTTCTCTTTGTTATTTGCAGTAAAGGGTTCAAAATATATGCGAGACAAATTTCAGAGGCAGAAATGAAAAATAAGGACAGTTGCAACGCCTTTTACTTTTCAAGTAACATATTTTTTCTTTAAATAGCTATATTAAAACAGCCTTATCTCAAAAAATCTAAAAGCCGCAATCTCAATAATGGGTGTTTATATGTAACAGACACTTGGCTTTTATCCTCAATAAAAATTTTATGCATAGCTATTGGGAATATTTTTTAAAAATTTTTTTTCTAATGTCCGAACAGGACTAATATGGAAAATTTCACGTTTTTAAAAGGAATCTCCAAGAATTTTTTCTGGTTTATAGGTGCTAGAAACATGGTCAATGGCTTATATTGGAGCTTTCTAAGCGTTTTCTACTCATAACTGGAATAATAAATGATCTGGGTATCCTCTGAGATTTTCTAGCGCCTCGAAGTTGACTGAAACTACCAGATACGAGAATTCAAGAATTTGAACTTTTGTTCTAGGCGTGCTATGATTACGATCGATAGCTTTTCTTGAAGCTAAGTAATCACTGAATTCATCGACGTGATATTTTTGGAACCAGCTGGTCATTCTGGTGGTTCGTCGCGGTCCAAACCTTCGGATGGATTGAGATCCGGCAATATGTATATCAGAATGCATATTTTTTGATAAGAAGTCGTTCCAACAGATTTTCAAACAAAACCATTCCGTTGACCGACCGTTTCACAGCGGTTCCAAACGGTTCACGCTCCGAGTATTCACAAAATATTGAAATATGTATATCAAAATGCCTCTCTACTCAAGAGGCCTCTTTAAAACTCATTTTCGAACAGAACCACTTGGCTAACCGCCCGGTTCACAGTGGTTCAAAGCGGTTCACGGTCTGAATACTCACAAAATATTGAAATATGTATATCAAAATGCCTATCTACTCAAGAGGACTCTTTAAAACTTACTTTCGAACAGAACCACTTGGCTTACCGCCCGGTTCACAGCGGCTCAGAGCGGTTCACGGTCTGAATATTCACAGAATATTGAAAGATGAACATTAAAATGCTTTTCTACTCAAGAGGAGTCTTTTAAACTGATTTACGAACCAAAGCACTTGGCTAACCGCCCAGTTCAGAGCGGTTCAGAGTAGTTCACGCTCTAAGTATTCACAAAATGCTGAAATATAAATATCAAAATGTATCTATAAGTCTTTTTAACAGATATTCGAACCAAACTACTTGGCTAAATGACTGGTTCGTCGTGGTTCAAGACAGTTCATCTTCTATTTACAGTCCCATTCATAAAATTGAGTCTGCGACGGGGCGAAGCTGATCCGAAGGTGAGGCCAGTCTCGTTTATTCAATTGAGTCGGTGACGGGGCGAAACCGACCCGAAGGGGAAGCCAGTCTCGCTTATTCAATTGAGTTTGCGACGGGGCCAAGCCGACCCGAACGGGAGGCCAGTCTCGTTTATTCAATTGAATCTGTGACGGGGCGAAGCCGACCCGAAGGGAGGCCAGTCTCGTTTATTCAATTAAGTTTGCGACGGGGCAAAGTCGACCCGAAGGGAGGCCAGTCTCGTTTATTCAATTGAGTCAGTGACGAGGCGAAGCCGACCCGAAGGGGAGGCCAGTATCGTTTATTCAATTGAGTCAGTGACGGGGCGAAGCCGACCCGAAGGGAGGCCAGTCTCGTTTATTCAATTGAGTCTGTGACGGGGCGAATCCGACCGGAAGGGAGGCCAGTCTCGTTTATTCAATTCAGTTTGCGACGGGGCGAAGCCGACCAGAAGGGGACGCCAGTCTCGTTCATTCAATTCAGTTTGCGACGGGGCGAAGCCGACCCGAAGGGGAGGCCAGTCTCGTTCATTCAATTCAGTTTGCGACGGGGCGAAGCCGACCAGAAGGGGACGCCAGTCTCGTTCATTCAATTCAGTTTGCGACAAGGCGAAGCCGACCCGAAGGGGAGGCCAGTCTCGTTTATTCAATTGAGTCTGCGACGTGGCGAAGCCGATCCGAAGGGAGGCCAGTCTCGTTTATTCGCAGACTAAATTGAATAAACTGGACTGGCCATTCGGATCGACCTGGCCCCGTCCCAGACTGTATTGAATAAATGGAACCGGCCTCCCCTTCTGGTCGGCTTTGCCCCGTCGCAAACTTAATTGAATAAACGAGACTGGCCTCCCTTCGGGTCGGCTTTGCCTCGTCACAGACTCAATTGAATAAACGAGACTAGCCTCCCCTTCGGGTCGGCTTCGCCCCGTCACTGACTCAATTGAATAAACGATACTGGCCTCCCTTCGGGTCGGCTTCGCTCGTCACTGACTCAATTGAATAAACGATACTGGTCTCCCCTTCGGGTCGTCTTCGCCTCGTCACTGACTCAATTGAATAAACGAGACTGGCCTCCCCTTCGGGTCGGCTTCGCCCCGTCGCAAACTGAATTGAATGAACGAGACTGGCGTCCCCTTCTGGTCGGCTTCGCCCCGTCGCAAACTGAATTGAATAAACGAGACTGGCCTCCCCTTCCGGTCGGATTCGCCCCGTCACAGACTCAATTGAATAAACGAGACTGGCCTCCCCTTCGGGTCGGCTTCGCCCCGTCACTGACTCAATTGAATAAAGGATACTGGCATCCCCTTCGGGTCGGCTTCGCCTCGTCACTGACTCAATTGAATAAACGAGACTGGCCTCCCTTCGGGTCGACTTTGCCCCGTCGCAAACTTAATTGAATAAACGAGACTGGCCTCCCCTTCGGGTCGGCTTCGCCCCGTCACAGATTCAATTGAATAAACGAGACTGGCCTCCCGTTCGGGTCGGCTTGGCCCCGTCGCAGACTCAATTTTATGAATGAGACTGTAAATAGAAGATGAACTGTCTTGAACCACGACGAACCAGTCATTTAGCCAAGTAGTTTGGTTCGAATATCTGTTAAAAAGACTTATAGATACATTTTGATATTTATATTTCAGCATTTTGTGAATACTTAGAGCGTGAACTACTCTGAACCGCTCTGAACCGGGCGGTTAGCCAAGTGCTTTGGTTCGTAAATCAGTTTAAAAGACTCCTTTTGAGTAGAAAAGCATTTTAATGTACATCTTTCAATATTCTGTGAATATTCAGACCGTGAACCGCTCTGAACCGCTGTGAACCGGGCGGTAAGCCAAGTGGTTCTGTTCGAAAGTAAGTTTAAAAGAGTCCTCTTGAGTCGATAGGCATTTTGATATACATATTTCAATATTTTGTGAGTATTCAGACCGTGAACCGCTTTGAACCACTGTGAACCGGGCGGTTAGCCAAGTGGTTCTGTTCGAAAATCAGTTTGAAAAATTCCTTTTTAGTAGAGAAGCATTTTTATATACATATTTCAATATTTTGTGAATACTCGGAGCGTGAACCGTTTTGAACCGCTGTGAACCGGTCGGTCAACGAAGTGGTTTTGTTTGAAAATCTGTTGGAACGACTTCTTATCAAAAAATATGCATTTTGATATATATATTGCCGGATCTCAATCCATCCAAAGGTTTGAACCGCGACGAACCACCAGAATGACCAGCTGGTTCCAAAAATATCACGTCGATGAATTCAGTGATTACTGAGCTTCAAGAAAAGCTATCGATCGTAATCATAGCACGCCTAGAACAAAAGTTCAAATTCTTGAATCCCGTATAATTATCACGTTTTTTTTGAAACTTTAAAAATTATTTAAAAAATATTCCCAACTCTCACGGCATCGAGACATATATCATTCGAATCGCCAGCTTCTGCGTTTTCGATACATATATATTTCCCTTTTGCGGCTTTCAAAAAATTTTTTTGTGTCCGACCCTATTCTAAAAGACCTAATTGAGCTTGATTTTATTCAGCAAACATCTGAAAAGAAAATGCATATCACGAGTAATCCATTTTTCGCATTTCATGATGATGTCTTTCCAGCTTTTGCGAAAAACATCGCATCTCAGAGATTATTTCCTCCGTCAGGAAACGCTCCCAAAACTATAAAACATAAGTTCCAAGGGAAAAAATGCACTCACAGTTGAGAGCTCATTTGATTCAGCAAGTGGCCTTTCCCCTCCTTATCCGCGCGTGCTTATTCCCGACTTTGCTTTTGCTACCTTCAAAACTGATGTCGAGCGCTTTTCTTTCACATCTTTCAACGAATTTGACCACATTTCTTCCTTTAAACTCGATTATAACGAAACGAGAAAACTCAATCTTGATCTGAAGACAACAAATCAAGGAACTGCGACGAGAATTCTTGACTTTCAATTTTTCAATGGAAAGTCGCTTTTTCAAATGAGACTGTTTCAAAATGGCTCGCTCGGAACAATATCTGATTATTTTCAAGATGAAATAATTCTCGACAATCTTACGCTATCTCACTGGATTTCGATTGAAATCAACTTTATTGCTCAAAACGACTCTACTATCATATTTGAAGTCAATAACAACAGTACAACACTTGCATCAAGGACGATGATCGACTTTCAAAAAATCATCGATAATCGTGTCCGTCTCTTCAAATTCGACGAAGTTGTTGAGCTCAAAAATGTGTTCTTCTTTCAAAATCAGCCGAAACAGATCAGTGTTATTTTCAACGATGATATGTTTGAAATCGAGTATGCTCTGTTTGGCGATGGCTCGAGAAAGGAAATAAAAATATCTCCACCGACAGAAATCGGCCGTACTCTTGCAGAATATACGGATTTCAGCACCTTTGGGATGGTAAATGATCAGTTTTATGTTTTTGGAGGGAATAAGGATGCAAGAAAGGTTGTCAAAATGGATAAACTTGATGTCTAACTCCGTTTTTAAAGATAGCGCGACTTGAAAAATGTGGACTTGTGGAGGTTCAAGCAAGGTTTCAGTCGAAATTCCTTGCGTCTTCCTCTAGTTTGACAATCAATGGCGGTAAAACAGGTAAATTTTAGAGAAAATGTGAGCATCGATGACAAATAATGGTTTATAATTAAAGGGTCAATGCATTTGCTGGAAACACACTCCCACTGAGACTCTAGCTCCTGGGAATAAAAGACAACAATTCTAGTATTTAGCTGCTGCTTCTACTTTATTCGAGAGACAACTGACCAGCCGAGACTGGCACTGCGCGCGCAACGTCCCACTGATCAGTATCAAAGTTCAACGGGTTCGCCCGGAATGCGCTAACCCTTTACCTCCCCTTGATACAGAACAGTGCGACAATAAGTAAGATACAGGTAGAATGTCCCTTTCGGGCTCGAAGGAACATCGGTAGAGTTGGGACAGTCGGCGGCAGATTTTTTGAAGAGATTTTTGTACGGTGGTGAAGCAGCAAACTTTTTGATCCTAAGCAGTAGACAACTTCCCAATCCCCAAAAAGCATCAGAAACCCAATTGCCAACACTAGCCTTCGTACTTTTTCTTCGTAGAATCCAGCGAGAGGCGGGATGGACGGAGAATATTTCGCTTGGGGTGAGGAGAAGACGGGTTGGAAGTAGATCTTTGGGGTTGTGACGAAGCCAGGATCGGGAGCGAAGATGGGATCAGAGATGTTGACTCCGTCGCCGAGCCAGATTTTGGAGCTTCGAATAGAGGCTTTGGCGGAGCGATCGGAGGGAGAGAAGATGGGATCTTTTCGGGCGGCTTGGGCTTGCGTGACCGAGATTGTGACTCGATACCCTTACCTCCCCTAGTCACATGATCGTTCTGCTTTATTTTCGACTTGAAGTTTTTGATCAAGTGTGGCCATTCGGTCAAGTCCAGATTTTGATCGTAGTTATCAAGGGAAGAAACTCTTTTCTCGATCGCGACGACATGGGAACGATGAATAAGGTCAACGGGGCGGTTTGAGTTTTCGACGAGGCAGACCTGCTGGTTGGTAGATTTGAGGGTGGAGGGGCCATTCCATTTTGCGTTGGAGTTTTTGGCGTCTCCGGCGAGTGAGCGTAGCTTGACAACTTGGGGTTTCAGTTTCGAAGCTTCGGTGAACTCGAACTTTATGTTTCCAAGTAAATTGCTTACTGAGTAGGAGGAGATATTGCTGTTGCGCAAAAAATCTCGTCCTAAGAGTGCTGGGCGGCATCGGCCATCCATCACAGTTGCGGCGAGCTCGAACTGAGGGCCTTTGTCGAATCTAACCTTGCAGTAGAGGGTTCCCCTTGGAGTTTCAGCTACTCCGCTAATACCGGCTACATCGTGGTTTGGAGCGCTCAAATTGCGTAGCACGTTTTGGGGAATCACATGCGAAGGCAGAATCGTTAAATATGCGCCAGCATCGAATTCGATGTTGCAGTCGAACGAATCTTGTCCTGACTGAAATGTGGCGCGTAGAAAGTATCCAGGGCGAGATTCGACCTTTTCGGTCAGGTGCACTGGAATTGCAGAGAAGAGGGCATGGACATCGGCGAAATTATCGGGTTCCACATTGTAGTGGCTTTTACGCTGCATTTGGTCGGGCTTTTCGGACTTCTCGTCCTTTTTCTGCGCAGAATTCGGGTCCCGATTGTGCCAAGAGCGTTTACCCTCGCCATGTTTTCCATAACCTTGCTTTTGTTTGTTGTTGGATCCGGGTTGAGTTTTGTTGACGTTGATGACATCTGAAGAAACGCGGTTTCGGCGACTGGTCTCGGCTTTGAGTGCGAGGTCATTAAGCGTGAAGGTTTTGTCGATGGAGGTCAGAAGGGCATTGTAAGTGTCGGGCTCCTGGTCTCGGAGGGCTCTGACAGCGAACATTGTTGCCCATGCTTCGTGGATATCTTCTACATTTGGCTCAGCATCGTTGTTAGCGGCTTTGAAGGTTTCGAGAAACGCGGCTTTTGCCTCAGCAAGTTTTGTAGCTAGCTCGGATGTAAAATGAGTCACGGGGCGCGATCGGTCAAAAACGATGTCGCTGACATCGAGCATCAGTAGAAAATGCGAGATTTTTGGGCCATAGTGCTTTTTTAGAAGCCCGATGGCGGCGTCGACGTCGTCACAGGCGCGGAGATCGTTACCGATAAATCGGGCGACGTTCGGAGCTAGTTTGCTGGTAAGAGCGTTGAGGAATATTTTTTCGTCGCCGTCGCGGCGTAGATGACTGTCTTTGAATACCCTCATCGCTGTTATGAAATCCACGAACTGGCCGGGGCTATTCCCTTTGAAGGGCTGGATTGACGCGAAGCTTTTGTAGAACAAGTTGCATATGTGCTGCTCGCGCTGGTCGTATTCCCTGTTGGAATTTTCGGCCGGTGGATTGGCGTATTTGCGTTTTCGGACCAGGTCCTTGTAGTGCAAGAATAGCTCGCGTTCTTTTTGGAGCTGTTCTTCCTTCATTGTGAGTAGTGCTTTATCAGTCGGAGCCGATTTGAGCTTCTTGTCGAGATCAGCGATGAAGTCGGCGATTTGTTCCAGGGCCCCGTCGCATCTTTCGACGGTTTCGGGGAGATTTGGCATCTCCGAGATCTACTAGAACGGGCGAATCACTGATTTCGAGGATTTCTACCTTGACCGACCCGTTTCTCAAAGACAAGAATTGTCTAGGAGAAATTTACGGGGTTTGAAGAGCAAATGGAGATTCAATAGCGGTCGTAGCAGTTGATTGATGTCGAAACTTGGCGGGAGATGTGCGATTTGGAAGAGCTGCCGGGCTAAGAGGAGCCGATTTACTGCTTTCGAGCGAAATTACCTCGACCGGTCCGACTAACTGAGACTTTTGGGGGTCAAAGTTAGATAACGGACTTGGAGAGCGCGAAATGTCGTTGAAAATAGGCGTCAGCGGCGGCGCGAGATCGAAATCGCAGCGGTTGCTCAAGTTGACGTGGCAAAACGGTTGGCGCGGCGGTACTTTTCCACACGCGGCGAATACCGAAAGTAAGTACACGAGTGCTGATCCAGGTTCGTAACGGCCTTGGGCGGAGAAAAACGCTGGACAGGGTAGAAGACGATCAAAAGTTGGGTAGGGTGGGTGGTATTTGTCGAATCGTAGGGTACTCAGCTGATTTTGGAGAATTTGGAGCGATGAGATGGATGTGTCGAGCGGTAGACAAGGTGGAGGGTTGAAGGTGTAAGTTCTGGGGCCGCGGGAGTTCTCTATGTCGAATGAAGCGTAGTCTCTGACACCACTAAAGGGTCAATGCATTTGCTGGAAACACACTCCCACTGAGACTCTAGCTCCTGGGAATAAAAGACAACAAAAAAGACTAGTATTTAGCTGCTGCTTCTACTTTATTCGAGAGACAACTGACCAGCCGAGACTGGCACTGCGCGCGCAACGTCCCACTGATCAGTATCAAAGTTCAACGGGTTCGCCCGGAATGCGCTAACCCTTTATAATGTATTTAGCGATGGTTTGTTTTGCTTGGGACTCGAAAAACAGTGCTGAAAAGAATAGAGCGTGTGAGCTGTTTGATGGATTTAATGTTTCGAGTTTTATAAGCACCAATGAAGGGCACTATCAAGGACGCCTGGGTATGCACAATGGAAGACCGACCGCGATTGCTGGTAAAACCTATCCCTACTTGAACGAAGGTTACTCGGAAACTTTGACCGAAGAAGGCTGGGTCGAAATCGAAAGACACCCCAGGTATTTTTCTGAAAGTGAATTGACGATGTTAATTATGATGATCCTCAAGATCGATGTCGTTGTTTTCCGTCGTCGGATTTCCTGCTGGAGCACTCGCAACGTTGGGCGGATGGAACGGTGGAGATGGAAAACAGATGAATGAAATTTGGTTGCTCGAAGAGAACTGGAATCTTATAGGAACACTTCTTCAGGTTATCAATTTTTTATTAAAGTGATAGCTATTAGCTTATTTTTAATTAAATTTATTCAGCCGATGTACGGTGGATCGTCAATTTTGATTGAGGAATCGAGTGTTTACCTCTTTCCGGGTAACAACCGCGATGATGCCAGAGCTATTCAGAGAATAACAATAGGCAAGGATGAAAAACATAAAATAGCTGGTTATTTGGTACACCTTGACTTTTATAAAACCACCACAGAAGTAATTTTGTGAATTTTTTTGAAAGATGGAAATGATGTCACGAAAATCGAAGTTGTTGGATACCACTCAAAGTACACTCGTTCTCCGATTATTTTTGTATCACCACTCAATCTGTGCTCCGTTTAAAAGATGTTGTAAAATTAAATTTTAACAAAATAAAACACTCACAATTGAACAAGACTAAGTCGTTACAAGCACTGAATAACAATAATCAATCTCGATAAGAAGACAATTTATGTGTGGTTTTATGACGGAAGAAAAATTATGGTCTCGAACTTTTGTAGAAAAAAGCAAGTTTGTTCTGGCGCCAAAGCGTGAAAAAAGATGAACTTTCCCGCGCGCTGCGATTGGCCAAAACCTGGCGCTTTCCAATTTTATGCTTCGAGAATTGAGAGAAAAGAGGATGACCTGAATTGCTGATTCTAATCAATTTAGAGAATACTTGAAAACTGCTGCTCATTTCGCGTGAACATAGAAATTAAGAAACCAATTTTACTTTCTAGAGAAATCGTCGGCAGATGACTTTTCGAGATCAGTTGAGATCGTACGGTCGGTACCATGCCATCGCCTTTTTCGGTACATTCATCACTTATGCCTTCTTCCACGCTTCTCGAAAAACCCTCAGTAATTCGAAGGATTCTATCTCCCTTTTCTGGACCAACCCCGAATTCAATTCTACCTGGCCAGCTCCGTAAGTCCTTCATCTACTTTTTCTGTCCTTACAAAAGAGAAATTTAGAAATGACATGAAGAATTGGGCGAAAAATGCGATGTTCGAGAGCTACGAAGATGCTTCTGTTTATTTGGGCGTTTTAGACACGACTTTTATGGCATGCTATTCGATCGGGCTGTTTATTTCCGGATGGATTGGTGAACGAGTCGAGGTAAATAACTGATTTCCTTCTTCAACGTAATGAAAATTTCTAGCTGCGAAAATTTCTCGCTTTTGGAACGCTCCTAAATGCCTTGACTCTCTTCACATTCGGCTGCATTCTTCCCTGGACAAACTGCACTTCGAAATTCCTCTGGGCTCTCGTCTGGGGCCTTAATGGCTTCTCCCAATCAACAGGCTGGCCGACGGTTGTTTCTATCATGGGAAATTGGTTTGGCATGGAAGGAAGAGGTCTGATTCTTGGAGTTTGGTCCGCCTGCCAGAGCGTCGGAAACATCATGGGAGCGATGATGGTGAATGACTTTCTCGAGTATGGTTTTGATATGAGCTTTTTGTTCGTTTCCTGCTGCTTGCTTTGCCTCTCAGGTAAAGAGTAGGATTGACGCTTTCTTGTTAATTTATGATAAAAGGGATCATCTTCGTTTCCATGGTCGACCATCCCAAAATGGTTGGCCTCCCTTCTGTAGACGGAGACGAAGAACAAGACGACCAGGTTGCGATTATGGACGATCAGGACAATCCGCTAGACGATACACTTGAAGATCCACCATCCGTCAAAATTACGACTCATGGCCAAGCCGTTACTTTTTTCGACGCAATCAAGGTTTTCTTCTTTCTGCCGATTTCTATTGAGCATTTTTTTTCTAGCTTCCTGGAGTGGCCGAGTATAGCATCAGTTATTTCGCCCTGAAACTAGTCAACTACAGTTTCTTCTTTTGGCTGCCGTACTACATTCACAATGTCTTTCACTGGCCCGATAGTGAGTCGAATTCGGTTTCAATTTGGTTCGACGTTGGTGGAATCATTGGAGGCGTCGTTGGTGGAGTAGGCAGCGATCTTTGGGGACTCAGGAACAGTTTGAAAATCCTTTTTCTTTCGTATCGTTTCCGGGTGTTGAAAAACTGAAAAAAGATCACCTGTTGTCTTTGGAATGGCTCTTTCTGCGGTTCCAAGTCTCGTTGGGCTCAATAACTCGCCTCCAACAAAAGCTGCTGCAAGTTCTCTCATGGCGCTCGTCGGCTTTTTCGTCGGTGGAGCTTCCAACATTATCGGTGCTGCTTGCGCCGCAGGTACTCTAGAATAAATCAACGTTTCTTCAACCTGTTTTTCTAGACCTCGGAAAAGCCGCGATTGAAAATGGCATGCCCTCAGCAGTCGCCATTGTCACAGGAATCATCGACGGAACTGGCTCTGTCGGAGCAGCAGTTGGGCAAATCGCCATTCCAGAGATTGAAAACAACTTTGGGTGGAGTAAGGTTTTCTACATGTTCATGGCGGCTGGGCTGATCTCTGCAGTGGCTCTGATTCCCGTTGTTTACCGAGAAATCAAGCGAAGCAGGAGGAGTTCAAGTTCGAACGAGGAAGAGTCGAGAGTGGAGCATTTAGAAGATTCCGGGAGGTTTCAAAATAAAACGACTAGTATTCCGCTTTTCGAAATCGGCTAGTTAGTAATTAGCGAGCCTTATTTAGTAGTAATCCTATTCCTACCTAGTATAAGTTCAAGCATTGACGATGCTGCATTGTACAATTATAAATCTGTAAATCTGCCAATTCTTTAGCTCAAAGTTGCAATATAGTCAATTTTACCTATCAACCAGGTTGATTCAACCTAATTTTACCTATTTCTAAATCCGTTTTTATGTGAAAAATTTTGAAATCTTGAAAAAGACCTCAACGAATAATTCCACATTTCTGCACTTCTGCGATCGATGATCAGCTGTTTCATTTTTTTTTCAATTCAAGTCTGTTGCATTCATCTTTACTTCTATTTACTTAATTCTTGTACCAGCTACTGTAGTACCTACTACTGATAGTGTATCAGCCGAGGTTCTTTTTCAACATTCAATTTTTCGCCCAGATCTTACCTTTTTTACCATTTTTCATCATTTTTTATCGTATTAAAAGTTTATTCATGAAAGAATAATATATTCAATAAAAGAACACAATCAACCCAACCCACTTTTTAAAGGAAAATGAACAGCGCGCACTAGTAGCTGCTCGAAAATGGCGCAAAGTTGGTCGGAATTATGGGCTCACTCGGGATGGGTTGAGCTCTTTGTTGCGGCGCTGATCATTTTCATCACGACATCGGCGATTCTCTTCATTCCTTCGAAGAAAAACGAGGGCGAGGATGCGAATGGGAATACGAGAGAGGATAAGAGTGGAGAAAACTCAACGCCGCCCGAGTCGGATGAGACGAAAAACAAGCTTCCACGGCAATATCGTCGAGTAACTACTTAATTCTTCGAGAAACAGACTTATTCTGATTCTAGCTCAAACGACAAGCGACGAAGAAGTTCGACGAGTTTAAACGCGCAACGCATTCGAAAATTATCAGTATTCATGATAAACTAAGAGACGGTTTACCTACCGGTAATCAGAGTTATTCAATTCACTTACCAGTACAGTTACACTCACATTTACCCACAGTATCACAGTTAATTTAATCTCACGAATAGAATACAAGAGTTGAAATGGTTGTGGTTCAAATTAAAAATCACTGATTCGGAATGATTCATTTTGCCAAGTTGATCAAGTAATTACTGCATGGATCTTTTCTGACTAGCACTAGAATCGAAAGAACTAACGGGTCTTTTTCTCTTCTCTAGGTCAACCGTACTTCAATATTCCTAAGATCTCGCACTCTGGTAGACCACTAACGCAAAAGGTACAGAATTCGCATGAAAAAACTCTAACGATTCTCTCTTCCTCTATTATTTTATCTTCAGCCCCTTCTTCTTTCAGGAACGAACTCAAATTCTCCTGAAAAAGCTCCTGCAGCTTGAAAAAGAACCCGAGCACCTCCTGGTCAAGCAGATTCCGGAGTATTTATTGAAAGGATCTGAAGTGGAAACTGATGATCGATTGCCTTCCGAGTTCCAGTTTTTGCTCAAAACTGTCCGAGTTTTTGGACACTTTGACAAGCCGGTGTTTCTGTCGCTCTGTAAACACATGAAAGTACAAGAGCTCAAGCAAGATGAGTACTTGTTCAAGATCGGGGACAAGGACGAGTGGATTTACGTTGTCCAGGTACAGTACCACGGTGTTTTCATCTTTCATTTTTCACTAGACTGGCGCAATTGACCTCTTCGTCCAGCAAGGAAGCCATGAAAAGCTTATCGCAGAAGTCCGCCCTGGGGAGTCCATCGCGTCTCTTCTCTCTGTTCTTGATGTCCTTACAGGACACGCAGCACCATACAAGACCGTTTCCGCAAAAGCCCGCGTAACATCGACGATTATCAAGTTGCCAGCGAGCTCGATTCTCAAAGAGTTTGAAAACTTTCCCGCCAGTTTGGTTCGGATTGTCCAAATGATCATGCTTCGTCTCCAGCGAGTGACCTTCCTCGCGCTTCATGACTATCTCGGTTTATCTGAAGAATTGATCGATGCGCAGGCGAAATCGTCTCTTCATCGAACTCCTTCGCGAAACAGCAGCTTACGAACCTCTGTGTCTTCCGACGAAATGAACGGGCCTCTGAACTCACCAGAAACCCCAAATCGCAACGAAAAAACTCACTCTCTTCGACGAACAAGCTCGTTTTCCAGCCGAAGACCGCGTTTCAACGAAGTAGCAACAGTATTCGAAACGGCCGAGGATGGAGTTTCAGAACCAGCAACTTACAAACAAGGCAAAAATGACAACAATGATTTCAACAACGCGATTGAACGAGCCTTCTGCCGCGACACCGATGACAATCTGTCCGATTCCGCCATCAAGGAGCATCCAAAGAGTCCAAAATCTCCTCAACCAAGGAAGAATCCAAATCAAAACCGCCGTGAAAGTTTTCTTCCTTTCTTCGACGAGGAAATGTTTGAAGACGCCGTTTCCGAGCTTGCTGATATCTTTGGCTTAGAGAACACTGATGCGATTACTGATAAATTGGATATGGCGAAAGTCGAAGGAGGAACGGTCATCTGCGACGAGGGCGATCAAGACCTCTGCCTGTACTACATAGTTTCTGGCTGCCTTGTCGCTCAGCAGCGCTGTGGCGATCGGTCTGCAACGCTTTACGAAGCTACGAGAGGCTCGATCTCCGGCCAATTGAGTGTTCTCACAGGCGAGCCAACATTCTTTAAAACGACGGCGAGGGAAAACTCAATCCTCTTGAAGATGCAAAAGTCTGACTTTTACGCTCTTATGCGCGACTACCCCCGCGTGGTTTTGAATCTAGCCGCCACTGTAGTCTCTCGACTGTCGAAATTCGTCCGACAAATTGACTTCGCGCTCGATTGGGTGCAATATGAAGCTGGGCAAAAACTTTTTGCGGAAAATGAACAAGCGGATTGCATCTACATTGTCCTAAGTGGTCGGTTGAGAGGAGTGAAGGAAGACGGAATCGTCTGCGAGTTTGGAAGGGGAGAGACTGTCGGACTTATGGATCTCTTCCGATCCCGGGTGAGAACTCTTTCGGTCCATGCTGTTCGAGACACGGAGGTTGCCAAGATTCCAGCTGCGCTGATGGAGCATATCAAACGCCTCTTTCCGTCAACGATTCAGAACATCATTGCGCTTATGACAGACCAAGTAGCCATCAATCACAGCAATCGTCTCATGGCTAATCAGCAGAACATCTTCAACAAGGAAACATACGGTGGCCTAGCAAATCAGCTCGCAAATGTATCAACTGTCGCAGTCCTTACTTCTGATCCTGACGTGCCGCTAGAAATTTTCTCTATAGAAATTTCAAACGCTTTGAACGCACATGGAAAGGTGCAGCGATTGGCAAGTGATTTGGTCAAGCGACGACTGGGCGAGAGGATCTTTGAAGTCCAAAATGAATTTCGCTTGACAACATGGCTCGGGCAGCAGGAAGATATTCACAGAGTAACGATCTACCAGTGCGACGAGAAGCTGACGGAGTGGACAAAGAGGTGCTTGAGACAGGCTGATTGTATTTTGGTCGTTGCTCTTGGCGGCTCAAAGTCGAAGATGGGCAGTTTGGAGAAGGAAATTGAAAACTTCGCGACAAGAGCATTGAAAGGTAAGAAACCCTTCCGGTTGAAATTTCAACTGTTCAGTTTTGGTTTTGCTCCACAATGAAGAAGCAGAAACTCCTTACAAGACTGCCGAGTGGCTCAACATCCGCGGATGGTTAACAACACATTTCCACGTAAAAGTGCCTTCTTTGATGATGAAACGAAATGCTACGCGCTTGAGGAAAGAAGTTTTGCTCAAAATTCGAGAGAAGAATGAAAGCCCATTTTCTGACTTTTCCCGTTTGGCGCGATTTATCACTGGACGATCTATTGGTGTCGTATTTGGTGGAGGAGGTGCGCGAGGAGTCACACAGGTTTTAAAAGGTCTTGAAAGAATTGAAATTACTTTCATTTAGATTGCATTTATTGAACAGCTGATTGCAAAAGGAATTCCTATTGATATGGTTGGTGGGACTTCGATTGGGTCACTAGTTGGCGCACTCTATGCGAAGTATAGAAATGTAGAGACCATGAATGTGCATATGAAAGACTTCTGCAAGAGAATGTCATCTTTGTTTGCGAAGATTTTGGATATCACGTATCCCATTACAGGAATGGACAAGCTAACGGATTTTACCTACCTGATTTTCCTTTTGCTGATTAATTCTCACGGAAAAAGGAATTTTGTTTTGCCATAATATCAGTTGCTAAAAACATTTATGGTTGTCCATTTAAAAAGCGATGTTCAGCGGACGCGGCTTCAACCGAGAAATTCAGCAAACTCTGATGGAAACGCAAATCGAAGATCTTTGGATCCCCTACTTTGCCATTTCTACAGATCTTACTAAACAAAGAATGCGTGTCCATACGTATGGAAGTCTATGGAGATATGTAAGGGGTTCAATGACACTGACTGGTTATTTGCCACCGATGTGCGATCCAAGAGATGGTCACTATTTGGTCGATGGAGGTTACATAAATAATTTGCCGGTGGATGTTGCCAAAACGAGAGGAGCGAATATTGTTCTAGCAATCGGTAGGTTTTCTTAGATTTCTCTGAAAAACATGTTTTATCAAAAGATGTTGGCGCTCGAGAATCCGCAGATCTGTACAACTACGGCGACTACATCTCCGGTTGGTATCTTCTTTGGCAAAAGTGGTGGCCCTGGGCAAAGACTCTCCGAATCCCAGATCTCAACGAGATCCAGTCACGACTGGCATACATCGCAAACAACCATCTCCTCGAAGAATTCATCAACAACGATGAATGCGTTTACTTACGCTGCGATAACATTGAAAAATTCGCGACAATGGGTAAGTGCCCATGGTACAAGCAGTCGACTGCTCTCGTCAATATCTTTAGATTTCGATAAATTTGGGCCGATCTACGAGTTTGGGCGAGAAAATGCTTCTGGACTCCTGACCGATGAGATTGTTGAAAACGTCAAAAGTACCTTTTCCGACGTTTCAAGAACGATGATAAAGAAAAAGACAAAACGATCGCCAACGTTTGTAGGAACGTTGGATACCTTTTTGACAATTTTCTTATTCAATAAGACTTATTGAAACGGAAATGTATCCAAGAAAAGACCTTGCCGCTGTTTTTGAAAAGCTCCCGACTCCACTAAAGACATCCGTTTCGCGAGCTTTTCTCTCTGAACACTCGGAAAACGAGGACGAGGATGCGCATCATCGGCTCAACCACGGCTACATATCTGGCTAGCTGCTCACAGAAGTATCACTGTACTTATATATCTTCCCGATCACCCAGACCTTACACACTGTTGTTTGAATCTACCTCTGACAGAAAACGAGATGTTGAAATATATATAAAATTTTTATTTAAATAGCGATTCATTCGAAGTTATTGTTGTAAATTAACTTTGTCTTCGACTTTCTTGACTTTTCTTTGATTGGTTTTTCATCGAGCTGTTTCTCGTGAAATGCTTCTAAAACGCCTTGAGAATTGATGATCTTTTTGGCCCAGGCAGCAATCGCAAAAGCAGCGTAGGCTTTTCCAGCAGTAAAGATAAACCCTGAATTCTTTGAATTCCTTGTAAGAAATGGTTAATTTTACCTGAGAAGGAACCAGGGTAGAGATCCTGTAGCCAGTTTAGAACAAAAATATGAATTCCAGTTGACAAAAACGCATCAAACAAATACTTCATGTTGGAAGCCATCTGTTTCAGGATACTACAGCACCACTCAGGCCTTTAAAAATATCGTCGATACTCAAAATCGAAATATTGCCTTACCGATCAACCGGGAGAATGAAGACAACAACGCCAAGTGTGATCATAAAAATCAAGCATCGAAGAAATTGTGGAAGAACATCGGCGCTAATTGATAGATTCTTCTCCTTCGCCATTTTGCTTTTCTTGTAAACTGAAGTTTTCTTCCTTGTTTGTTTGGAAAGATCGTTACTGTTCTAGAGACAATCTCTAGAAAGCCAATCAATCAACAAGTTTTGTTTCTTATTGTGGCAGAAAAGAGAAAGACATGGGAGCTTCTCCGAAGAAAAAAGTATCCTACGATGCGCTGGAAGAAATGAAGAAACGAATCGCTGCCAAGGAATCTATCCGCAATTCCCTAGGAACTGTTCAAAGAAAGAATTGAGAGACAAACTTAATTGCTTTTGTGAGCATATAAAAGACCGGAAAGATAAGCTTCGGCTAGCGATTATGCTGGTCATGAGTCTGATTTTCGTCCTTTCTGTTTTCGGACTCGCTGTTTTGAAATCTACTTCTGAAATTACCGCTACCGCTACTGTTGCTCCCACTGCTGCTCCACTGACAACGACCCGTAAGTCTTCTTGATCCTCTCTTTCTATTTTTCATTCTTCAGCTGCTTGGAGACCGTGGCCAAACACGCCCTACGAGCTATATGCCTACTATCACTGCGGAGTGAATCCAGCATTATCACTCGCCAATGTCACTCCCGATAAAAACGCAAAAGTCACCGACTGGCCAATGCTCGTTACAGTCACTCGAGCTTCCTGTGGTGGGGGAGCTTCTTGTAATCTAACACTAGAATCGACAGTTGTTACGAATGTCTGCATGGGAGTGGCTGTTGATAGGTGAGTCGTCCAAAATCAAGGAGGAAAATCGTGGTAATCAACGAGTTTTAAGCCGGACGATTTGGGCAAGAGCAAGTTGTTTACAGCCGAATGGAAGAGAAAATCTTCAGAATTATCCTCTCGCAACAGGAACTCGTATTCTCTCACGCTTTTCTTCATCTTTAAAAACAATGAGAACCCGGCTAGATGAGGATAATTTCTATGTCATCACCGGCCAAAACCTCGAACTAACAACGCTGAAAGAGAACTCTCTCCTTGCCATCGAATCTCTTTGGCCTTCGAGTCAATACAACACGACCATGGATTTTTCGAATTTCCAGCAGAACGATCTTCTCATTCTCCGCACCAAAATTGACATGACTGATTTCGTCCCTGCCTGCATCCCTGACCTGCAGCAAGATGCAAACGCGGCCGGACAGGTGCCCAAGAAATGCTGGTTTATCGGACTAAATGGATATGGAGGAGCTTTTCAGGTTCCGGCGACGATGCTGGGCGATTCAGAGGAATCGTTTCGCAAAAATAACTTGAAATTCACGAAGAGAATTTCTGAAACTTTGAAAAGTGCAATGATAATTTTATTCTGAATAACAAGCTTGATTTTACGAATCAATTCTGCGCCAAGGCTATTTCGGACTTTGACAAAATTGCATGCGGAAAGGACTTCATTTTTGCATGCGACTACGAGACTCAATTTGGTGATCGAAAACTGGTTGCTTTTGGAAACATGATTTATCACCCTTTTCAAGACTGCACCCATTTGGATAATATCTTCATCTTCAACAGGTAATCAAAACTCACCCCATTTTTTTCTTATACTACTGATATAATATCAGGTTTGCTTATGAATACGAAATGCTCTGCTGTGGACAGACTGAAGAGCCAAAATATGGACCCTGTATTTATGTCAACTGCACTGAACAACCTTTGAGCTACCCATGAATAAAGCCACATTTTATGAAGATTTATTGTCTTTTTGTTGAAGAATGAAGGTTAGTTACACTCACACCCGGCGAATTTGACGGCGAAATTGTTGCAAATTGATTACTGCTTCCACTAAAACGATGAAATGAGAATTGATTGCTAAGAGATAGATTAGTGGTGATTTCTAAAGAATAATCAAGTTGGGAATCACACCAAACTTTTCTAATTGTTGTCAACGAGTTTTTAAATGCGCTAATTGACGGCGGCAATATTCCACCAACCATCGCCGTTGATTTCGTTCTCCATCTCAGTATCCGCATTTTGCACGTGTAGTTTTATTTCTCGAAGCGATGTTTCCTAGAATTGTGGAGATCAAAAAGCTTCAAAAGGGGCGAACCTGAATTTCCCCTCCGAGCAAAATTTCGTCCAAAACAGCGTGGACTCGTTCGAAATTGAAGATAACGTCGAGCTCGCAAACGTTTCCAAAGTAACGATCAAGCGCTAGAAAAGCATTACAGCGCTAGCAAGACGAAAGAATATACCTTCGACAATTCTATGGATTAAAGCAAGCGCTAAAAGCTCATTTTCATCCTCATCTACTCCAATGCAAAAGAACAGGGAAGCATATCGTTTATAAATATATTTAACGCCTTGAATTCATCTATAAATTCAGCGCAGAAGTTCAATAAAAAAACCTTTATGGTGGAAAATATTCGAATAGTTTCCATTTCTATTCAATGCCATTTGTATCACTTCATGGTTCGTTTTATTTCTTCAAATTTTATCATTCAGTTTTTTCTTCCTTCTCACCTTATTTTTTCAGGCACACTTAGGAACCATTTGCTAAGTCTCAACCTTCCATGCCTTGAAAAAAGAATGACGCTTCTGTACATTCTCTGCGAGTTTTAATTCACTAACAGAACAATAAATTTTCTCTCTCTTTTGTCTTTCGGTTTTTATCAGTCCTAACTGCGCCCTGGAAAAATGTCAAAGAAAAGGAAGAATTAATCAAATGTTTATTTCACAGGGAGCTACGCTTTGCCCGGATCGTATTTATGAATTTTATGACTCAGGGAGTGTGTAATATCGCAAACGAAGAGTTATTGTTCTTTTTAACGCTTGAATTTCCTCTTGGTCAAAACAAAGAGCTCTCCATTATGGACTCATAATAGAAAAAAGGGAAGACTGCAGATTATTGAGCTACCGGGCGGAGCAAGATGAAGGAGAAAAGAATGAACAGAAAACTCGCAAGCATAATCAATGATACAAAAAGCTTTTCCCTTGCTTCTTTCATGATCGGATGGTCGTTCCAATTTCTCCGGCGCCATTCAACATTCGATCCGGAAGCGTTTTCCATCGGAAGGGGGATCTCGGGAATCGGTTTGTTGAGAAATTTCGCAAGAGGCTCCCAACCATCTTAATTTCCTTCATAAAAGATTCGTTGATTGCATTTACCTTTGACATTCCACACAAGAAGCCGAGAAGCCGGAACACTTCTGGTTACCCGTAAAATATGATCGTTGTAATTTTCGATCATCATTGCTTTGTTCTCGATGAAAAATCTTTCATACTCTTCTTGAAAGCAAAAGTCAAAGCCCGGTTTTATTTTGAGGAATCTCTCCATCCAAAGCTGCACTAGAATGACGAATTATTCATGAAACAGTTGGACTCGGTAGTCTTACTGATTTTCATTTGTCGCTTGGCTGTTTTGCCCATAAAACCAAACGACATCAGAAAAAGCAAAAGCCAAAAGGGAAAAATTCCACCGATGGAATATTTTCTCAGACTTCGTACCCATCGCAGTCGCGATTCGAACCACTGCTCTCCTGAATCTCGAACTGTCAGAATCACCTTGGCTTTTGGACAATGCGTGACAAATTCTCGCCAATATAGGGTTGATGGAACATCTTGGTTTGCGTTGTAGCCTCGCTTTTTGTACTCTCTAAGAAAACGTATTGAAATCGCAATAGAAAATCTTACCGAAGAATTCGAGAAAAGGGAATCTTTCTCTCCATTATTCTCAGCCATGTTTTGTTCATTTCCACATTTTCCATCAAATCGGCGACTTTGTATCCAAAGTGATTCAAACAGGCCGACAAGGTTTTTGACCCTGTTTTCGGAAAACCAACGCATATTACTTTCATTTTCTCGATTTTGTTTTTGAAGAAGAAGAACTTTCGTAAATCCAAATTCATTCTATGCTTCAGTAGAGCGTGAAATAACTCAAATTGATATAGAATTATGTTGAATCTAAGGTACCTTAGCGGTAGCTAGATCTTTTCGAAGATAAGTGAGATACAAGCTGTGATTTCTCGAGCGATATCTTTATCCACCTGTGACGCTATTTATTTACTGGTTCGATGATGCATCTCATTCAGATTCCAAATTTCACAGTTTTCGCGACAATATAAATTCGAGTTTCAAATCGAATTTTAGCGAATTTCAATTTTCAAACAAAATGAAGGTCATATTTCTTTTTCTTTTCCTGAGGCTTGATTGTGTCAGTTTGAATGGACTTTTTATACCCGGTATGATGCCGACAGAGATGAACCAAGATCAGAGACAGCAGTTTGATCCAGCTTTGCTTTCGCTTTTGAGCAATGGTGAGGGTTCTTCGTCAGAATTGATGAAGTCGCAGCTAATGGCACAAATGGGCAATTCTGAAAATCAAGCACAAATCAACCCGATGCTTTTGTCATTTTTGAATGATGACAAAAGTGATGTGGACGTCTCTGAAATGATGAAGGCTCAGATGATGTCGCAAATGGGTTCTATTGGAAATTCAATTAATCCGATGCTTATGTCCATGCTCAATGACGATGGTGACCAGGATTTTTCAGCGAAAGAAATGATGAAGGCGCAAATGATGAGCCAGATGTCTTCTTCCGGCACTCCAATCAATCCGATGCTGCTGTCTTTCCTGAATGATGATGACGAAAACGATAATGGGTCGAAATCGACAACAGAGATGCTGAAGCAACAAATGTTAGCTCAGATGTCAGCCTCCGGCGATCCTGTCAGTCAGATGATGGTCCAATCTTTTCTCAATAAAAATGATGAAAGCTCGGAGTCAAAATCGCCATCCGAACTACTCAAGAATCAAATGCTTGCGCAAATGGCAACAAGTGGTTCAATTAACCCGATGATGCTGACCATGTTGGACGAGGCGGATGACGTTGGCGGGGATAAAATTGACAGAATGAAAATGGAAATGCTCAACCAGTTGATCCGAGATCCAGAGACCTACAAAATGGCTAGCACATTGAAAGCAATTCTAGACGATCGAGATGGAGACATCGACTTGACGAGTTTGATGAATCAAAAAATGGTCCCCGCATTTGACTTTGACGATCAATTTGATGTCGGAAGCATGCAAGACCAAGACCGATCTATGCTATCAAAATCAAGGCCACCAACTCCACCTCCACTTGACAAGTCAGAAGTCATGTTTTCGCTCAAGTATCCTCAGTTCAAAGATGAAAAGGTATCTGGTCTTGCGAAGACATTCTCGACCTTCGATCAGAACATGGAAGAGAACTCAGAAAGACTGGAAGATTTCGCGATCGAGATTATGGTCAACATTGACTACAAAAAAGGTAAACCAGAAAAAATGCTAATGAAATAATTTTTGAATTAAAGACCCACTGAAAATGCTGAATTTCATCGATTTCTCAACAAATGATACACTTGGAAACACCCCGATGATCCTCGCGATTGGAAATCTTATCAACAACCAGTGTTTCTCGAAAGGCTCCATCCATGACTTCGCAATATCCGTACTCGAGAACAATTACAGCTTCGATGCGTACAGAACCTCAGCTGGAATCGCCACGATTCAACGAGAGATAAAACTTTCTGTTCCTTGGCAAAGTGTTCTCGAAAAAGACACTCTGGCAGCAGATGAGCTGAAAGAAACAATCTCGCAGATGATAAAGAGGGACTTCAGAATGAGTGAATTCGAGAGACTGTCCGTTACGGTAAAGAGTCTCACACCTTCGCAATCGATCGCTGACGATGAAATAATGGTCGAAGCCCTCGTAGAATTCTCTGCAAAACGAACCCAAAACACGCAGGAAAACGATCTTGCGATAGCGATAGAGGAGATTGTTAAAGACTCATTCCTTTTCACCGAGATTGCAATTCCGGAAAAGGACAAAGACGAGATCCTCCAGGGCTCTTTGGAGAAATCCGTGCGTGTCGTCCTCAAATCTGGCTGGAGCAATGAACTGAACGAGCCTGAATCTCTTTACTCGAAACAGCTGAAATCCGTGATTGAGCAAGCTTTTGTCGACTCTCCAGTTTGGCTGACGTTTGGGCCACTGGAAATTTCCGTCGAAAATTTGAAACGATCGACAGTTTTTTACTTTGGCATCGAAGCTAACATGACGATCAAAGGAATCACGTCGGAGGAGGAGTGGAAAGACATCTTCGACTATTTAAAAACAGTACCAAAAGAAGGGCATTTTATCGGTACGAGTGAATTTTCATCAAGAATTTAAAAATAATTCATTTTCAGGTGCCGTTGCTCAGCAGCAATCTGGTCAAGCTGTTGAAGAGATGCAGGCTGTAACGACAGAAGCTCCAAAAGAATTCATCGTGGTGGACAATACTCACGAGATAATTCTCTCGCTCTACTTCAACGAAAACTTAGAGGATCCATCATCAGGGGCCTACAAGCAGTATAAGAAAATTCTCGATCTTTCTTTGGCAGAGGACGACAAAAATATCGAAATTCTTCAGTTCAAAAAAGCTTCTAGTGGAATGACCTTGGCAAAGATCAATTTTCCACAAGGTAAAATTAAAGTTGTATTAACCATAATTTCCTTTTATTTTGAGCAAATTTTATTCATTTTTTTCTCTTTGAGATGACTTAAATTACCTAACCGCTTCAACAGCTCTGACGATTGCATTGAAAATACCAATTTCACTTTCATGGTCTCTTCAGATTATCAATTCGAGGACATTAAAAAGAAAGTCGACGCTGCTTATTTCCTCGACTTTCCTGAACAGACAAGACGTAGAAAGCGGTCCTTAGTTTCGAAACCGAATACATCTGTATCCAACCGTCAAATTCTTCTCGTCCTTGCTCTCCAATACATCTCAGGGAAAATTCTAGTGCCATTCAACGAAATTGCTTTGCTTCAAAATGAAGAAAACTCCTTTTTAGTCGATGCTGCCTTTGAATTTCTCGTCAAAGACTACCAAAGAGGTATGCTTTTATTTGAATAATTATACCTAGAAACTTCAAAATGATATTTTTAAATATTCTTATTTTCATTCCTTAGTTCACGAGTCAATATCAACAAAAGGTAACTCCGACCCCCTTCATGCGATGATACTGTATCTCAACAGACTAACGGAATCGGAAACGCTGAAAGTCAACAACTTCCTGAGCTTCTTTTTCAACCCCGAATCGTTGATGGTCTATCAAGTCGCGCTGCAACAATTCTCCAATGCCTGCCTGTAATCACTGTACATATTATACCCTGTATAATAAAAAGATAGCAATTGAATAGTCATGCTTTATTGTTCATGAAGAAAATAAGCATCATTAAAAGCGCGATTAATTTACTTCTTGACGCAGGAAATCTTTCCAGGCTTTCGCTTCCAGCCCTTGTTGGACTTGCACTTGACAACTCCGTCGGACCAGGGTCTGTTCTGCTTATCGGAGAATTGTTGGAAGCCTTTGTTGCATTGGAGCTTGCACTTTCGGCCCTTGCCTTTTTTGGTACCGTCATCGTTCAAGTTTCGCTGGCACTTCCACTTGCCATTTTCAACAGCTGGAATTTTCTGACCCTTGCACATTCCTAGAAAAATTAAACGCTAATCTTATAAAGAAAACTTACCTGGTCCTTTCTCGTCGACATCGAGAGCTCTCCAAGTTTTGCCATCCTCCGATTGTTGACCCTGATCGTCAAAATAGACGTCGACGAGCTGAGCTGACAAAGCACCGAAAAAAAGTCCCAAAAGCTTCATTTTTTCAAAAGACTCTGATTCGAACCGCCGACCGAATCGTTTTTATGCGCGTGAGATAAGATAGACCGCCAGCTGTGGTAAGATTAATTCAGAGAAACGAATTCATGTCACATGAGTATAAACAGGCTTGATTTAAGGTTTATCTTTGGGATTTAGAAAATATTCTCAGCATTTTTCAATCATTTGACTTATCGACTAAGTCTTAGTATAAAGTCGCCAGTTTAGTCTTGTTGCAAGCAATCTTTTCTATCAAGAACCGTTAAATGGAGCTTTCAAGCCAAGTTAGGATTTCGAGTTCAGAACCTTTGTTTTTCAAAAGTCCTCCCGAACCGGGAATCGAACCCGGGCCGCCGGAGTGAGAATCTGGAATCCTAACCCCTAGACCATTCGGGACTTGTCTAACGACCTCAAGATAGTACCCACGCCCGAAGTTGTACTGGGAGTCTTTCAGTTACACCATAGATAATTATTTGGTCGACAGACAATCGAAGGTTTTCCAACTCAGACTCAACGACCGTCACAAACAAATAAGACTCCAGTTCAATGAATTCATTCTGAATCAGAATTTCTGATATCTTGTTTCGATCTTGTTGACAAACCATGGATCGACTAACGCTGGCTTTGGAATATCAAAATGTCAATCATGTTCATCACTCCTGAAATCCGCCAAAGGTTCAACTCACCTCCCTCTAAGCTTCAACTTTTAGCTTTATTTCAAATACCAAGCTGAGTCAGAAGAGAAAGCATCGCTTACTGAGCATGAAAGTTAACTTATTTCGTTTCATATTTAGAAACATCGCGGGAGCTGTTTATCAATAAACCGAGGTCGCATAAACAACGCTCGGGAGTGCTATGAAATTTTCGGTTTTATGCTCGTGATTAATATTTGTCCTTGGGGTTTGATTTCAACTTGATTCACTGATCAGTCACTGATCATCAGTGATCAATGATCATTCTGGATCATCGCAACATAGAATTAGAAAGAAAAAAGAATTCATGAAATTTTTCAAAGAGAAATTTTATTGAAGCTCTCTTTTTCTATAATTGAATATTATTCTATGAGCGTAAATAAAATTATTATTTTTCAACACGAGGAATTGAATTTTTCTAATGCCTCTTTCTGTCTAAATTTCGAATATCCGCGTGATTGATGTATTGGCATTAGGCCCTTTGTCGGTTTCTATAGAAGCACTGACTCTAGGATAACCGCGCAAACGCAGAAACCGTGTGGTTTTGACCCTGCGTCACAAGCGATCAGCTATCCGGAAGCAACCGATAATATATTTTGATGCGTGTCGGCCAGCTACTTATATCCAGCATCCGGTTGGAAAAAATTTAAAGAGAAATCAAATATAAAATAATGAAAATAAATTGTGAAACTTTACTACTTTTTCTTTGGCAGAAAATACAGGTATGATCGTACGAAAACTCCGCGCATATTAACCCTTTTATAGGGTAATCGAATTGAGTGGAAATTCGAAGGACCCGGGTTGAACGAGCAAGTCAATTTACCTGTAAGATATTTTTACGGGATACCTACTCAGAATGGAACGATTTTTTCTGATTTTGATCCTTCGGGTGAGTTTTTTTAAATCTTTACTCTTCTTCAAGAAGATGTAACCAACTGACAATAATTTATCTGTGAGATGAATTGTTCATCAAATTATAATTCGTTCAATCATTTTTAATTCTTTATTCGAACACTTTTTTAGATATTTCGTTCAAAATAATCGATGAAAAATCAGGCAAACGAGCTCGAGCAAGAACAGACTTTGGAGTAACTCACGATGGCCGCGTTCTCTTCCGATATAAAGTCATCTCCCCCTTTCTAACTTCGTCGACCCTCAAACTTCAATACCGAAACTCGCCAATCTTTGAAAAAACCTTCAAAAACCTTCTCTCGGAGTCCTGTTCCTGCCCAAAGTCTAGAGATGAATTCAAAAACTCTTTCCAATGCGAAGAGTTCAAGCATTTAACATCTTCATTCAACCGGTTGAAGAGCAAAAAAATCACAAAAGAGACCATCGCCAATCATTCTTCAAAAACCTTCGCCGACGACAGCGTTGTCCATTACATCATCAAGAACAACAGACTTTATTCAAAGACCCTTTCTCCCAACCTAGATTTCAAGCGCTTCTCGGACGGCATCATTCTTTCCCTCCTCCGAAAAGTCAGGCTTCCAGACATCGAATTCTTCTTCAACGTAGGTGACTGGCCCCTGTCTACAGATTTCCCGATCTTTTCTTGGTGTGGAAGCGATTCAACGAGCGATATCGTCGTTCCAACCTGGGATCAGATCAAAACAACGCTTCTTTCCATGTCAAAAATAAACGTTGACATCCTAACCATGCAGCTCAACGGGCCTAAATGGAAGCAAAAGGTCCCAAAAGGCTTTTTCCGGGGAAGAGATTCCTCAAAAGAAAGAATAAGGGTATCCTCTCTGAACAACACTTCAATAGACGCTGGAATAACCAGCTTTCAATTCCATTCCCAAGGGGAAGATAAGAAGGTCCCGATCGTCCCAATGACCGATTTTGGCAACTTCAAATTTCAACTGCTGTTGGACGGGACTGTAGCTCCCTACAGAGCGCCCTACATCTTCCAAACAAACTCTTTAATCTTCAAACAGAAATCAAAATATGCTGAGTGGTGGTACCCATATTTGAGAAAGGACATCGATTTCGTTGAAGTAGACGAGAAAACTGAAAACATAGAAGAGAAAATACAATGGGCCCTGGAAAACGACGAAATTGCTGAGTGGATTGCTCAGAATGGATTCGACTTGACAAGGGACCTTTTGAAGCCGGAAAATGTTTACTGTCATTATTTACAAGCATTTGAACAGTACAGGTACGCTTAAATTATACTTTTCTTTTTTCTAATGAGAAAATTCTAGCGAGTTGATGGATTTCGACCCTACCGTAACCGAAGACTTCGAACTTATCGACAAAGATCCAGAAATAACTGTATCAACCTGTAATTGCGAGATGCATGAGAGTCATGATGAGTTGTGAACACTAGAATTTCTAATTTACTGCACAAAAGTTGAATAAAAACAAACAACAAGTTATTATTCGTCAAATTTATTGAGAAATCTTTTTCTGGCAAAATCGACAAAGTTTATAATACAGTGTGCTTGTGGGTTTGTGTTCGTAAAGTTCGTTACTGTTACGCGATATTAAAGCAGTATTAAATTGAATAAGGGAATTGTTAGATAAGATTAAATTAAAGTAAATGTATAAACTTGGTGATAAAGACTTGGAGGAAGAATACTGATTGGAAAGTGACTAGGAAAGAAACTAAAAATAAAGAACTTAACTTTTGTTTTTGTCTTTTTTGAATTGGCTTGTTTTGTTAGATCTGATAAGAATTGGTGATGATTTCGCATTCAGTGAGTGTTTGGCGACTCGGAAAGGAGTCTAGGCAGTGGGGTTTTTTCATTGACTGCATTTTTGTTACAAAGGGTTGAATTCCAGAGGGCAAAAATCCTCAGAGAAGTCCGAACTAAAGCAGGGCTATTTTGAAAAAGTGAACGAAAGTAAATAGCCCCAGCGCAGCGCTAGAAAAAAGATAAATTGAAGCATTCTTGTTCGTTTTTAAAACTGAAAATTGCAGTTATCAACAAAACGCTCCCCGATAACAGTATATACAGTTAAAATTTATAAAAGTTTAAGCAGGTGCGCAACTATAACTTTAACTCTTTTGTTAGGATGTCTGCGTTAATACTTATTTTGCTTCTTTCGATATTTAAAGTGTTTCGAGGTGAAGGAAGTTGGTGAGAGTCATGTTAAAAGAAAGGACCACTGCTACTGGAAGGAAGACATGTGCGAGGGCAGATTGGGGTCCAGATGCGGTGCGGCGGAATGGGATGGGTACGATCCCAGAGAGGCAACAGAAGCAGGAGGGTTCAGGACCGAGCCGGGGCCGAACTCGCTGTAGGGGATCTTGTTGGGCGGCACCTGAAATATCAGTTAAGAATTGCAAGAAAAATTGGACGATCGGCGCCACTTTTACGGGACCGACAATCTTAAAGCATGTTTACTTGATTCCAGTACTCACCATATTATCACTCGAAGAAGTGCCGTTAGCAGGTTGATTAGGAATTTGCGAAAAGTCGGGTTGCGAGCCAGTTGGCGGCACTGGCTGACTCGGTAATTGCGATTGAGGCAGTCCCATCGAGCTTGGATCGGCCCCGTCCGGCCTTCTCTTGAGGCAGGCTGCTTTTGGGTTGAGATTGCGGTCGCGCACTTGATGCTCCAGATTCATGATCACGTTTACTGCGTGTTGTAGAATAGATAGTTTTGTCTAAAAGCGGGTTGTTAGAGACAGCAGTTATTCTAAAAGGACAGAAGTCGGTCTAATTGGATTTTTCTTTCGAATAATTTTGACGGGTAACAGAAGCCTATTAGAATAATCAAGAACGAGCAAGTACGGTCCTTCCCTGTGAAAACCCAGTAAGTAACTTAGAACAATCGGATAATAGGAATTCGAACGGATCTGAAAGCGAGTTCCCAAAACTAACCCCGTAAAGCAAAAAAGGAACTTGATGATTACCTGAGGCTTATCATTTTTGAGATGCATTTGAGTCATCCTGCCGAGCTCCTTGAAGGCTTCGTTGATATCCCTCACGCGTAACCTTTCACGAGCATTATTGGCGACTCGTCTCTGCCTCTCACGCTCCTCTCGTTCGGCTGGCGTCAGCATTGACAGATCTTCTTCTTTTTCTTGCTTTGCTGGGAGCATGTGTCCGCCTTCAAAAGCTTTTTAAAAAAAATATCATCAATAAAGCAAAAAAGGACTTCAAAAACAAGACAATTTATCAGTCAGGTGACTATTCTCTTACCTTTTTCATAAGGACTAGGCCTGGATTTCTCCTTTTTCTTCTTCGTTTCCGCCTTCCCAAGATTTGGCGCTTCAGGAACCTGCCCTGGATAGCCGCCCATTTGCGCCCAAGGATTCGGATACCCTGAAAGAAAAACACAATCAATAGACGGAAGAGGGGGTTTGAAATCCTACCAGGAAGTCCCATGCCAGGCGTTTGAGGTCGAACGCCCGGCAAGCCTCCTTGAAGCGCGTTCAGTCCAGCCAGGGGGTTGAAATCTTGACCCCATGGATATTGCATCCCGCCATTTTGATCCCCCGGTATACTCTATAAAAATCAATAACACTAAGAATATTAATTGACTAAAAGTAAACACTGGCTCAACATGAAGGAATAAGCTGGTCTTCCTGTGTAGTAACCTGAGTCAGGATCCTGAAAGAGCTTCAATGAAAAGCTGCTCGTTCAGGGGTTGATTCAGGTATTAACACAGGTTACCGAACCTAGATCGCGGTAAACGATGTCTACTCTCTTAGCTGTACCTGTGGCAAGTATGGATTTCCAGCAGCAAGTCCTGTTGCCCATTGATTCGCAGCTGCAGCGGCCGCGGCTGCCGCATGATTCGGATCATTCGCTGGATCTGCTGCGTGATCTGCCATCTTTTGTTTCTCTCTTCAATTTTCAATCGTCTCTCAATCCAGAATTTCTCAGTTTCGATTCTTGTTTTTACACCGCGGGATGAAGAGGCGCTAAATATGTTGTTATTTAGAGCTGTTTGTACTAAATCTGCGTCAGGTGCAGAAATCCTGATGCGCCGCGGGATGCGCCCAAGTGTGAACAAATATGTAGGAAACTTCACGCGCCGCTGCTTTTCTTGAGCAGCATCCCCTTAATAAGGCGATAATTACCTTTCCAAGTGGAACTAGCAAAATGCTTCTTCTATTCAGACGAATTTCAATAAGGATTTCTGAGTGAAATTCTAACCCCCCTTTTTTATTGGCTCATTGGAAAGAGCGTAAAAAGTTATCCTCGATTCGCCCAAAAGGATGAAATTTCCCCGAAATGACGTCATGGCACGTGACCAAAGTTCCAAAAGTACCAAAACTTTGGACGCTCCGCATTTTCGATCCACTTTAGCTATCAGGGCGTGCGATAGTGGAAAATGATCGTTGCAACGAGAGCTATGCGTGCATCTAGGTTTAATCCCTTCAAAAATTTTTTCAACCCTTTTCATAATTTCATAATTTCAATTTTTTGAAAAAATTTTGGAGGGATGAAACCTAGATGCACGCATAGCTCTCGTTGCGACGATCATTTTCCACTATCGCACGCCCTGATAGCTAAAGTGGGTCGAAAATGCGGAGCGTCCAAAGTTTTGGTACTTTTGGAACTTTGGTCACGTGCCATGACGTCATTTCGGGGGAAATTTCATCCTTTTTTGGGCGAATCTAGGATAACTTTTTACGCTCTTTCCAATGAGCCAATAAAAAAGGGGGGTAAGAATTTCACTCAGAAATCCTTATTGAAATTCGTCTCAAATGTGGTTCTCTTGTTTGTTCTCTTCCTCGATTCTAGTTGTTGGTTCTTTTCTTGTTTGTTGTTTCTCGATGACGATCAGCTTCTCTAACTACAGTGAGTTCTTACTGTAACGTTTTCTGAAAAAAGCAGCGGTTAAAATTGGTATTTACTATTTTGAAAAAGAAAGGCGCCTTTTTGTAAGACAGCGGGGCGCGTTGCGAACAGAGAGTGGAATATCTAGACACCTTGGCGCCAGAAAATCACCCTAAGGGTGAATCAAAGTGAATTTTCACGCACCACCACCCACGCAGGGATAGTGCTGGTGTGGTGCAGCAGCGCTTATAATAATGGGTGCGCACTCGCATTTCGTTTTTTTTTTCTGGTGGAGGTGTGAGTTGTGCGCCAGCACGCGTAGCGAAATTGGTGTTTGATGACTAGCAAATTACCACACAGAATTTTCGGAAGGAATTGGTACACAGATGGTTATGGAATGCAAAGATAATAATTTAATTATTATTTAATCAAGGCAAAGTAACAGAAAGAAGTATAGAAACTAAACACTATTTTTACAAAAGAGTTGATCAAAAATGTATGCATGGGGCCATTTTTATATCAAATTGTTACGATTGATTTTGTAAGAAAAGAAGAATTTTCACGATAATTGGATTATTGATGTTTAAAAAACCTTTAATTTGAAACTGTTTTCCGATAAGCAAGAATCTGACAGTGATAAAAAGACTGATTCAACACTTATATAGACGTACTTATATTCTAGTAAAGGCAATTTTGCACGAATATCTTCGCGAGGATAAAATTATCGTGGCCGTCAAGTTTTCAAAATTATCCCGCGAATTACACCGCGCTTGTTTTTCTTGGAGCATCAAGAATAATAAATCATCTCTCGGCGCACGAGCCAGACCTTTCCTGGAATTTAATTCAAAATCTCCTCGCTCTTTTTCTTTCTCGAATTTCAAAACTTTCACGCTTTTTTGACGGGCTTTTGAATTTCTCTCAATTTAAATTTCCTTTCATAATTATTCATAACTCGCTATGGACTTACACGCGAGCGGTCGTATATGAATAGAGCGGTAGATAGAGCGTAGAATCAATAAAAAATTAACTCGATTTACGTCTCCCCTTGTTTGAATAGCTCTACGAAGGGAGGTCGGCTTCGCCATCTGTCAAATTCAAATCTGTCAGTTTAACACTCAAACCGTCACTTTTTCGTTGTGAATTTGAGGAACCTGGCTTAGCTACAAGAAACTACCATTTTTAACATTCAAATTGACAGCCAAAAAATCATAAAATCTTGAAGATAAATTCCACAATGACTCATTGAGCTCATTGTCAATGAGCTTGACGCCCTTAATTTTCAGTTTTTTTCTTGAAACTCAATTTTGAGAACTCAGAACTGGCAATTTAGAAATATGGCTCAAGTAAGTTTACCCGAGGAAAGTGTGTAAAAGAAGATAAAGTAAACATCGTTGATATTTCCGCTGGCACTTAGGGCCCGCGATACCCCTTTTTTTTATCAGCAGTCCTTGGGTCAAGTAGCCCGTGTTCACCCGTGTCAAATTTGCCCGATTTGCGGCCGGATGATTTTGGAAGCAAAAAATTACAGCTCTCCAAAATCGGCAAGATTAGCAGTCATTCTTATCAAATCGGAGGGCTCTGGCACACTTGACCGCGTCGGAAAAAACATGATCATCGGCTATTAGCCTGTTTCCTGTGGCCATTCGTTCTCTTGGCCGGAAGCTGAGAAGCGTGAAATCGCCTAGCCTAAGGATCGTTCAACAGATATATATAATTTCCGGAAATTCAATTTTCACACGCGAAAGTCAAAATTTGAAGAATTACATAACCTTCACTTTTGATACTGAAAACAAAGTTATTCTTCGATGCAGCAGGTGCACGGGCCAGCTATTCTCTGTGAAAAAGAAAGCTTCGTTCTGGGGCCATTTGCTGAGTGGTGCTAAGCCAGCTTTCACTAGCAGGTTCGCCCAGCGAGATAGTGAAAATCTCCCTCGGCCTTAGTGTTACTCCTCATATTTATAACCCCAACTACCACTGTTTATCGCGGCTCGCCTACAGGAAGGGGTCATTATGAGACTACCTTTTTAGTCTGACCTCGGAACCTGACTCAGGTTTTTCGCACATGTTGTTGAACACAGGTTTTAGTCAAATGTTCGGGCAAAAGTAAACATTGTCAATCTTAATTTCATTATTCAAAAATTACTTGATTTTCAGCGATAAAAAGGTTAAACATAAGATAATTAAATAAAAATGAATTAGAATAAAATTATGATAATAAAATGGTTGTTACAAGCATCTTCTTTGTTGAAGTCTTCTACGAATTCCTTTTCTTTTCAGTAAATCTCTATTTTTCAAAAATGAGGGATTAGTTAAGTCGGATCTTCAAGAAAAAAGTTGCGTCCGGTTTTTGGGATTTTGAAAAATCGTCTCGGCGAGCGGGGAGATGCGCCCACCGACGCATTATGACGGCTGGGCCAATCAGCTGGCGTCTGGCGCAAGACACCCGTCGAGCGCGAATCGATTCAGAAAATGCAGCTCTCAGCATTTTCACCCCACCGGGCGCGCTTGGCTTTGCCCCGGGGATGAGCCGCCTTCTGAGCCCTTTCTCTTTATTTCCTCGTTGATTTCAGCATCAAATATATTCAAAATTTGATGGGTAATTCAAATTTAATGCAGATAAGTAGTTTAAGACGGACATGAACAAAAAATTTGTTTATTAAGAATTTCATGAAGAAAATAAGCAAGGAGTTCTCAAGCGCCGAAGTAATCAGTAATAAAGTCGTCGAAGTCGAAGGATTTCATGTCAATGTTCAGCGCATCAACAGGTGCTTTTCGCTTCTCCACTCCTGGTTTAGCTAATTTTGCCAAGTCTGAATGCAGTAAAGTTTGTTTAAAAACCTTGAACGAAAAAATAAAGACCTGGGAGTATCCAAAAAGGCGAGGCAAAAGCACAGCTAGCGACGTATCCAAAAACTTTCATTCTCGAATTGAACTGGCGAGAAAGTCTGCTGCTCGGTTTTTATGCAGGCGCGAAAATCTGTTGGGCTCATTATACTCAATCAAAACCCTCATTTCATCCGGGATCAGATCCTTCTGACGCGCGGGGAATCGGGAAATGATCAATTATCTTCCTGGAACACGGTAGTTATCCTCTCGTAAGAATTTGAGACAACTGGTTTAAAGTGAACTTTAATTTCTTGCCAATAGATCCCCATTTTTGTGACAAATATCGCCAAGTCAATGATGAAATCAACAAGGAGAACCTTTTTTCGGAAGAAAATAATTTTTTGATAGTTTTAAACGATGAATTCCTGCTTGACATTTAACCCTTCCGGATGATGCAATACGCGTACTGTGAAACTTATTGACACGCCTCCAATTGATATTTATTCACAGAAATCATTCTCTTAAAATTCTCTTTAAAAACCGGTTCCCTGGTCAAAGAGCACCAGTCTTTGCTAAAGAGCCAGAGAAAATTGCAAAAAATGAGGCATATTTCAAATGTTTTTGCCGGATTTGGCCTCGTCGCTTCTCAATCAAATGATTGCCCGTGAGTTTTTCAAGAGAAAAATGAGAGTTTCGAAACCATTATTTTTCAGAAATCAAGACGCTTACGATGCTTGCCAAGCTCACAACAGCGGAGTTTTCGAAGATTGCATCGCATCATGCGAAGACAGCCGATGCCAGGCAATTTGTCTAGAGAACAATCAACTTGCAATGGACGACTGTCCATGCTCAACCAATTGCCCGAACGGATGTGATGGCTGTCAGAGCACTTTCTGCGGTGCTTGCGACAATCCACAAGCTAATGACGTCAACTATCAAGTCTGCGTTGACAAGAACTCCGGTTTCCTGGATTTTTGCTTGAAGCAGTGTTCTAATGATCCGACTTGTCACAGAACTTGCTACGATGAGTATGAGTCCAATCTTGAGGACTGCCCTTGCATGAAAAACTGCCCTAATGGATGTCCTTGCGAAGACTCAACAAAGGCAAGGTTTTCGTCATTTTCAATAGTAATTTTTTTTTCGTAGTGTGAGCGATATCTTCAAGTGATCAGCGATCTGGAGCTTGATCGAGTCAACTATTTGATTGGAAGCGAAGGTGATTTCCTTGAACAACGATATTACTCGACTCCGGAGCCTCGAGTTGGTTCAAACGGATATCTTTACAAAGCTGGTCATGCCATGCTCAAGGGTCAGCTCTACCTTTTCGGCGGCGACTACGACTTTCGACGGGTGAGGTTAATTTTCTGAAAGGTTTTAAACATTAAAGGTGAGCATTCTGGCTGGATGCGAATTTGTCGATTTCGATTACAAGCTGCTCACCAATTTTGACGCGTACTTCGGCTCTGTTGCTGTCCAAAATGATTCAGAAGGTAGCTTCTTACCCTATCATCTTTTGTTCGAGTTTTTAGTCTATCTTTGCTTCCGAAACAATCCGTCCAAGACTTGCGAGGTGTTCAACGGCTCTAGCTCTCGAATTGAAGCAAGAGAGACGAATGTTGGTCACTATCGAGGTGCACTTGGAATGTATGAAAATCAACCTATTGCTGTCGGCGCTTGGTCCGCGACAGAAGGGATGAAAGTTGAAATTCTCGGCGAAGCCGCTTGGGAGCTCGTGCAGGACCATCCAGAGTAAAAAGATTCATGGAAAAGAAATATTTTCAGCAAAAATTCAGAACACACTACAGTGCTGGAGTGGTGACAGTACCAGAAGGAATTCTCTCCGTGGGTGGATACAGTTACGAAACCAACGCTGCGATGAGGGACGTCTATCTCTTCAGCAATCTTGAATGGTCACGTGTTGGAGAACTCAATTTTGCAACTCGGTACAACACAGTTTACGCTCTTGGCAATAAGATTTTCTCAATCGCCGGAAATCAGTAAGTAAACGGCAGTTTCTTGTTTCTTAGATTTTGTTTTTAGGAGTCCTTACCAGTCGGAAAAGTTCACTTGGGATGAAGGCTCCATTTCGGACCAAGAAATGGTAATGGGCCATGGTCGGCAGTTCACAAGACCAGTGGTTTGGGAATCAGAGCCTGGCCAGTGTGAAGATTCCTGCGAAAATTTCTGTTTTGCTCCTTGAGATTTCTCATAGAAATTAAAAATCTGTCTAAAATTCCAGATTGGATGTTGTCCAAGATAGCTTGTTTTCTTGCTTACCTTATTATGAGAAACTTATTTTTAACTCGAAAAGTTAATTAAAATGCAGAGGGCGTGTTATGAGTTGAACCGTCACTGGAACGTGCCCCTCTTGAATCTTCACATTCCGACATAAGAAGAAGGGAAGCGCCAAATTCATCCCACGAGTGGAGCATATCGAATTTTGAATAAAAGTAAAGCACCTTTATTCTGATTTGATTTGACGTAAGTTTTGACCTGAATATTCAAATTAAAGTCAAGATGGTCGAAAATTTTCCTTCGATAAAAAAAGGTGGCTAAAGAAGCACATACGAATAGTCATTTTTACCAAGATCTGGCAAATATCTTATTATTATTGGCAATAAGAGATCAAAACAAAATTAAAATAGCTCAATTATTTTTTCGTTTGATCGGGCAACAACGTTAATTTTTATAAAACGTTTTTCAAAACGAAATGTTTCTTATCACAAAGGGATCGAGACATGTTTTCTCATAATATTGAAAGCTAAGCTGATCGCCGCGTTTGTTTTCAAAATTCCTTTCGCTTTCCGATACGGACGCTCCCTACCGTAGAACCCTACGTATTCCATATTCGAGGTAAAATTTAAGGGGGAGGTCGACGAGAATCGGGATTTCCGTGACCAAAAATGCGGAGAAACCCGATTAGATAGAAAAATTCTGACTTTTTAGATTAAAAGAAAAGGGTTTGAAAAATTAACCGGCGAAAAGCAGAAAAAAAATTTTTTAGAAAAATTTTTCAAAAATTAGGGTTGAAGTGGGGGTGTCTCGTGACCAAAAAATCTCGAAAACCGAGTTTTTTTTTCTTCATCAAATATAATTTATAAATAGTTTAGACCCTTAAAAATTAACCGGCGGTCAAAAAATTAAGGGTTACTATCATAAAAAATTTTTTCTTATTGATTAAAAATATTCGATTTTCGTCAAAATCGACATTTTTACCCATTTTTTCATGGAAATTTCTACAAAAATCACAAAGACTCGGATTTTTCTTAAAATTATTAGTCAGAAATCATTTTAAAACAATGCCTAGTGCATACTAATCAGTTTCAGATAGTTTTTCGACGAAATCAACAACTAATAATTTTCAAGAAATTTCAAGTTCGAGACTTAAAATCGAAAATTTTACATTAAAAAGTTAACAAATCGAGAAAAAGCTAGGGACCAAAAATATAATCAGAATTTTGAAAAGACAAAAAAAATTTTCTCGACGACCTCCCCCTTAAGGCTTCCTTTGCTTACCGGGTAAGCCTTACCCCATGACCGATTTCAAATCGGATTTTTCCATTTCAAATCGGCGATTTTTCAAGCAAAACTTTTTGAAACTCGCAAAGAAAATTTAAATTTCACTTCAAAATATTCAAGCCCCTTACCCCTAAATACTCTCTGATACCGAATACAGTGACAGGATGGACGGAATCTATGGCTCGAATGAGAACTACGAAAATGAATTTACTGATCATTTCATCATCACGTATTTTTATTGTTGAAAACATAAGCTTTGAGAACATCAGACCCACGTGGGTAAAGCACTCGCAAGGCATCTGAGCACCGGAATGAGTACACCACCAACACGAGGGCGCTGGCCGCGCCCCGCCACCATTTTAACTAGCAACTTCCAGAGCTCCTTTGCTTGCGGCACTTTGACGGGTGCTTCATAAGGAGTGTACCACACGGAATCCTTATCATTCATTCTGAGAGTTAAGAAATTACTTGACTCCAGAATGGTGAAAGAGATTCTCTCCTATTTCCTTGCTTTTTCTTGGGTCGGCCTGGCGCGGGCCGATTTCCAATTCATCGACTTTTGGGAAGCTTCAGACGAGTACGCGGCAGAGATATTTTCGACGCTCAATGTGGGAAGTAAGAAGTTCGCGAGTTCCTTCCAAAATCGCTACAACCGAGCCAAATTGGCCGCCAAGTTCTACCAAGACAGCGGTCCCTGTGACTCTGGCTTCACCAACCCATCGTATGAGCCCGTAGAGATGAAGATTTTCGACCCACGAGCGGCGATGAGTACCAACTTGCGGAATTTTGCCGACATGCTCGATTCTTGGATCAACTCGTACGCTTGTCTCGCCTCAAGAGACCGTGTTGCTGGTAAGCAGATCCGAGTTCCTCAGCGATCTGTTAAAGACATTCGCAAGATGTCAAAGCGAGACGAATTTCAGGCACTGGTGGAATTTTTTAACAAAAATCTAATATCTGAAAGTGTTTTTGAATACAAAGAGATGTAAGAATAATGAAAAAATGTCAAAAAAATTAGTAAAGATACCTTATTTTTAGCGAATCGGATTTTTTCCGAAAACAATTTTTACGATAACTTATCACAGATGCGCATCATCGCTCCACATTTTTGGGGCCGCAAAGAGGGTTTTCCACTTTCCTAGTCGCACTGGGTGTTAAAAGTTTCATGCTTTCACCTGAATCGCTCTCGGAGTGAGAAACTGCTGCTATTTCTGTTTACGCAGGATTCAATATGAAATGAGGATATCTAGGGGAAATCACTAATAATTAAGCTTTTTCTAGCTTAGTAGGGTGGGACTATAATACAGATTTAGAAATTCTAAATTAGAATCCCCAAAAGCTAGGGGTCATTTTGACTATTGATAGTGGGGGGTCAACTCGTACCCTGAGGGCATTTAGGCACCTCTGAAGTCCCAAAATCTGGCCAACTTCGGAAATTTGAATTTTTGAACGCCCAGACCGCCCCTTTAGAGCCAGCAACTATGCTAGAATTGTAGCCCAGGCTCTGACGGTCATTTTGAGATATAGAAAAGTACTGAGACCCGGGGGTTCCTGAGGAGCTAGAGGCTCTTGAAGTTCGGGAACTCGACAAAAATTGAGTACTTTTTCACAAAAAGTACACAAAGTGTTTTGACCAAAGAGAATATACTGTCATGAATAGTTTTCACCTTAACTCAAGGAAGAGGAGTTTGCGTACCACATCTCACCAACAACGATGGACTACGATGAAGCGTTGGCTTACTGCTATCTTCGCGGAAGTTGGCTTGCAGAACCAGCTGGTGATAAAAATCGCTTCGGTGCGATGAAGAGTGCACTCGATAATCAGTGGTATTGGTTCCACGGTGACGATTCGTGCACTGCCGTTTCTGGTACAGGCGAAGTCGTCGATGAAAATTGCAACTCACAGTTTCCGGCGGTCTGCGAAACTGGCCAATTTACTGACAAGTGCTATCCTGCTGAATACAAGTGGTGTACTGCTTGGGGAGATCCTCATTTCACGACTTTCGACGGAGAGTTTCACCATCTCCAACCTCGATGCGAATATGTCATGGCCAAAGTCGATACTGATGAATACCCAAATGTGCCAAAATTTAATATCATCGGTGATTTTGCTCCTGTTGAGCCTGGTTCATCCCTGACTTACACACAAGGCTTCACGTTTGAATTTCCTGGGCAGGATCAATCGCCGGATGAGATTCCGAGATACGTCATTTCTGTTGAAAGAGATGACCGAAGAACATCTGGCATCCGAAGAAGCATTCTTGAAGATCGTCTGACCGGCGATTCATACGATTCATCTTTCGGAAACAATGATTTCGACTTGTATATTTCAGATACGGTTGTTGTAATAATCACTTGGTTTGAGGTCTACGTAAAATATACAGCCTCTGCAGCATGGAACGGAAGAAATTATAAACTTCAGATCAGGGTTCCTGATTGTTACGCTCATAATATCAATGGACTTTGCGGGAACTACGACGGTGAAAAATACGTTGAATTTACATCTGGAACCTCTGGTTCTCTCACCAGGGATCTCGACAATTGGAGGACAACTCAGGAAAATCTTTACGCATGGGCTGATCAGTTTCAAGTTCCTGACGAGCTTTGCCATCGTATCTTTGACCTTAACTGTGCGGTTGATATCAATCATGCTATCACTGCTTGCCAAGCACTTGATCCTGACAATTCCGAATCTATTTTCGAGCCCTGCAGTGGCGATAAAGGCGATGCGTTCTTCAGCTGCGTTACAGAAAAATGTGATAGATCAGACGAATGCCTAGCATTTGAATCGTTCGCGAAAGAGTGCATTAATGCTTTGGAACCAGAAGAAAGAGAACCAATCTGCGACTGGGCGAATGAACTGGGATGTTCTACAGCTTGTGGGGCTAATGCTGTTTTCGAAGGATGTGCCGACACGTGCGCTGCAACAAGAACATGCAGAAATCGTCATCAGAGTGATTTCGAGCGATGTGGTGCAAACACTGAGATCGATAGCATGTGCGTTTGCGAACCAGGATTCATACTCGATGGAGAGGACTGTATTCCTGAAGAAAACTGCGGTTGCACAGAAAATGGCTACTACTACGCCCTCGGTTCGGTGTTTCAAAAGCCAAATCGTTGGTATCCAGAAGAGAACTGCGAATGCACAACTTCAGGAATTGTCTGTACGCCGACCCCATGTGATCAAATGCAAAAAGGACACTGCAAGATTCACAGCGACCCTTGGATAACAACTTTCGACAAGACATATTACGCATTCCATGGCAGCTGCAGATACAATCTCGTTAAGGCTGATGATACTGAAGATCGACCTGGGTTCTCTATTGATATCAGTAACAGAGGCAGTAGCAGATGGACAAGTAGAAGTGGATCACATTCTGGAACTGTTGTGGACCAAATCTGGCTAGAAGCACATTCAAGCGACTACGTATTTGGAAACCAGAAAAGATACTTCTTTCATTTCAACAATAGAGATAATTCAGCAGATTATATGCAAACAGAACTAGATATCACCCTGGTTGATCGTTTAACTGAGCGGACGTATTTTAATACTGATTTTTCAAATGATGATATCAGCTTAGAAATCACATTGAGCGATTATGCTCATACAGCTGGATTTAATCTTCAAGTGCACTCGAATGGTCTTCAGATCAAATATAAGTACTACTATTGGTGGATGGACGTATATGTTCCAAGTTGCTACAAGGAGTCAGTTTCAGGTCTCTGCGGTGATTGGGACGGCAACTCTGATTTTTCGTTGTCTCGAGACTACCAAAACGATCCAGACGAGTTTGGCGAACGATTCATGACTGCACGAATTTCTGACGAATGTACCCACGGTCGATTTTTCGAGCCTTGTGAAGATTTAGAGCCGGCGGAATTCACTGCAGCGATTGAGAGATGTGATTCTCTTGAAGATGGAACAGATCAAGCCGAGGTTTTCAGAACATGTGACTTCGTCAGCGATAAGCAGGGATACTTCGATCGTTGTCTCTGGAATAGCTGTCTCGACCTTGCTTGTGGATCTATCCAGAATTTTGCTGAAGAATGTCTTCTCAGAAAAACGGAAGGCACTGCAGATTTCAATGAAATTTGTAACTGGCCTCAAGTGACGAGCTGCACCGAAGAATGCTCAGGAGGACAAGTTTTCAAGGGATGTACAAATTCTTGCAAGGAAGCAAGAACATGCGATGATGTTGTCAACGGAGTCTCAGATGCTGATCGCTGTGGATCAGAACGTTCAATCTATCCTATGTGCGGTTGTCCTGATGGACAAGTCATGCACAATGGAGAGTGCATCAACGAAGAAGCTTGTCCTCGTGATTGCGTTTCAACAGGAACAAGCTATTGCACAGCATATGGTGATCCTCACTATAGAATGTTCGACGGCGATACCCACCATTTCCAGGGTGCTTGCAAATATAGGCTTGTTAAATCATCCGGCGACGACGAGTTTAGAAACATGCCAGCATTTAATATTGATGTTGATCAAAGACGATGCGGAGCCGATAGTAACGCAGTTTCCTGCGTACAAGGAATGACGTTTGAGTTCCCTGGAAAGAATCAATTCCGATCTGAGACTCCAAGATACTTTTTTACAGTTGATCGGTTCTCTTACATTTTTGAAGATCGCCATACTGGACAGTCTTACGAAAATGGTTTCGTTAATGATGACGTCACCTTTGAAAAAAGAGGGTCTACTGCTTATGTGCGAACATGGTTCGAGGCAGAAACTTCCTACACTCCCTATAGCAGGTGGGCAACGCTACGTGTGACTCTACCAGATTGCTACATGAACCACGTTGATGGTCTCTGTGGAAATTGGAATAATCAAACGTTCGATGAGTTCAATGAGAGTGCAGGTATATGGAAGAGTGAGGGTCAATGGCGAGTTCATCAAGAAGAGCTCGTGGAATGGGCAAACGATTTTGCGGAGCCTGATCCAAGATGCCGAGAAATTCATGATTTTGAATGCGATGACATCGATGAGGTAACAGATCTCTGCGCTGAACTTGACAAAAACATTCCTGGTGGCGTTTTCCATGAATGCACCGCTCCTCGAGATGCTGCTTATATGTCCTGTATGATTGACACCTGCATCTCACGTGATGCACGATGCAGTACGCTTCAAAATTATGCAAGAGAATGCTTGAACACGATTCCCTTTCACCTACGACCAAATATCTGCTCATGGGCATCTGACACAGGTTGTGAGCTTGAATGCGGAGACAACAGTAGCTTCCTTGGCTGCGCAAACACATGTGATGCCCAGCGAACATGCAGAAACCGTCATTTGTCAAGCGAAGAACGATGTGGATCATCCGTGGACAATATTGAAAGCATGTGCGCTTGTGATCCTGGCTATATTCTTGACGACGGAGGATGCGTCTTGGAAGAAAACTGCGGATGCACTTGGGACTACAATAATCAATACTACCCACAAGGCACAACCTTTTCAAACAACGATGAAACTTGTGAATGCACAACTTCAGGAGTTGTGTGCACGCCAATTCCATGTGATCGAATGCAGAGGGGACATTGTGAAGTTATGAGCGATCCTTGGATTACAACTTTCGACAATACATATTATGCATTCCATGGCAGCTGCAGATACAATCTCGTTAAGGCTGATGATACTGAAGATCGAGCTGGGTTTTCTATTGATATCAGTAACAGAGGCAGTAGCAGATGGACAGATAGAAGTGGATCACACTCTGGAACTGTTGTGGACCAAATCTGGCTAGAAGCACATTCTAGCGACTACGTATTTGGAAACCAGAAGAGATACTCCTTTCATTTCAACAATAGAGATAACTCAGCGAATTACATGCAAACAGCACTAGATATCACCCTGGTAGATCGTTTAACTGGGCAGACTTATTTCAACACCGATTTTTCAAATGATGATATCAGCTTAAAAATAACGGTGAGCAATAATGCTCATACAGCCGGATTCAATCTCCAAGTGCACTCGAATGGTCTTGAAATCAACTATAAATATTACTATTGGTGGATGGATGTATATATTTCAAGATGCTACAAGGATTCAGTTTCTGGCCTCTGCGGTGATTGGGACGGCAATTCTGATATTTTGATGTCTCGAGACTACGAAAACGATCCAGACGAATTCGGCGAACGATTCATGACTGCACGAATTTCTGACGAATGTACCCACGGTCGATTTTTCGAGCCTTGTGAAGATTTAGAGCCGGCGGAATTCACTGCAGCTATTGAGAGATGTGATTCTCTTGAAGATGGAACAGATCAAGCCGATGTGTTCAGAACATGTGACTTCGTCAGCGATAAGCAGGGATACTACGATCGTTGTCTCTGGAATAGCTGTCTTGACCTTGCTTGTGGATCTATCCAGAATTTTGCTGAAGAATGTCTTCTCAGAAAAACGGAAGGCACTGCAGATTTTAATGAAATTTGTAACTGGCCCCAAGTGACAAGCTGCACTGAAGAATGCTCAGGAGGACAAGTTTTCAAGGGATGCACAAATTCTTGTAAGGAAGAGAGAACATGCGATGATGTTGTCAACGGAATCTCAGATGTTGATCGCTGTGGATCGGAACGTTCTATCTATCCTATGTGCGGTTGTCCTGATGGACAAGTCATGCATAATGGAGAATGCATCAACGAAGAGGCTTGTCCTCGTGATTGTGTTTCAACAGGAACAAGCTATTGCACAGCATATGGTGATCCTCACTACAGGATGTTCGACGGCGATACCCACCATTTCCAGGGTGCTTGCAAATATAGGCTTGTTAAATCATCCGGCGACGACGAGTTTAGAAACATGCCAGCATTTAATATTGATGTTGATCAAAGACGATGCGGAGATGATAGTAACGCAGTTTCCTGCGTACAAGGAATGACGTTTGAGTTCCCGGGAAGGAACCAACTCCGATCTGAGACCCCAAGATATTTTTTTACAGTTGATGGTTCCTCTTTCCTTTTTGAAGATCGCCAAACAGGACAGTCTTACGAAAATGGTTTCGTTAATGATGACGTCACCTTTGAAAAAAGAGGGTCTACTGCTTATGTACGAACATGGTTCGAGGCAGAAACTTCCTACACTCCCTATAGCAGGTGGGCAACGCTACGTGTGACTCTTCCGGATTGCTACATGAACCACGTTGATGGTCTCTGTGGAAATTGGAATAATCAATCGTTCGATGAGTTCAATGAGAGTGCAGGTATATGGAAGAGTGAGGGTCAATGGCGAGTTCATCAAGAAGAGCTCGTTGAATGGGCAAACGATTTTGCGGAGCCTGATCCAAGATGCCGAGAAATTCATGATTTTGAATGCGATGACATCGATGAGGTAACAGATCTCTGCGCAGAACTTGACAAGAACATTCCTGGTGGCGTTTTCCATGAATGTACCGCTCCTCGAGATGCTGCTTATATGTCCTGCATGATTGACACCTGCATCTCACGTGATGCACGATGCAATACGCTTCAAAATTATGCAAGAGAATGCTTGAACACGATTCCGTCTCACCTTCGACCAAATATCTGCTCATGGGCATCTGACACAGGTTGTGAGCGTGAATGTGGAGACAACAGCAGTTTCCTTGGCTGCGCAAACACATGTGATGCCCAGCGAACGTGCAGAAACCGTCATTTGTCAAGCGAAGAACGATGTGGATCATCCGTTGACAATATTGAAAGCATGTGCGCTTGTAATCCTGGCTATATTCTTGACGACGGAGGATGCGTCTTGGAAGAAAACTGCGGATGCACTTGGGACTACAACAATCAGTACTACCCACAAGGCAGAACCTTCTCAAATAACGATGAAACTTGTGAATGCACAACTTCAGGAGTTGTGTGCACGCCAATTCCATGTGATCGAATGCAGAAGGGACATTGTGAAGTTATGAGCGATCCTTGGATAACAACTTTCGACGATACATATTATGCTTTCCATGGCAGCTGCAGATACAATCTCGTTAAGGCTGATGATACTGAAGATCGACCTGGTTTTTCTATTGATATCAGTAACAGAGGCAGTAGCAGATGGACAGATAGAAGTGGATCACATTCTGGAACTGTTGTGGACCAAATCTGGCTAGAAGCACATTCAAGCGACTACGTATTTGGAAACCAGAAGAGATACTCCTTTCATTTCAACAATAGAGATAACTCAGCGAATTACATGCAAACAGCACTAGACATCACCCTGGTAGATCGTTTAACTGGGCAGACGTACTTCAACACCGATTTTTCAAATGATGATATCAGCTTAAAAATAACGGTGAGCAATAATGCTCATACAGCCGGATTCAATCTCCAAGTGCACTCGAATGGTCTTGAAATCAACTATAAATATTACTATTGGTGGATGGATGTATATATTTCAAGTTGCTACAAGGATTCAGTTTCTGGCCTCTGCGGTGATTGGGACGGCAATTCTGATATTTTGATGTCTCGAGATTACCAAAACGATCCAGACGAATTCGGCGAACGATTCATGACTGCACGAATTTCTGACGAATGTACCCACGGTCGATTTTTCGAGCCTTGTGAAGATTTAGAGCCGGCGGAATTCACTGCAGCAATTGAGCGATGCGATTCTCTTGAAGATGGAACAGATCAAGCCGAGGTTTTCAGAACATGTGACTTCGTCAGCGATAAGCAGGGATACTACGATCGCTGTCTCTGGAATAGCTGTCTCGACCTTGCTTGTGGATCTATCCAGAATTTTGCTGAAGAATGTCTTCTCAGAAAAACGGAAGGCACTGCAGATTTTAATGAAATTTGTAACTGGCCACAAGTGACAAGTTGCACTGAAGAGTGTTCAGGAGGACAGATTTTCAAGGGATGCACAAATTCTTGCAAGGAAGAGAGAACATGCGATGATGTTGTCAACGGAATCTCAGATGCTGATCGCTGTGGATCAGAACGTTCTATCTATCCTATGTGCGGTTGTCCTGATGGACAAGTCATGCATAATGGAGAATGCATCAACGAAGAGTCTTGTCCTCGTGATTGCGTTTCGACGGGAACTGGCTCTTGCAAAGCATCTGGTGATCCTCACTACACAATGTTCGACGGCGACACCCACCATTTCCAGGGCTCATGCAAATACAGCTTCGTAAAATCATCCGGGGACGAAGACTTTAGAAACATGCCAGCATTTAATATTGATGTTGATCAAAGACGATGCGGAGAAGACAGTCGGGCGGTTTCCTGTATTTATGGAATGACATTCGAATTTCCTGGAGAGAACCAGCATCGATCTGAAACTCCAAGATATTTTTTGACAATTGATGGTTTTTCTTTTGTATTCGAAGATCGCCAAACTGGGGAGTCTTACGAAAATGGCTTTTCTAATGATGATGTAACATTTGAAAAAATTGGTCGTTCTGCAAAAGTTAGAACATGGTTTGAAGCAGAAACTCTCTACACCCCATATCATCAATCCTACTGGGGAATATATGCGACTCTTGAAGTGACACTACCAAATTGCTATATGAATCACGTGGATGGTCTCTGCGGCAATTGGAATGGAGAACAATTCGATCAATTCCACCGAATTGGAGGTGATTGGCTTGGAGCTTCATGGCGCGCTCATCAAGAGGAGCTTGTTGAATGGGCAAATGACTTCGCTGAGCCTGATCCAAGATGTCGGGAAGTTCACGATTTCGAGTGCGATGATATCGAAGAAGTCACAGATCTATGCCATGAGCTAGATAAAAACATTCCTGGTGGTGTTTTCCATGAGTGCACAGCTCCAAAGGATGCTGCTTACCTGTCTTGTCTCATTGACACATGCATCTCACGTGATGCACGATGCAATACCCTTCAAAATTATGCAAGAGAATGCTTGAACACGATTCCATCTCACCTTCGACCAAATATCTGCTCATGGGCATCTGACACGGGCTGTGAACTTGAATGCGGAGACAACAGTAGCTTCCTTGGCTGCGCAAACACATGTGATGCCCAGCGAACGTGCAGAAACCGTCATTTGTCAAGCGAAGAACGATGTGGATCATCCGTTGGCAATATTGAAAGCATGTGCGCTTGTGATCCTGGCTATATTCTTGACGACGGAGGATGCGTCTTGGAAGAAAACTGCGGATGCACTTGGGACTTCAATAATCAGTACTACCCACAAGGCAGGACCTTCTCAAACAACGATGAGACTTGTGAATGCACAGCTGACGGCATAGTCTGTGCACCGATTCCTTGCGAAAACCGACCAACAGCGTATTGCAGATCCCATAATGATCCGTTCATTTACACCTTTGATGAGTACGAGTATTTCTTCCATGGCATCTGTCGATACAACCTTGCAAGCGCCCCTGATACAGTAGAATTGCCTGGATTCAATGTCGATTCCAAAAACAGAAAAACATTCTACGGTGCATCGTCTGGTACCGTTACTGATCAGCTTTGGTTCGATTTCCATGGAGCTGACTACGTTTTTGGCGATTCAAAACGATACTCTCTAACAATTAAAAATTTGGATACATCAATTTACTGGACAAATGCTCATTTCGAAATCACCCTTACTGACCATCGTACAGGAGAAAATATTATCGATAGAATTTCTTCTTCGACTCGAAATTCTTTCACGTCGTCTGACTATGAAATTACTGTGAAACAGACGCGTTGGAATTCGAATATTTTTTATGACACTGTCGAAATTCGAATAGCTAATGGAGTTTCAGTTGAGTTCAGCACTAAATCTTTCTCTGCTTATGTCCGTGTCAACAGCTGCTTCAAGAACATAATGACCGGTCTTTGCGGAAATTACAACGATAATAACTCCGATGAACGTCTTTTGTCAACTGAATATGACGACGATAGTAACGCCGTAGGAGAACGATTCCGAACTGACAGCGATGAAACCTGCTCACACGGAGAACTTCTCAAGCCCTGCGAAGATCTTCTCGAAGAATCTGATCAAGCTGCTGTCGATGCTGCTGAAGATCGATGTGACATTGTGAACCCAAGGCCGAACGATTATTTAAACAGAGGCTTTTTCAATGGATGCGAGTTCCTTGGAAGTAGAATGCCAACTTATGAAGCTTGCCTCTTCCATAGTTGTCTGGATCCTGAAATGCACTGCGGAATCATTGAAGACTATGCATCTCAATGCCTGGCAAGAAAAGTTGCTGGGACAGCTGACTACCAAAGAATTTGCGAGTGGGCTTCTGTCACTGGCTGTGCTCAAGAATGTCCAGCATTAGAGGTAATGATAGTCACTTTAGGCTTTTTAGAAGTTAAAAAAATATGATTTGAAATCATTGATTTCGTTAATATGTTTTATTTCAGAGCGGTCTTGGAGAAAGCCCAATAAGAGCAGAAGATCCTTACAAGATTAGTCTCGAGGTCTTCTGCACTGGTGAACGAGCTGATGCAATGACAGGAATGGCCTCGTATTTGCGACAAGATGGAAGCCAAAAGAATGGTTACTACTTCGGTGTTGGTGGAGTCAACAATAAACTACAAATTTTCGTCTGGATGTAAGTCATATTTGAAATTCATTATTTAACACAAAATCAAGGGAGAATCCAGATTTCGAAAAAGAAACTGGTTGGGAGCTTCTTACAGACTTCGGCGATGATTGGTGGGAGTTAACACGAAACCCAACATACCTCTTCCTTTGCGAAGCAGACTCCTGGAATTCCATTGTTTTGACACAAGAATACGAGCAATCTCAGAAAAAGTGGGTGAAAACGCTGAACATCAATGGCGTTGACCGATACAGAATAACAACCGATCTTCCAAATCAAGGCACACTTACTGGTTACAGTACCATTCTCGGTCGAGAAGAAAGAAGCGATCTTATGAGAAACCTGAAGATCGAGAGGCTCTCAAAGAAAGAAATCACCGCTCATGTTTTCAAGGGCTGTACAAACGCATGCTTCGAGCAGCAGACATGCGAAGATGTAGCCAGAGGAATCAGCAGAGAACAGCGTTGCGCTGCTACTGCCAACAGAGTAGAAGGCATGTGTGGATGTCCTGATGGGTTCTTGTTTGAAGATGGAGTCTGCGTTGCGGAAAGCTCATGCGGATGCATCAACAACGACGGAAACTATGTTGAGCTTGGCACAGTTGAAGGAGGATGCACTTGTACTTCGACTGGATACGAATGCGAACCAGAACCATGCCCATGTGAAGAGTTTGATTCATGCATCGACTTTATTTGCGAAGATGCCCAGTCATTTTTCGTTCCCGAGGATGGAATAATCGGAGAATTCACTGCCACTCGAAACTTTGAGCTTAGCTATGAATTCAACTGTGGAGCTATGGAAGCAAATTCTACTTACGTTGGGCCCCATATTTATGCTACAGGGGAGTTCCCAAGATCATTCAATGAAGGAGATGATCCGACAAAGCCTACCGAGGAGAAGAGAAAAAAGAAAAGAAAAGCAAGGTTCGCTGGATCACCACAATATTGGTATATTGGCTGGACTGATGCAATCGAAGAAGACTCATTAATTTCGTCAACTGTGTAAGTAAAGCTAGAATAAATTGATAATTCCATTATCACTTTGACAACAAAAAATATAAGTTAAAATTATATTTAAGATTTGATGGAGGTAAAACCTATCATGGGTTTGCTTTTTTCTTCGATCTCGGATATTGCGACGAAGAAAATTTCAATACAATGAAGTATACTCAGAATTTCGATGAAGAAGATGGGACATACACACAAAATTTTTATTTCAACGGAGAGTTAAAAGAAACAAAAGTGTATTCCGAAAACGAATTTACCCCGTATGAAGGAGATCTCACTGTTTCGCTTCTTCCTCGAGGCTACGACTATTTCCAGCGTTGGCCTGGCACCATCAAGAATTTCTATATTCGTGAGACCAATCCGGTATGTTAAAGATTGTTAGAGGAAATTTCGAGATGCTAATAATCTATTTAAGAATCGAATTGTTCTTGTCAACAATGAACCAATTGCTCCAGCAGAAGACACAATGATCGCAACACTGACTTCATCTGCCTATTACACAGCAGAAATGGAGATTTTCTGCGCTACTGACAGTTTGCCACTCGACGGGGGCTTGTTCGGCTACAAGTCTATCTTGGCCGTTACATCTGGAACTGATTACGGTGAACTTGGAAGTCGAGTCTTCACAGTGTGGAGAAACTCGGGCAACAACCTTCTTTGGTTCGCAAATCCGATCGGAAAATCAAGAGATCATATTGCGACGCCTGCGTGTGACGCCGGTCAATATAACCATTGGAAACTCGTCGTCAGAGCTGATGATACAGATGCTTCAATTACTGTGGCCGAACTTTTCAAAGACGGTGTTCTTATTGCGACCAAAACCGGTCCAAAGGTTGATTTTAATTTAGATTCAATAGATTAAAATTATTTCTAGAGTGACACAATCGGCGATGGAGAAGAACTTCAGGTTTGGGCTGGTAACGGATGGCCTGACTTCCCCAGAAGCGGCTATGGTATTGGATCTACGTACCTGATCAAGAATGTCATTTTCAACAGACAATGACTCAATGAAGATATTTACCTTGTTTGACACAAAAGTCAAGCAAATTTCTTATCACTAAACTTATCCCTTTGATTCAAAGCCTTGCCTTGTGTTTTCAATAAATATAATGTTAAATAATTACTGCTCTGTTTCATCAATTGCCTACATAAAAATGATAAAAATGTTCTTAAAGAACTGCATTATCAGTAAAACTTAAATAGTTTTTATTTTGAGTGTTTTCTTTAATAAAAATAAGCTTATCTTTATTTACGCAAGCAGCAAAAGAATTGGAATAAGGACTAACGATAATTCCTTTCTTATGGAATAATCTTTGTCACCAATAACAGGAGATTTTCGAAACACTGCTCCATCATTCGGCTCTGGAATCGAAAGACATTCATCAATCCAGTCTCGATAAGAGCTAACGCGCGAGTATACTCCTGGGCGTTGTTTTTCTGCGCAGCCTATTTTCGGGCTCAACTTTATCTCTTCATTCCGCAAAAGATGGTTTAACCCTCTCCTATTCCCCAGGAAGTAACGCCCCTCAGTACTGGTCGATTGTTTTCCACACAGATAAGAGGTCCTCCACTGTCTCCACGACAACTGTCGATTCCTCCATGTTGATAACCAGCGCATAAATATGGCTTCTCTTCCAAAAACGTCACGCCTGATTTTCTCAAGAGATTTTTACGAAAATTAGTATTTATGTGATTATTACTTGTACCAGTCATCACAAGTCTGATGATCCAAAAGTGGGACACCTGTCTCTTGCAGATTGTAAGGTCGATCTCCTTGTTGATTTTTCAAGCCCCAGCCAGCGATAAAACATTCTCTTCCCAACTCTTCCTCGGAATCAAGCTCCGGCAAACAAGCGGTTTTCGGTGGCAAAGTCAGTGACTCGGAGAAAACTGGTATTTTTGCTGAAGTGTGGATCATGCAGAGGTCATTTTTAATCGTCTGAAAACGGTTTCTTAATTTTTTAAAGTAGCTTTGGTTACTTTTGGGTCAAAAAGTGGATGAATCTCGAGTAAATCTGGTTGAAATTCAAGCTCAGGATCTTCAGTAGAATATTGATTGTGATCCATTGCGATGAAGTTGAGTTGTTCGGCCGTAAAACCTCAATTTCTAACAGAATTTGAATGCATATTGAAGAGAATACCTGCACAACAGTGCGCAGCTGTCAGCACCCAATGTGGCGAAACAATAGTGCCAGCACAACCAGCCCTTGGAAATCTTACAATCCAAGGCCAAGAGTAGGCTAGCGCATCAGATCCACCGAAGATCCTCTTTTTCTCTTCGCCTCCGACAGCATTGCACTCAACACTCGACGGGATCAGCGGCTTATTTTTACAAACTAAACTAATTCTTCTAAAAACACTCGACACTGTCTACTCACAAGAACTGGGAATCCCGCTTTCTTCGTTTGAAACCGACGAGACGATTACTTTCCAAGTTTTTTCAACAAGCGAAGTTTGATAATCCTCATTTGGGTAAAATTGAACCAAAACTTCGTGGCCACAACTCGTGACAAATTTTCTTGAGTAATTTGCACAAATATCCCGTAGCAAGTCTTTCTCCGAGTTTCGATCATAAATTCGTACAACATCATCTAATTTTTCATTTCATCTTTTTTCACTTTTTCCTTACCGTAGCAGATATAGCCATTTCCGTCAGGAGTGTAAACTTCAAAATCGAACACTGTATTCTCCTCGCCGACGAGTACGAATTCATTGTTAACTTCGCTTTCTCCGCTGTTAATTGTTATTTTATCTCCAACATCAAAATTGATCAGCTGATATCCTCTAATGAAAGACAAAAAATATAAAATAAGACGCATCATTTTGTTTTGCAATGAAAATCGCTTATTAGTACAGGAAATAATGAGCTTCGAAAGTTGTTTGCAAAGGGATGGGCATTATGAATCAGAATTCATCCGATCCTTTAGTTTAATTTTAATCATGGGGTCAGTAAAAATTCAAAATTATTTGAGGCAGTACATATCAGATGTAAAGAAGAGAACTGGCATGTAGTTATAATTTTCATGATCTCCGATGTGCTCCACATCTGATATTGTTTCTAGCGACTCGTCAATGAAATCAATTCGCTGGAGCGGGTACTGCTTTACATCGTCAACAACGGCTCCAGCTCCGGGGAAAACGAAAATAGAGGAGTCGATTATCATCGTTGACGGGTGAGAAACGGCCTAGATGTTGATGAAAATTTTCAAAAAACTTTTTACCATTTTCAACTCTCCAAATGATTCCCATTTGTCAGCTCCATTCACTTTTTTCAAGATCCAAAGTCCAGGTTGAAATTCTTTGTTTGACTTTCCGCCGACAAGAAGCATCGAACCATTCGGCAAGCCGATCAAACTATGGCCTGCAATTTTCCTAAAAATAGAGAAGTAGTCAAATCTTGATGAATTCCTACTTTGGATGATCAACGATTTGTCTCCAGCCTTCGGGAGTGTAGGTTTCCGTCTTTCCTTTTCCTTCCTTGTGCCAGCCGCCCATTGTCGTTGGCTGACCGTAGTACATTCCCAAGGCACCATGAAGATGAGGTAAATTGGTAGAATGGGTTTGGACTGCCTTCTTCCCATCGAAAAGCTCGCAACTGTCATAATTGGCATGTTCCTCAAAGCAAATTAGCGCTTGAAAAGATTTGTTACTGGTAGTGAGGAATTTTACTGTACCTTTTGTTCCATCATCAAGAGAAATAGCTGCTGCTCCGGATGAGTAATTTGAATTGAGTCGAGCTGAAACTTCGACGAAACTGCAGTCGGACAAGTAGGCAATCTTTGAAATTGAAATGAATTAGGGTATTTTGGATGAACCTTTCTATTGTCGAATTCTCCGCCGAAGATGTAGACGACATTCTGGATCATTGCCGTAACTGATCGTCTAGTATACTTTTTGTGGTCGCCCTGAAAAGCGGCCTCGTAAAGAGCTGAAGTCGTATTTCCAGAGTACAAATAGCTCTCGGACATTTTCGGCATAATGACATAGAGGTAGGGCGGTGGAAGGGTTGGCGCAACCGTTGTTGTTATTTCAACCGTTGTTGTAGCAATCTGTTAATTTGTTTTATAAATCATCTAGTCGATCAAGAATAACCTCTTCCGTTGTGACGATTGGGCAGATCGGGTTGTCACAGCCAGCGCATCCGGCAGGACAGTCAGCACCACAGGGACACGCATCGTTGCACTCTTGAAAGAACAATTGACGATGAACTTTTTCATTTTCTTACCGTCATATTGTCGCTGACAAATTGACAGACAGTAGTCAGTTTCGCAAAGCAGTCGGCAATAATTGTACTCGACTCTACAGATGCCCATGCATTCCTGCATCAATTCTTGATCCCTAAATTTTCATCGCTCTCTTTGTTATCATCGAATACTCACGGGCATGCTCGCTCAGAGTGCTGGTGCAATCCAATGGCATTGGCGGCTGTTAGAAAAATAGCCGATAATAACATTGCTTGTCAAATTTGTCAGAAGTATGTCAGAAAGTGAACGTTTTTCAGCAGAATTTTGATGAGAAAATGACAGATGAAGAATAAGTTCAAATTCTTAGCATTGTCAGCCGGCTTTGGCGTGCATTTTCAATTGTATCTCGTCGAATACCGTTCTCAATGAGAACTTCTCATAATAAGTGGCTGCTGATAGGATATTCTGAACACGTGGCTATAGAAGGGTCGAGTAAATATTTAGATACAGTGATGTGGGTCATTTGGTTAGCTATAAAAGAAGGGGCTAACGAATAAGACTCAGTTCGAGTGAGAAGGATGTTCTTTTCAATGATTTTATTTGTCTTAAAAATGAATCAGGCAAATGCAAGATTATACGACTTTCAAAACGATGACATGGAAAAGTTCTTCGAAGGAATAGCCGATCACAAGAAAGGGTCAATTTTAAATTGACAATTTATCATTATAACTAATCAATGATCCGTAATTGTTGATAAGTCTGATAGTTGTAAATACAATTGTATCAAAATCTATTTAGATTTTGACCTCGAGAAAAGGAAACGTACAAAAACCATCTTGGAAAACATGAGGTTGGAGGAGAAAACGCATCTCTCTGGAATCATTCCCTTCGACGAACAGCTGCGATCTCCAAACTCCTATCCCTTCAGAAAGATCAGACCCTTCGCGACTATATAAAGATGCGAAATGAAGAAAAAATCCGCCTAAGACTTGTTAAATGTTTGTCCGTAAAATCAAATCATTGTGGAGAAACTTTGGATGAGCACATCAAACATTTGAAAAATGGTCGATAAGAGTACGACGAAAAATCTTGCATGGAAAGACGACTGCAGAATTTCTGAATATTACTTTTTTACAAAAAAATAAATGAAACAAGCAGCTTGACTCAAACTACCTATACTTGATAAATTATTGACGCCAATTGGATCTCCGAATTACATTTCGTGTCCTCTTTCTTTCCAGAAACTAAATAAATAATTTGGCCGCGCTGTTCTCCAGATGATCAAGTCAACCTGGCGGGTCATAAATTCGAAGTGGCATTGCCCGCAGGTGGCGCCTAATGGACCACCTACGATGCATTATCCAATTAAAATGACGCATCGACTTTCAGTCGGAGGCCAGCGCGATGACGTCATTTTACAGGGCGGGCCACTGTCACTTTTATCCGCTAAATTGAAAAATGCACTTTTTTGCCAATACTTGTTCAATAAAAAACGAGAAAAAGAGAGACTAAGAAGGGAGATAAAACGAAAGAAGAAAAGAAGAGAAAAAAAAAAGAAATATCAGAACAGAAATGATCGTTTCTAAGAAAAATAACCGCCGCCTCTATCTACTAAGTTTAAAATTAAATTGTTAGATAAGAAACCCTTTCTCCTGGATCAATCAAAATAGGAATAAGAAGGAGCGACCAGGAGCGTAAAAATTTGTCGCAAACATAATAATTTCAAATATTTGCCCAGGGACAAGAAGAATCTTTCAACTTTTCACCAATCGCTGCAAATTCCTTTTCTTCAAGAGAAAATATCGAAGCTTGTGACTTGGCGTAAATCGGGCTTAGCAGGAGGGGATCATAAACTTTCATAATCCGAAAATTCAAAATTGTCAATTTCCAATTCGTTGGTTCAAAAGCGATGATTCACGAGATATTTGCTTATCTGTGCTTTTGAAAGGAGCCCTCTTGAGTCTTGACCAGGGCTTATTCACGAATTTAAAAACGGTGATTGAAAAACGCTAGTCAGAGAAAATTGACGATTTCAGATTTGACCCTAAAGATAGATACTCTTCCTTGTTTTTTTTTCTAAGAGAAATAATAGAAGACGGAGTCCTGTATTGAATTTTAAATGCAATGAAAATCCAAGACCCCTAAATCATGTGATTATGACTATTGAATAAATGAGCCGAGATTGGATTAAAAATTCAAGCGCCGAGCCTGTCCTTTTGTCAAAACTTCCGTCTTTTCAGCGACATGTCTCAATTGTCAGCAATTATTGCTTCAGACAATGAGGGATATTAGCTTTCTAGTGCTCGAAATATCATGAATAGAATTTCAACGGCTAATTTAGAGACGAAAATATCTTTCTGAAGATTTGAATTGTCAGAATTTTGCCTGAAACTGGCCATTGATTGTCCCTTATAAGACAAGAAAAAAAATCTAAGACGCGGCTTTTCGCCCTTTTGCCAAGCCACAGGATATCTATCCTAATGCCACAGTATTTACCAAACAGTGCGTGTCAGAACTTTTATCAAGGAAGGCGGTAGCGCTCAGGTAGTTTTACCCGGGGCCGAATTTACGGCCGATTCTGATGAAGGGGCCTTCCATCAAATTGTGCCTCGGGGCCACTGCGTCCCGCTAAAAGTGCATCTGCCGCGGCGATGCGATTTTACACCGCCGCCTCGTAGTAGAGCGTCAATATAAAACTAGTATCCTGTTTTGGGGATTATTTTCTTGTTTCAAGAGAAATGAAATTTTACAACGAAAACTTCTGTTTCCTCGCCATCTCTCTTTCCATTTTTTGAAATAAGGAGCACTTTGATATCAATATTATAAATTAATCAATTAATTAATAATTTTATAAATCTTGGATCATCTTTTATCGCAATTTACTTTACGGTCAGAATAAACAAAAATTTGCTGGTTTGTTAAGGGGTTATTTCAGGTGAAAAGTGGTTCAAACCGGTTCATTATTATTTATTCAAAAAAAGAATTATTTTTTGTATTTACAATATTTACAATACCATACTGTCAATATGAGTATTTTCTCTTCAATCGACATTCTCTCGTATATTTTCAAAATTGTATTGTCGAACAAAAAGCCGCACGCGGCTTCTTTTACCTGGTTCTACCTTTACATTCTTTCGTTTATCTTCATTTCTGACAGCTTGTTTTATCTTCATGTAATCTTCTTGTAGCATGGAATACTAAAAACATGTTCCAGTTCAGAGATTTGACGAAAAACAAAGACTCGAGATCGGCGCATTTCAACAGAAAAAAACTACAAAATGTTTCTTTTCGGTCTAGCCGCAGTTTTGACTTCCGTAGCCGCTGGTGGTAAAGCCGAACTTTCCTTCCCGAACAAAGTCGACCAGGGCGACCAAATAACGATCAAATGCGACTGGAGCGGCTTTGGACCTGAAGCAAAAGGTTTGTTCTTTGAAAATTTTCTTTCCCGTTGTAACCAGGCTTTATGCATGGCTTGCGGCTTCTTTTTATCGGTTTATAAAGATAGATTTGATAAACCTGAAACTTTTTGTAGAATCTTCCGACAGTTGTGACCTCAACTGCCAGCGCGTTAATTTGATACAGGGTAAAACACACCAAAAACTCGTCACCGAAAAATTCACACAAATTTTCTCCCTATCTGTGAGTAGGGCTCGGCAACTTGTATACATGGCTTTCAAACTGTATATTTTAATTTTCAAAAGCCGCGCAGCGGCTCAAATAGAAACGAAGCGGCTTCGCCAGAGTTAAATCATTTGTCTTTAGACAAGTTTATTAGGCTAAAACGGGTCAGGTTTTCTTCAAAGGTTGTCGAGTTCAGACTCCTGGGCATCGAAAATGCTCTGATTAATTGATTCTTTCATTTCATCCTTTTTTGTTTACATCAATTCATTGATTCATCTTGCTTTCGTTAGTGATTCCGTAATTCGTGAAATTTACCTTCGTCTGTTGTTGGTATGTCCCTTTATTAACCCTTTTCTTCTCAGTGAAAATCACGAAGAAAACCGACATGATCTACAGATCGAGTGTCAACGGCGCCGAAGCGGTAATTTGAAAGCAGAAAATGCTGATTTGAAAACGAGTGACACGAAATTTAGATGAATGGCTGGGAGATTCAGAATAACGCCGGCTCCGATGCGGCGATTACAAAAGTGGCGCAGTTGGAGGACTCACACGAATACAATTGCATCGTTGATGATGATAAAGGAAAGGGGTTGAAAGATTTTCGGACTCTCTTTTAGATATTTTTGGCAAGAAGGCGCAAAAGCTCTATTGAAATTTCGTTTTTCGACCTCTCAAAAGATAATTTCGCCATGGCCACAAAAGCCCTTCTCGTCCGAGTGATCCCCTCAGCCCCTGTTATCATCGCTCCCAGCGGTAAGAAACAATCTTTTTTCTTCAAAATTTCCTCATGACGATCGAAAGAAGCTCAAATTTTTCTTCAGACAAGAAGTTGATCATCGAAGAAGCTGGAGAAATCACCTGTATGTCGGCCATTGCCAGTCCTGAGCCAGTTTACACTTGGTACAAGAATGACCCAGCTACTGGACAGGTAAATATGTGGTCACTTGGGCGCCTGTGTTGATAATAGAATCAGATAAAGACGGGTCTCTAAAACAATAATTCAGTCGATACAATTGCCTGTCGACGCCAGAACTTCCGAGCAATTCGCCCAATCTTCCTTCACTGTTGACGAAAATAAGGTCAAATTCCTGACAGTCACCGAAGCGGACGAAGGTGAATACTTTTGCGTTGCGAAAAATGAAGTCGGAGAAACTCGAGGAGCGCCAGAATACATCTCAGTCGGTATGTTCTTCCCCCTTTCTCGTTTTCTTCACTACATGCTGTTTTTGTAGGATCGGTGAGCGTGGCAAGCGTTGTAGGAATCGTCTTCGCAGTGATCTTTGGCGTCGCCTGTCTTGGAGTCATTGCTTTTATCGTTTATAAGAAGATGTCAGGTAATAGACTTTTTCTATTAAAAAAAATGATCACGATTCCAATAGACGATGAATACGACGAAGAGCACGACGCATTCGACGACGACGCAAACGACGTCCAAATCGGCGAGGCCTACGCTCCATACGATCACAAATCGAGCCGGCAAGACTTCTCCCACGTCGTATAGACAGTTATGAAAACACAAGCCTGCCTGTTCCAGCGAAAACACACACAAAACTGCCTCTACCTCAAACAAACTAAATCAACCAAAAAAAGAACGTACTAACTCTGAAAAATCTAGACTCGCAATCAAATTTTCAAATTTCAAAAATGCAATTTTTATTCAAATTCAATTTCAATCTCAATCAGCCTTTTTTTTGGATCACCATGGACTAACTTTCAAAACAAAAGACAATTATGTTAAAATATCTTTCTGTAAAACACTCTTCTCTGATATCATAATTTATGATCTTATCTATTATTCTCTGACTGTATATAGACGCGACTTCTACTTGAATAAAGCTTTTCGAAAGAAAAAAAGTCTTCAAATTTCAAAGTGGCTTGGAAATTTCTCAATATGGCATTCCAGCTGTCTTTCATAGAGTTTTTCGCAGTGACACCCTTAGTTACTCAGCAAGTGAATGAATGATTAAAGATAATGTATTGATGTCCTCTTCGAATTCTCTCTGAAACTTAGTCCTTTTCTGAAGAATCTTTGAGGACGCCCTTACGCTCAAACAGCGCTAGAATCACTAGAACAGACTCGAGGTCGCTCGTCAGGACTGGATGGCCGAGCGGTCTAAGGCGTTGGATTAAGGCTCCAATCTCTTCGGGGGCGTGGGTTCGAATCCCACTTCAGTCAAACTTTTGATTTTTTCAATATCGAACATGCTTGTTTTCTTCAAATCTAGATGATGAACTTTGACTTTCACATTCAATTATACTTGAGCATAAATGGAGCATGAATAATTTCGATACATTTGTTCGGAGAGAGGTTTATTCTATCTTGCTAACATCAAAGCCCATTTCAAGGAGAAAATGAAGTTCTTCAGTACACTCATTATTCTTTTTGCTGTCTTCAACGCGCTAAGAGCTAGAGAGATGCTGGACGACTATCTAAGGAACTGCTCTTGAGGAAAAATCGCCTCTTAGGCTTCGAAAGTGAGCATTGTTGAGTGATAAAATGGCCCGACGGGAGAACTACCAGATTTATTGGTTGAATTCGTTGAGAAATGGTCCGATGGTTGAGTACGTCAAGACTTACTACGGACACAAGCTCCCTTCGACTATTTGATAATTTGAATAAATTTGCGTTTGCAAAAGTTGACTTGTCGGTAAAAATTGATTGAGCAGTTTTATGAATCCGATTTGAATCCGATTCGAGCCCCATTTGAATATTAAAATGGCGGTAAAAGTGATTGACTCTTTCTCCTTTCGGTTTAATCGAAAATGATCATATTTTCCTTCCTGACGCTTCTTTTCTTACCCGTCAACGCTGGAGAAAGTGCTAAAGAGATGCTTCAAGACTACCTCAGGAATTTTGCCTTGCAAAAGAGCTTCTATTCTAGTATTTTAAGAGCTCCATGTTTAGCGAAAAAAAGTTATAGAGAAGATATTCTTAACAACTACCAAGATCATTTTTTGTCATCTCTCCAGCATGGTCCGATGGTTGACTATGTCAAAACCTATTACAGTCATCGACTTCCTTGGGGAATGAAAAATCCACTTCAATAAGTTTACGTCATTCAGTCAGCTCTCCAAATAAATAATTATGAAAAAATATGGCTTGTCTGCAACGAAAATTAATGCCAAGTTTTCCGAAGGCAAAAACGCAAAATCTGCTTAAGAAAAGCGGACTTAAAAAGTGAACTCACAAACCATGCAGATGAGGATTCTGATCATTTTTATTGTTGCATTACATGGGCATCCTCCTGGATTTCATCCAGAGGGAGACCATGCTAAGGAATCCTTGCGTGAATTTTTCAGGTATTTTCTTATGACAATAATGAGGTCTTTTTGAACATTTTCTTTATAGAAAACCCGAAATATATGAAGCAAAGGAGTCACTAGAAGATCTTATCAGGTAATGAAATAATCTCGTTATAAGTTTCAATCTTTTATAGGCGTCGAAAAGAAGAGGATAATAATGGTCTTAGACGAACTATGAAAATTATTATGAGGGAAAAAATCCGACGAAAACTTATAGGGAAATTGGTTTTACTAAGCCAAATGCATATCAAAAATAATCCCTACATGGCTGAGTACGTTAAACTTCATGAATTTCACCATTGATCAAATAAAAAAGAAAACAGAGGGAGATGAAAATCATTTTTAATTAAATATTCAACATGTGACAGAGCCGATATAGAATCTTCTCTACGGTTTGATCATCAAACTTCGATGATATACCGGGTGGCATGAACTTGATTGAATTAAAATCTTGCTCAATATTTAAATCGACAGTATAACTCGACAATCTCGCTTGAAAATCTACCGTATTCGAAAATGATCATTCTTAAACTTAATATCCTGGCATTCTTTTTCTTTGCCGTTCATACTGACTCTGAACCCCTAATCGATGAGTACAAAGCTAAAGAAATCTTGATGAGTATCTCAGGAAGTGCTTCAGAGCTATAATTTAGTTTCGAAAAAACTCAAAATTCAGCAAGTTCAAGATACAAAAAGGAGTCCAAAAAATATTTTCTATTCTTTTTGGCATCAATGAACAATGGTCCGATGGTAGAATATGTCAAAACATACTACGATTTCAATCCAAAATTGGACACTTAAAATTTGATGCTTCGAAATAAATAACTGAACTAAAATTATTCAATTTGCAGAAACTGGTCAGACAGGAGGTCATAAATACTCAAAAGTTGCTGTCATAAAGGAAGCCTCTCGAGCAGATGCTCAGAGGGTTCAAGGTCCAGACATCCCCTCGAGCTCGGCCTCGACAATCTCCTTCAAAATTGCTCAATTAATTTCCTTCCGAAAGAAACAGACAAAGAGAAACAAGCAAAGGAGAGCAAGATTTGATTTCAAAAAAACAAATTTATTTAAAAAATAAACACCCGTGTCAAAATCGTTAAATGAAAGGGTTTAAAAGATTACAGCGAGCTTTGTCTGACCTTGTTCGTATCTGGGTAAAATGCCAAATCATACGAGGTGATAAGGCAGGGGAGATGATCCCACGCTGCGCTGAGTCAAGGGAAGCAGAATTTTTAACAGTGGAAGTCCTTTTTTTGAGAGATTCGAGTGAATAAAGGAAGGAATGTATGTTCTAGTCATAAGTAAAATCATCCAAAAGAAGTAACCTAAAATCTTGAAATCAATAAGAGTCAAAAGAAACCAAAAATGGTGAAATATTCAGAAGTTCCGATGGGCGACAAATCCGACCTTGATCGTCTGACAGACGGCCAGGAAGGCAGAGAAATCATCATCGTCGCAACTTGGCTCCGGCCGACGAAGCTTATCGGACTTATCGACCTCTTTCTAGCCCTTATTTGCTACTTGGTCGCAGAAATTTTACGGTATCGCTTCCTTCTCAAAACTTGACGATCACTTATTCTACAAGATCCTGGGTACACCCTATCTCCGACGATCAAAGAGACTTCTACTACCAAGGCCTTTGGCAAATTTGCTCTGTTCCAGACCAGCTCTTAAATCAATGCACCGTTGACCCAGAATCTTGTGAAGAAATCGAAGCTGAATGCGCAACATACAACTCTGGTAGAAATTGAAATCCCTAAATCATCCTCAATCTGTTCTCAGCATACGGACTTTGGACAAGAATAATCTTCACGCTTTGTTTCTTGGTTTCATTCGTCTCTTTCATCGCTGGAATCATTGCGTACTCGAATAGAGAGCGAAGAGATTGGTACAAATACCTCGGGTTCGAACAATTCTAGAGGCAACTTTCAATGTTTACTTTTTCAGGTGGATTTTGGTCGTGACATCTTTGTTTGTGCTCATTTCCCTGACGATTTTCCCGTCCGGTTTTATCCGAAATTTCCCATTTTACACAAAATGGTTCTTTGGCCTTGGCTACGGATTTGGCTGGGCAGCTCTTTGCCTCACGGTTCTCAATTCTTTTGTTTTTCTTTCGTTATACTTTTGCTTTCTAGCTTCTTGCTGGCGTTCTTTTCATCCTTGGCCACGGTCAAAACAAGAAGAAACGATTCGTCGCAGAGAAACGCATTCGAATTTGAAAAGAATCAAGAAGAAAAAACTCGACTCGTTTTCTGCGAAAATATATATTTGCGATAATTCCATATGTACACCGTACAAGGCATGTCTTTTTCTTCATTATTTCTTTGAAGGGTCGAATTCTTCTTTTTGCGGAATCTTTGGCTTTATCGCATTTGCTTTTTCCGTCGTTTCGCTAAAATGGTTCTGATAAAAAAAGTCGAGAAAGGGCGTTTTTACTTGATTTCTTTGTTGATATCAGCATTGACAATCATCAAATTGATTGTATCGTACGCTTCTTTCAAAGAATCAGCATCGCTTTGCGAGAACTCGACCGATTTTATGTATTCGTTCCAGATTGTCTAGAGGAGTCAAAAAAATTATCAGCGTTTAAATGTTACCTTGACGAATTCAAGACGTTTTTCCTCAAGAGCTCTGAGTTTTTCAACCGCTTCTTTGACTTTCTGGCAGACTTCTGGGTGCTGAGCTGGAAGTGCTGCTAGAGCGGCTTCGTATTCTTCCAGTTTCGCATCTCGAGCAGCCTCTTTAGTGGCTTGTTCTTGGACAAGTTGTTGCATTTTTGCGAGTCAGGTGCATATTTTGCCTTTCCAGCGACGACTTCTGATTCTGCAAGAATGGCGCTTTTGCAGAGGCTAAAAATTTTAAGCTAGGGAAAGGATTTCACAAATAAGAGTACCTATGATATTCATTCTTCAAAGTTGTGACCTTGTGAATGCTTTCGTTCCAGGGACCAGTCGCGTCTTGAAGCATCTTTTCGAGCTCTTCTCCTTCCTAAAGAATTGTTTTACTTTTTCACCCCCTTGAATATTTCAGATTGAACCTTTGTTCCAGAAGATAGAAGACCCTTCGAATGATAATTAAGCGCTTTCCATTCTGTGACTTTTGCAGCATTAGTCTGCAGATTCGCCTGTCGTCGTTTATGGATAGTCGCTTGTGCATCGGCTTCCGTCGTCAAAGCTCTTAAATCAACTCTAGGATGTCTAGGACTCGCCCTGACTACCTGAAAACTTTCGCGAGCTCCTCATTCGTCCCTGGGTGTTTGGCCATATTTGAGTTCCACTGATTTTCCCATGATTTCAATCTCTTTGCATAATCAGCTTCGATTTCTGCTCTTGTGTTCAAGAATTTAATGAGTCCGTCGACGAATTTCTCCGCATTGTCAACTCGTTGGGCGATTTGCTTTGATGCGTTGGGGTGATATGGGTTAAGTTCTTTAGGTTTTTCGGGTTCAGGTGCTTTTTTGGTTGATTTTGCTTTTGGATCTTCCACATTCTGAAATAAATTTCAAAATTTTTTCGAAAGAGGAGGTGGCTCGAATCGACAAAAATTGCCATAATTTTTTCGAAAATCTTGGTCGAATTCCAGACCAATCAGATTTCGGCATTCGGTCGGCAGGCCAATCAGATTTCAGGAAAAATCTTACAGACCTCTACTTTCGAATTATTGCATCCCATTGTACCGCGCTTTCTCTATCAATTCCTGCTCTTCAAGTATATCTGGTCTTTTTGTCAGAATAATCTGCCTGTATAAACGCCTGCGTTTCCATGGTGTCTCCTTCTGCAAATAGAATAAATATCAGCATCAAGCATTTCGAATTCATTATTTGATAAAGTCCTTATCAAAACAGTCTCCTTGTTTAGACTCTGTTAATAACTGATGCTTGATTGAGCTACTGTAACCTTAAAAAGTCATGATTATTTATTGAGATCATCGATCAAAGAGGTTTCTTTCAAACAGATACGAAAAACTTTCTATCATAGCACCAGTAGGCGTAAATTGTCCAAAGAAAAGGTCCCATGAATGCCATTAGCATTTCTTCGCTGTGGCTCTGGTACTTAGGGTTCCAGGTGAAGGGGATACGATAGCCAGCGATGATGTGAAGCAGATAGATGAGGATTGAGTTCATTCCGACAAAATAGCATGGCGCTCCGTCCCACCAGTCTCTAACATCTAGAATAAGCAGATGAAGCAGTGTTTTCTATGACAAAATTACCAATAATGAAGTAAAGGAAGGCCAAAAGCAGGAATGCCATGCTAGAAAGCACGAAAACAAACGAAACACTCCACAAATTCTTATTTATCGGAACAATCGCTTCAGCAATTTTTCCATACCTTAAGAAAATAAAAAAATTTTTCGATAAAAATGAACCTCTCGTCATATTCAAGACCAATTGTAGCGAGCAGCATCCCCGCGATTCCGTAGACAAAAGCGAGTCCAAGAAGATGAATAATAATCTTTTTCGGCTCCTTGAATATATCGAAGCATTTTCCTGCCTGGAGACCAAGATACACCATGAAAATAGAAGTCAATGTCCCAAGAATGCCTTCGGGATCGTAAGGAATGCCATTCGGCTCGTCATCGAAGCGGTAGTAAACGTTATAAGCAGTCGGCCAGTTGTATAAGTGCTTTTCCCCGAGAAGTTTTCTGTCGATGTACCCAGCTGCGCCGCCAATGCAATCATAGTATTTGCCATTCTCGGACAAACCTCCAGGACCAGTATACCCAGTTGGACAGTTTGGGACAGGAAGCAAATAGGTGACGGAAAGAAAGGTGCCGAGAATGCACCAGTTGATCAGATGTTCGGGGAAATAGAGCTTTGAGCAGGTAAAAGAAGTTTTTTTCAAATAGTTTTTTGATAAAAAATGAAATCAAAATTTCTTTAACCCATCCCTTGAATTGTCCAAAGGTAGTTGTTGGTTCCTCATCTGGATGAACAATCACCAATAAATGAATAATCGCAACGACGAAGTACGAGAACCCAATCCTCTGCAAAACCCCCGGAAATCGAAAGTACTCCCAGGACTCATTCCCGCCAATGGTGATCATTCCCAACCCAATGAGTTTGACAGATCGGACGAGAATTTCATAGCTGATTTCTGTCTTGGAAACGCCTCGTTTAATCCTTGATAGAAGCGCGATTCGGATCGAGACGCCGGACATGAACAAAAACCAAGGCATGACCAAGTCAGCGAGAGTGAGTCCGTTCCAGGGTACATGTTCCATGAACCAGTATTCTTAGGCTTACCGGACTTAATTTCGGCCCATTTTTCTAACTTAGTTGGAGGGTCATAAGATACAGTTTTAGAAAGCCCAGAAACTGGGCTTTCATTTGGGCACCATATAAAGGGGTTTGGGTTATGCCCGCAAGGCAATCCATGGGACCTGAAAGTTCTAAACCGCCTTCGAAAAATAGTTTTAAGTGTTCTAGTGCCAATTTTGGAACTTTAGGTCCCATGAATTGGCTTGCGGGCATGATCCAGACCCCTTATATGGTGCCCAAATGAAAGCCCAGTTTCTGGGCTTCTTAAAACTGTATCATATGACCCTCCAACTAAGTTAGAAAAATGGGCCGAAATTTAGTCCGGTAAGCCTAAGTATTCTCCACCGCCATAGTTGACGAATATCATGATGATCAACGACAACCCTCTCAAAGTATCCAAAGACTTGTACCGCTTCTTTTTCGCTGGCGCGGGAGCTGGTGTAGGCGCGACTTTTTCTTCCTCAGTTTTTTCATTGTTTTCATTATCGGCATATGGATTTTGAGCATCTTCACTGATTTCTTCGGCAGAAGTTGCTCTTCGTCGACGGATGTTGTACCAAATGAGATAGATTGAAAATGGGATGAAGACAACAAGGACTTTTTTTGTCTTTTTATTTTCAGTGACTCGAGTACTCTGTTATTCACCTCTATCAGATATTTATAGCGCTTGAGTTGTGGGCTTACAGCACTAAATGTAAAGTGCGAAATTCATACTTGAATCGTTGTTCTGTAATAAATCATAAATTGGCTTCCAAGAGCGCACCAAGTATAAAAAGATGATCGCGTCAAATTTTGATATCCAACTCGAGATGAAATTAGTACTTCTCTATTTCCTAGCGGTTACTTTTTCAGTTCGACTGATCGGGCGGCCAAATGCTTATGTTTTGAACCTGTTCTACAACGAGTGCATTCAAGCGTCAAACCATCACCAACAGATCCCGCTTGATGATTTTGAAACATTGGAATCGATCGAGAACTTTTGTAGGTCTCTCTTCTTGAATTACAAGTTGAGAAAGTAAAGCATTTATCTGCCAAAAAAAATATATTTTTAAAAACCTTACTGCCATGATTCCTGAATATTATGCTCGTTGAACTTCAACGGAAGCCATGAATAACAGCCGTTTTCAGCATTTGTCTTGAGAGGTTCGGACACTTGACTAGACTGACATTCCTACATTATGTAGGGGCTCAAAAGTGATCATCGAGTATAAAATGAGAGTTGACCGTCGTGTCGGTATCAGTTTCAATCGCAAAATGAAACCTCTACTTGCCTTTTTGTGCTTTTTTCCTTTTGTCCTTTCGATGGGACTCAAAGATCAACCAAGTGTTTACGAAATGAGCTCGTTTTACAACGATTGCATTCGAAGAGCAAAACACCAGCAACAAATCTCACTTGAAGATTTTACTCTGGAAGACATCGAGAATCTTTGTGGCGCTGTTTTCGCGACATATTTTAATGACAACCCAAAAAGGTTCATTATTTTCCAAAAATAATTATTATTGGTTTCTTTAGCCTGCCGGAACTTATGGACGACTTTGACAACACATTTCATCATGAACGCGATTCGACCATTGATTTTGGATTCATGGGAAATTTTCTCAAATAAAGATATCAAAAACATAAAATTATAAAGACATTCCTAGAGTGTAAACTGGATAAAGATAGACGGCCGGGCTTCTTCCCTCTTTCCATTGCCGGATCTTCTCCTTCCCATCTTTTTCGAAAACGTACCAACCACCTTCTTTGAAGCTAATGAACCCTGTCTTGAAATCTGGTTTCGTTTCGTCATCGTATTCCATATCCACCACGCTTTCGTCGGCCATAGCGAATCTCACAGGCCAGCGCATGTCCATTTCTGCCTCCATTGGAGCAGTTAAATCCGTTCCGTTTTCGTCAGAAGGATCGAACTTTAGCTCCGACCAGAGGCATTTGTAGCACTCTCGTTGGTGGTAGAAAATTTTTTTGCCCTCCAAATCAGCTTTTTCGATAAAGATCCAAGACGTGTCCATAAGTACTCTTCTTCCATTAAGAGTTTCTTTGAACGCCAAAGCATTGGGAAGAGAGATGAAAAATATGATAAAATTCAGCATGGTTGAACTTCTCTACTTGAAATTCCGTAAACATGGGAGTCGTGTTTGATGACATCGGCAAATATTGACTTGAGAACTGCAAGTGGTATTTTCTGTATTTATTGAATTTCAAGCATTAGCAGTTAAGAATTGTTAGGCTTTCGAATGAGATTTTATCATCTTAAAATATCTTCAGCGATTTTGTAAATAAGGGTCTCATTATGTTAATCAAGCTCCTTTATGAACAGCTGTGGACTTTTTTTTTTCATAGAATGATGCTTCTGATTGATTGAAAAATTCCCGAAAAGTGAAAAAAGCCACAACTTCGTGGTTGGAAACCTTGCGCCGAAAACCACCACCAGCTGCGGCGCCCCCTCTTTGTTCCTTTTGAAACGAAGCAGTTTTTTTGCTACTCCACGTTTGCCAAAATTAAAAGATCCTCAAAATAGTCCTCGAGATCGTAATTACGAAATTGAACGGTAATCGCTTCCGTGTTCGCAAAAATAATTGGCGCCACTGAATCCAATCAACGCGGCACCAGGCGCCGGGTCACAAATCAGCCCCGAGCACAATCAGCTCCACCAACTCAGCACTAAATTTAACCAAAAAATATAACTACACCTTGACTTTGCGCCACCGCAAAATCAACCGCTAGCGGAAAAACATCATCATAATCAGTTAACTTTAGCTATTCACGACGATTTTTTATTGAAAATAGAAAAATATGCAAAATCCAATTACTATACAAAAAAAGTAAAAAGGAAAAATTTTTATCTGAAAGGCGGAACACTAAATTATAAAGTAATATTTAATTAAAAAATAATTTTTTAACATAAAATATTAAATTATCAAAAAAAAATAATTTGCTAAAATCGGAAAGCTTGGTTCAATTTTAACTAAATAAAATATAATAAATAATATAATAATCATATAATAATATAAATTTTAAAAGGATGATCAGTTAAAGAATTGATCAAGAGAAAATTGCTTTTGATTTTGAATAATTGATGATATTTTTTTTTGAAAAATGAAATTTTTCACCGAAGCAAACCACTTATGCAAATCACAAAATCTGCTGAGTGGTAAAGTCAAGTTCAAGTCTCAAGGGCGCCGCAGGGTGCCCAGCTTCTTATCGGTGTGCCGGGTGCTCCGGTCTGTGTTTTGCGTTGTATTTTCGAGTGGAAGTTATTCGGTGGAGGCACCACAACGACACGCACCACCACCGCGGAAAAACGAGCCAGTTGTCAGTCAGGTAGAGAAAGATTCACCGCAAAGCCCAGAAACACGACGAGATAGAAAACGCGGATAGAAATTAAATCACTTAACTCCGGTTTTCAGCACAGAAACAGTCACAGCCAGAGAATACTCAGAACACGAAGAGACTTTCACACTTGTAGATTATGAGTTGGACAGGATATATCACCGGAGAAGGACAGGGTTTCCGAATTCTTTTCAATAAAGAATATTTTTTGTCGTTTTATTTACATAAAAATTGTCATCTTTAAGGAAAATTCGTCTTATTAAAACCTTAAAATAATGAAATTGAAGGCTTCTGATAAGCTAGAATTTTTCGGTCATTACTCTTTTTGAATTTTTATTTTTTAAATAGCCTTTATGATCGTTGAAATTTCTGAAAAGGTAAAAAATACTCATAATTTTTGAAAAAATAAGGGCACTTACGCCCATTTTTGTTTTGAGATTTTCGTGAACCCTATAAAAAGGAGGACTTTTGGCACAGTACAACCGAATCGCCTGTGCCGGTATTTTCGGCAAGAATGGATCAACCTATGCTCAGGCTGGCATGGACCATGTCCAGACAAATTACACCGAGATCCTTTCCCTTGCCGCTCTTTTCACTGATCCAGCTTCAGGGTAAGATTCATTGCTTTATGAAATTCGGGATGGGTTGGGGCCCTCCTCAACACGTAGGGCAGTGTTTTGAGAAAAGCAGGGCCCGCCCGGTTGGTGGAGCACGTTTTGTTTGGCAGTACGTGACCAGAAAGGGCGGAACATGGTAATCGGTGACGTCAATTCGACTCAAGAAGAGATTATCCGGAAGCCACGGCCCAAGGCCCGCGCTTGTCCAAACCCCCTTTCGGGGTCATTGTATAATGAAATCGAATACTGAATCCGATCCTGGGCGGGTCGCAGTGTACGCAAAATTCACGAGGGTCAGATTTTGACTCAAAAATACATTGATGAGATCATTAATCTGATCTTTTATTTTCGAACTCTAACCCAAACCGAAATTTTTCTTAGCTATTTATGGTCTTAAAAATCGATGTCTGCTTTTGGTATTTTTTTTTTTAATTTTATTTTTTTTAGATTCTCGTCTGGAATTGAATTCAACGGCAAGTCATTCGCTCTCCTTCGAGTTGAAGACAAAATCCTGCACGCGAAAGGAAAGGGAGAAGGAGCCATGTACCCAATGACCGTCCAAATGACGCAGCAGGCTATGGTCATCGCAATCGGACATCACGACGCCTTCGCTGGCTCCGTTTCCGCTGCTGTTGGTAAAATCGCCGACTATTTAGAAGATAACGGATTCTAAGAAGTCATCAGGTTCATGATTCTTATTTTCTTGTTCTAGTTATAAATTATTCTAGTGCTTTGGCCAACATTTAAATTTTCACAATTTCGTCTTTCCAAATTTGAAATCAGCAATAGCATTTTTATGGTCAAAATAAATGTTTTTTTTTACCAGCGAAGTCTTTCTTTTGAACATTTGAACCATTTACCCAATTAGCTCTGCGAGCAAACGTAATAAGTCCCACCATTATTTTAAAAAACTTTCTCTCTGTTAATTTTATCCTCCTGTTTAAAGAGTTCCTCCTTATTAAAATTTTATTCCCGGACAATTATAAAGCTGTCCGATGTCCACTTAGTCAATCTTTATCTGTCGATTGTGTTTATTTTTACAATTATACTCGTGCAAGTGTCTTTTAATCCTTCAAACTTGCTGCCCAACAAATGAAAAATCATAAAAAATTTGAAATAAAAATTAAAAAATAAACCCTTTGGCCTTTTTTATTAATTCAGATCATCCGACAAAACTCATCAGTTACTTCAAAAATAACAGGATTGTAAAAGTGCTCTCCGTGACTGCCGATTTCGGTAACATTTTCGATCTCTTCTTCTTTATCGAGATCGATTCTTTGAATTGGATACTGGTACTCCCATGCGATTTCTGTATCTCCTCGTCCGCCAAAAATGTAGACAGAGGAGTCGATTGATAAAACAGAACCATAGGCAACGCTCTAAATAGATTTTATTGACTTTCTCCATAAATTCATTGATTAACTGACCTTTTGTAAATCTCCAACGAGACTCCACTCTTCTGAGTTTAGCAGCCAAATATCCGTAACATAATCATCTGTTTGTCTTTTGTACCCTCCGACCATCATCAATGCTCCACTCGGCAAGCCAATCAAGTTATGCGCATGGATATTGCTTAAATTAAAAACTAAGTAATATTTGGAAAACTTTTGGTGCCTTGGGTGATCAGATTGTCGAATCCAACTGCCGTCCTCTGCCAACGATTCAACCTTACTGTATCCATCAGTAGAAGAGCTGCTAACAGTCGTTGGTCTGCCATGGTAATAACCAAGAGATCCGTGTCGATGACCAAATGTTGTAGAGGAAACGGAATTGACTGCAGAGCCTGTGAAAAGATTGCACTTGTTCTCAGAGTTTGTTCCAAAGCATATGAGTACTATAATCAAAATGAGTCACGGAAAACTGCAATGAATTAACCGTGGTCGTCGTTGATGGCTGTCAAAGCCGCAGTACCAACGTAGGCTTCTATACTCAGCCTCATATGAAGCTCTTTGAACTCACATCCATCCAATTGAGCAACCTTAAACGGTTTTGGACTTCAGAATTTTTGTAGCTTTACCTTTTTTCTGTCAGAATCGCCGCCAAAAATGAATAATTGGTCACTAAAAATCGCATTTGCTGACCATTTTGCATAGTCATCAGAAGGAGCAGACAAGGAATATCCTGGATTTATTAATTTGCCATCACCAGAAATACTGTACGCTTTGCTGAGATACTCTGGAATGACCATAATTTGATGATCAGCTGGAGATTTTTCGGTGCAAAGTGGATTGTCGCAGTTTTTGCAACCTTCTGGACAACCAACTTCACAGGGGCAAAAGTCATTGCAATCTTCAAATGGCCCATTTGAAATGGGAAAATAAACAAACTTGTTCAAAATACCTTGGAAGTTCAAAAGACATAAATTCTGGCATGATGAAGATTCACATTCTTCAGTACAATCGATGTATGAAAGCCGACATTGCGAGAGACAGAAATCATTCAATTCAAAATCACTAAAATAGAATAGAATTTAAAACTTAGAATCATCCTTACGGGCAAGTTTCCTCAGCTCGATCTGGAAAAACTGAAACAAAAAAGATATCAAAAATATTCGAAAGAGCATTTTCTCTGAGGCGATTCTCCGGATGTCTTTATTAATTTGGCACTTGATCTCTTCTGCGCTTGATGATATTTGCGTTGATGTAAAAGGTACATAAATTATTATCGTTTTGGCGAAAAATCAAGACAAGGTAGAAAAATTTCATTTCAGGCATCATTGTCCTTCGTTAAATGTTTTTGCGAAATTATGGATGACTCAATTAAATCATTCTAGGTGAATTTATTTAGGAAACGTTTACATGACAATTTTTTTATTGTAAAAGCTGGTGATCCCAGAATTGACAAAAAGTCGACGGAAAGCTGACATTTTCTCAACAGAATAGGCATCAGAATGTTTTGAAGCCTCATCAGGAAAGAGGAGTTTTTAGGTGAACTTTCGCGCTCGCACTAAAAATATTAGCAAAAATTATTTGTTATTCATTAACTGGATTTCATCCTTATTCACATTGCCGTCGCCGTTGATGATAACAATTTTGGCGCTCGAGTTTTCAGAGCTGCCCTGAGAGAATGGCATTCTTAATTATAGAAACGTTAATAAATAATCAATAACAATTAGTAATAAAATCAATCAAGAGCAGAATGAACCGTAGTATGGAAAAATATTTCGGTAAGCTCAGTCCTAGCTAGTGTTAGGGGGGTTCCAAGGGGGCGAAGCCCCCTGGGTTAGGTGTTTGGGTTAGGAACTAAGTACTTATATTTAAGGGGGGTCCCGGTTAGGTTTTAGGGAAAAACTAAAAGTCTCTTTCAAAGAGGCCCCCTACTTTACCGAAATATTTATCCCAACTACCGAATGAACTTGCTTCGTAAAAATCGAGCTCATTTTTTTGCGTGCTCGGCAAATTTGTAGTAATCATGATAGTAAACGAAATTCTGGATGTTTTTCGGGAGCTTCTTTTTGCAGCATTTTTCGAACAGAACCTTCATAAAATGTTGACAATTTCTGTTCGACCAGCTATAAAAGATCTAATACTGAAATCATAAATATTTATTACTCATAGTTTTCGTGTGTCCAAGTTTTTTGCATCTCGACGAACGTGTCATAAAAGAGTTCCTTCAATTTCTTCCTTTCTTCTGGGTCGTCTGGCAATTTTGCAACTTTATGAAGAGCTAGAAATAAGATTGAGAAATAATATTTTCGTTTGATTTCTTACGGTATTCGTACCATTCCCTGAAATCCCGATTTTTTCGAACATCTTATGATCATTAATTTCAATTTAATTTCTTACTCATACCGATTTTCACCATTTCTGCACCATTATCATTATAATAATATTTAATCGGATAAATGATCAGAGCAACGTGAGTATTCCAGTCACTGCGCGAGAAAAAGGCTCCGATATGAGCGAACCAATTGGTGATCCACTCTTCAGTCATCTAAATATTTTTAAGTATCTGTCAAATGATAATATAAGTAAAATAAGATTACGAAAATATAGTCGTCAAGCTCATCGGCATATTTCTTGATATGATATTTTTTCTGTATTTCTCGTTTGCTTTCCCCGCTTGATGAAGACATTTTAATGAATAATTTCCGCCTTCTAAGGAGATTATATAGGTAGGTCCCCATTATGATTTGCTTGCCGGACAAATAAAAGAGTTCATTAAAAGCAAAGGCACTTCCCCGGAAGAAATGATCGGTCGGAACAAAAACTGTTGACCTGTCAAAAAACTTGACAGGTAAGATAAGAAAAAGGAAGTACTGTCAAATATTCCAAAAAGACCCTGTTGCTTTACTCAGTTTCGGCTCACTTCTTTGATGATGCTTATGAGATGCTTATGACCCCAAAAGTCATGGTGCATAAGCATTCGGAAGGAGATTTTAAATCATTATCTTTCCAAATAGTCAGTTCTTGACTTGCTATAATTGACCTGTTTTGTTATCAAAGAAAACTACGCTATTTATCATACAAATTTAATTGATTGGAGAGACGTTAACAGGACAATTATTTTTCTTCTCAAATCGGATGATCCCAGAAGTGACGAAAAAGTCGACAGAATCCGGCCATCTTGGTATTGACGCGCGGACCATATTTCTCTACCAAAAAAGTTGAACAAATAAGTATTATTTGACCTACAGTGACATCGCAAGAAAGAATATTCGGATGATAATGGCGATTGAGATGAAGATGATTTTTTAAGCTGCATTTGTTGTCGATCTCTCTCCAGAAAAACGCCTTGCATCTTCGATCTTCCATGCATTTGTCAAAGCATTGAAAGGGGTCTTCGGTCTTGAGTCTCTTAAAACTAAGAAGAACGAGATCTTATTCTGAAATAATAACCGTTCCGAACCTCAATCCGGGGATAACGATGTTATGCTGAAAATGGTAGAGCTGAAGGCTCTCCCGTCGTAAATCGATGAATACTCCCATTTTGTTCGGAATCGTCTGTATTGCTTGATTCTCTGGAAAGTTGAAAAGATCACATCGCGCTTTTTCTGGTTCAAGAAATCACTTTTAATAAGAAAAAATCCACTGAACCACTGAACCGTTTCCCGAGTAAAAGCCTCTCAGAACTGAAATCGCGTTGCATCCCTCCTTTCTCTCGCACAAAAGTTTACATTCCTTCGGATCCAAGAATCGCTGATTCACGTGATTTTCAAAGGCAAGATCAATCGGAATGATAAAGGAAAAGTTCCAGAAAGCCGCTTGCATCAGCGAATTTCGCACGCTTCGATCTGTGTAGTCGAATTGTAGGGCTTTGTCGTTTGTATGAATTGCTGGGTAAGTATCTTCAATAATCGTTGCCACTGGAACAGGAACAAGATCCATTGAGGCTCTGAATTCTTCGTCGTGGTAGTCTGCTTCGTACTCTGACGAATAGCTCGATTGAAGTGAAGAATCTCCAGATGATTCATCGATTTCTAGAGCTCCTTTTTCTTCAAGCTGCGACTCAATTGTGCCAAGGATTTCCATGATCCTACTGTCGATTTCTTCCATATTGAAAGGAGCTACCGTCAGAAGAAGAGTGTCGTCGTTAGGGACTTCGAATTCTTGCTCATATGATGGCTGAGTGTGAGCGCTTGCAGTAGGAAAATCTGTAGGTGAGCTTTTGACGTAATAAACCAAAATATCTTATAATACTTTTCGTATTTGTTTATGATCATAAGACTTACAGACAGAAGCAAAGACAAGAACAAAGCCACATATCGACGCTGAAACTAAAATGCTCTTCATGGTGCTTTATTTCACGAGAAAACTCAGTAGGTTGAGCAATTCAGAAGGGTTCATTTTCTTCTCTGTGCAAAGCCCCTAGCTGTTGCCCACAGAAAATAGCAGAAGGGAACCGTTCTAATCTCATCTGTCAAATAAACTATCCAGTCCCGCAAATTTGCACCTTTTTCTTTCTTTGACCAAAGGTCGATCTTTGAAAATAGGCAAATATAACAACATTCAAAGAAACTATAATTTTATTAAAATGATAAGCTTTATATATTTATTCTAGATAACAGACATCGGAAGAAAAGCAAGACGCCCTATTTCTCGTAGACAGCTGTAGCAAATTGGCAAAACTTAAATATGAACTAATAATTCTATAGACTGAAGACCAAAGAAATACAGTTACTTGTAGATTCGTCCTTTCGCGAAGATAATTTTGACATTGACAGTAGTACACCTGACCTTTTCCCTCGCGCTAATCTGGCTAGTATCAAGTGTTAGATTTTTTCATTCCTGGACCAAGCCCTTTTCTCATAGACAAAAGTCGAAAACCACAAAATTAAAATTTAAAGAGAGAAAAATTTCATTCTTTATAGCTGGAAGTTAGGGTCAGGCCTCGAGGTCAACTCAATTGTTTTATTCTTGAAGGTTGAATTGCACTCGTCCCGGCCCGAGCTTTCAGTTGTCCTCGACGTTCAAATAAATGATGAGTTTTACAAAGCAAATGGGATAATTGCGGGTCTTTGTCATAAAAGAAAAGTCAATCTTTGAATACGAAAGTTATGCTCTCTTTGAATGACTTTCCGCCGGCGGCGCGGTCAAGGCCGAGATGAGCTACTTCCCTGAGCATTATTTTTACACAGAGCATTTGGGAGAATAAATGGCGATTCTTGATGCGTTGACGCAAAGTTCAATCGCTATTCTTGTGCTTACTGCTATTGGCTTCAGGTAGAAACAGTAAAAAAGAATCGAAGAAATAAATGGATATTTAGCTATTTTTCTCCAAAAAAGAATTGTTTGAGTAAAGGATTTGGTTTGAATAAATAATTATTTTAACTGATAAGAGGCAAGGGTATATTTTTTGTTACGCCATTATTTTATCAATAAGAATAATCAGAAGAAAAGGCCACGCACCTTAATTTCTCAAGCATTTATTGTCTTTACATTCAACCAATTTAAAGAAAAAGAAAAATCAAGGAGAGATGCTGGAGAAAATCTTCAACGAAGCTATCTGATCTGCTATGGTTTGGCAGTGCTTGGGGATTGGCTTCAAGGACCATATGTTTATCGACTTTATATGGTCCATGGCTTAGGAAACGGTTTGTTTTTAGATGGAAATACAAGCATGTCTGACAGACATAAACAAATCGAAACCAGCTGAACACGAGATTCACAATCTCTTTGTCTGTGGCTTCTTTTCTGCCTGCGTTTTGGGTCCGTTCATGGGCGTGATTTGGGACAAATGCGGTCGCCTCTGTGGCATTCGCGTCTACGGACTCATGTACGCTGCCTCGTGTTTTCTGACCGCGCACGGCAAGTCTTTTCCCGCCTTGATTCTAGGACGCATTCTCGGGGGAACTTCGACGGCAATTCTCTTCTCTGTCTTTGAGGCTTGGTTGGTTTCGCAGTCGGGCAAGATTGGATTGTCAGGAGATGCGCTTGGGAATATTTTTACGAAGCAGACGGTTGTTAACTCCCTCATTGCTGTTTCAAGGAAAGTTTTTTATAAGACCTAGAATCATTGATTTCAAAAATATTTTTGTTTTTTATAAACCATAAGCTCATAAAAATAATTTTCTTTTTATAATTTAAACAGTTTATGACATCGGAATAATCGATTTATCCAGTACTTAAAGTAAGCAAAATGCTCTAGTTTGCTTGGAAGCACTCATAGTTGAATAACATTAACATTCGAAAAAAACTTTGAAAGTGGTCTTGTAGCCCAAAGTCTCGCAGACAGCATATCTGTCGAATCCGTTTTCGACCTTGCAGCTCTCGTCTGCCTCGCAGTGGCCATCTTTGCCGGAAACATTTTGAAAGAGGAGAATTTCGGGCAAAGTGAAAGTGTTCTGACAAGGTTTCCAAAGACATACTCATTTTTTTTCCTCGACAAAAATTTGAACCCTTGTCGACTTTTCTGACTTTTGGGAAACCTGAACAAAGAGCGGCTTCAGCAATGCGATGGGAACGATAATGAGCTCTTGGCCAATTTGCGCAGTTGGTCTCGTTCAATCACTTTTGAAGGAGCAATGTACGCTTTTGTTCTCATGTGGACTCCTGCTCTATCTATCGAAGGTGACGATATTCCCCACGGCCTGATCTTTTCTGCGCTCATGCTGGCAATGCTCAACGGGTCCTTGATGAAAGACAGATTCAACCCAAGACTCGAAGTTGTTCTTGGATGCTCAGGAACAGGGATGAAAGATCGCAGCAGCTGATATTCGATGAAGATTTGAATATTTTCATCCCTCAATAAGCATTCGCATTGACGTCCGTTTCTGTTTTGAAAGTGATTTCTGTTCGCTTCGGTGCTTTTCTGACGTTTGAAAGCTGCGTCGGTGCGTTTTGGCCTCTCATGGCTGGATTGAGGTCCAAACTTGTGCCCGAGGATTCGAGATGTGCTGTTCTTTCACTTTTCAGGTTCAGTTTTGATACTTTATTCATTTTATGACATTTATTATTGGTATACAAAGGGAAGTCGCTGAGCTTATAATCGATGATCACTAAGAGTAGTCGACCGAACGATATATTTAAAATTCACGACTCAGAAATTTTAACAACTATTATGGTTTTCAATATTGTTTTCAGAGTACCGTTGAATCTTATCGTTATTTGGCTCCTGAGCTCGTCCCTAGAATTGGAAATGATCTTCGCTCTTTGCGGTGGCTTCCTTCTTATTACTGTACTTATTCTTGTAAGCATCCGCCCAAGACTTTGAACAACTTTTTACACTGCCAGAATTATTGCCAAATAAATTATTTGGTTTATTTGATACAATAAATCAAGATATCCTCATTATTTTATCTGGTAAAGATTTTTGGCAAGAAGACGAGAATCAATGCAGGAACTCATTCAACCCAAAAATAAAAGAACAGAAATACGCGGCAGAATATGCGACAGAATACCGAATAAATGCATGTAAAATCAAATCACCGACATCGTAAGAAGGGATCACTGTCTTTTGTTCGCGAGGCCGCGTCATTGAAGATTCATTATCCAGGCGGTATAAAACGCGCTTATCTTCCCAAACAGTACACATTTTGTATCAAGAGATCAAAAACGAATAAAAAACTAAAAAAATGATGCTCTTTTTTATTTCAAGTTTTGTTGCTCTCGCTTCAGGAAAATGTTCAAAAAGATTCGTCTTTTTTAAAAATTTTACTCAGTTTTTGAACGAAAAATGAAGGTTATTCTGTCTTTGACAAAAGACAGGCGAGCAAATCTTGGGAAGTAGCACAGTGCAAACACGATATTTTCTTCTGCAAGACTGTAAGTTATCTTCCCTGAAGAATTATGGACGATTTTTGGTCTTCGAAAAAGCAGTTCGATTTTCATGAAAAAGTTTTTAGTGCAAAACGTTTGGAATCAACCCTTACTCGCCTGATTTTGTGACTCGAAGCCCACCAAAAGGTCTTGATGGTTCTTCTATCTTCGCGGTAAACTCTTATTTATTTCTTCTCCCCTTCATTTTCTTCAGGAACTTTGCGAGAAAAAACGTCCATGCTGCCAACTTGACGATTCTTTCACATTCTAAGATATCAAAACTGTTACTTGTCCATGTCACCTTTATTTATTGAATGTCCCAAAGCTAGAATAAAGTACAAAATTTGACCGATTGGAAGTTCACAAGAAAAAAAACAGGCGTGAGAAAAGAATCGGTCCTGGCTAGGGCACTTTATCAATCAATGGTTCGGGAAATAAGGGGCTCCGATTTCTTGCTTGGTGAAGAACAGGGGTGTTATAAAAGGGATGAGGGCAGAAAAATGTTTATTTTAGGCAGTGAATATTTTTGAAGGTAAGATAGGAATTTTACCAGAGAATAATTTCGGTTTTTGCTTTCAAAAAAGAGCGATTTTCCTTTGTTTTCCAGACAGCAAATACCAATAAACAGACCCCCTTATCTTTTCCGCATTCCATCTGATTAGCGTGGCTTCCTCTGATTACGACTTTCCACCCATAAATCCATCAAGCACCCACCGCGCCTTCCATCTCCCATAAACAAATGCAATCACGTGTGAAGAATCAAAGATTCCCTCATCCCTTCTAAATCATCGCACATAAATTCGCGATCAGAAGCTCAACGAGCCGTGAATTTATCCCCCTAAAAGCCGCCAACTTTTCCCTTTCGCTGTCAGAATAGCATTTTCTAGCGTCAAAAAAACAAAAAAGGATGAAGACTATCGCGATTTTCGGAACAATTTCTCAAGCAGCCCTTGTGCGAAACTATGCTCATTACGACGATGAGACCTGGAGAGCACCCATCTACGAGAGTAAGTAGCGACCATAAGAGATGTTTTTGAAGGATTTTTCGGTAAATTTCTCTTTAAATTATCATTGACTTCTATTATTAATCATATACTGTATATGATATGAATCGTTAATTGACATCAGAAGATAAATGAGTTCGTTTTTATTGCAGGCTTAACGTTTTCGGAACAGAAATTCCATCATCAGAGCCGGTTGCTTGAAAACTTGACGATCTTTTAGCAAAGGAGAAACTGACCTTTTCTTGTAGAAGAGTGAACTGATCAATATTCCGAATAATAACTTGATCCCTAGCCACATTCTAGAGAAAATAATGTAACTCGAACTATTTTTATAATCTCAGAGGCTCCAATTGCCTTCAAAACTATAATATAAATAATAATAATAATAATATAAAAATAGTTCGGGTTACATTATTTTCTCTAGAATGTGGCTAGGGATCAAGTTATTATTCGGAATATTGATCAGTTCACTCTTCTACAAGAAAAGGTCAGTTTCTCCTTTGCTAAAAGATCGTCAAGTTTTCAAGCAACCGGCTCTGATGATGGAATTTCTGTTCCGAAAACGTTAAGCCTGCAATAAAAACGAACTCATGTATATGATATACATACGTTTCTGAACTTTCATCGCTTATCTAATTACAAGTCTAAGATATTTCCGTACTTATTCAATCATTCAATAATTAATTTAAAATTTAGGCTTCCTGCCCGACCCCTGGTCTGACAAACCCTGCTACGACTACATCCATTCCGTCCACCCATCAAAATGGCTGAACGACGGACTCTTCCTTCCCGATTGCACCGCTGATGGTCTCTACCACCCTACTCAATGCAACTTCCAGAACCATCGGTAAACTAAACATCCTACAAAAGAAAGTAATCATCGAATTCAGCTGCTGGTGCGTCGAACCCGACGGTCAAAAAATCGCGAATTCCGAGATTCCCCTCTGGCGGGTTATTCGCGAGCCGGAAACGGCAAAATGCATCCATCGCTTCAGGTAGAAAAACTGTTCAAAAACCTCTTCATAATCTTTATTTAGGGAATTCCTGAACGGAAAGGGTCGTTTCCCAGTGAACAACATCATCGAAAAATCAACAACGACAACCGAAGAGCCAGCAACTTCAACTTTCAATCCCAAGTGGGCCGAAACGACTTATTCGGTGCAGACAGAAGCTACTACTGCTCTGACAGATTCATTTACATCTACTGAAGCTGGTGAGTCATTCTCTTTTACCTTATTATTCAACTCTTCTTTTAGCCACAATTATTATGGAGGACTCCGATCCCGTAACTACTCCTGCCGAATCAACCACATTTTCAAACACCGCTGTTCCGTCGCTCCCAACCACCACTGAAGAATTCCTCCAGATCGAGCTCTTCCCAATTCTGAACCTTGAATCTTCGGAGACTGAAGATAGCCAGCTCGTGACTCTGACTGGCCCTGGAATCTTCGCAGCGCCGAAAGAAGAGGATTTTGTCAAATTCTCGAGCTCCAACTTTGCCGTCGCGATGATGAAAGCACCTGAGGAGGAGATTCTCCTGATCGAAGAAGGATCTGGCGCGACTGAGGTTCATCTCGAAGGCTCTGGAGAATAAGGCAACACGATTCTGCTACGTAATTATCCGATATTCTTTCACGCTCGTTTTTTTGCTCTTGTCTGTAAAAATAAATGCTAAATAAAGAAAAACACAAAAATATCGCTAGAATGTCAATATTTTCTTAGTCAATTATGAGTTCTCAGGTAGTTTTACAAAGAAAATGTCGAGGAAGGAATATTCCTCAGAGTATGACTCAGAGTACTATTATTCTGAATCTGATTACGATTTGTCGGAGTCGAATCAGTCCAAAAGCGAATATGAGTACGAATACGAGTATTCGGGCGCGTCAGAATCTGCGCCTCTGCCAAGAGCAGGAGAACTCACGAAGGTTGGCGTAGATCAAAATTTTGATAAAATTGACAGTTGAATATTCAGAAAAGTAAGCACGTGAGTCCACAAATTCAGCGAAAAGTTGACTTGTGGGAAGACAGGATCGCAAGAGAAGGTCCTGAAGCAATCATAGCGCCTCTTCAGGAAGAGATTTTTACTTCTGAATGATTGATTTTGTTTTCATGAACTATGAATCTCGCGAAGCTTGAGAAACATCAGCTGCCGAAGATAACAAAAGCTCAATCCCCACGATGCTCTTATCGCAGTCCTCGATTCAGACGAGTCCTTCCTGTCGAGACATGCAGGTCGACAACATACAGATATTACGTAACCGATGCTTTCTGTTCAATTTGCAATCCAACAATCCTTCGCCAGATCATCAGAAGACTCCAGAAAAGATGGATTCTTACTCTCGGTAATCAATATTATTGGTCTAACAGTCCCTTATGACTCAGGATATTTTCTGTCATTGCTCGTTTTGTCTTCATTCCCAACTTGCGCTACAAGCAGGCGTAGAGTTTATCACAATGCTGGCTCGAAACTAGACTGGCCATTCGAAACACTTCTACTGTATGTCTGGACGACTGACTGGTTCGCTCCGACTGGGATCATCAACGACTGCACGGAAGTCTACACATTCTCGTTAGGTGCTCTTTTGACCCTTGCTTTTGGAACGCTTATCTTTCTATAAATCATTTTTGACCAATAAATTAATTTTTCATCAATTCATCAACTTTTTTAAACCTCCCTCTCCACTTCCTCTTTCCACTTATTTTCTCAACTTTACGCCCCCTTCGATCTCAACCCAATATCTTAATAATGATTATCCATTGCGTACGTAAAGTCGCCCCACCACGGGAAGAATGGAATCCGAAGCCTTTCCATTTTCGGGCAGCGGATTTTCTTGCCGCTTCGTCAGCTGCTAATTACCCGGGCATCTAAATAATCGGACTCACAAGATCAAGCCATCATGTGAAGTTCTCTCAAAATAGAACATCCTTCTCGAAGGATCATCAGGAGTGAATGCCCGAATAATTGTTCGTAAGAGTTCAATTCTCGGGTGATTATTGGATGGTACTCTTATCTTTATTTTCTGTATCAAGCAGGACCCTAATTGAACTCTTGTTTTCTCTAAAGAGAAATACCTTTGACCCACCAGGTTACTTCCATATATGATCAAGATGCTCAGACTCAGAGTCAAGAATCTAGACTTCATAGTTTTTCTGGCATATTTATTTTTGCGACAAAGTTCAAACATTAGCTACCAGACAGGAGGAAAACACTCCTAGTGACTGAAAATTTCATATTTCTGCCAAGCTACTAAAAATAGGCCTTCTTTGAGCACATAGTAACCGGCTTATGAGTACAGTATTTTCTTTAACTACTTGTGTGGTCGGTTTTTTAGACATAACAAAGAGTCATGGAAATAAACTGTCGTTAACATGTTCAAATTTCCGTAACAACACAAATAAGTTTTGATTAGACATTGTCTTGGTTCATAGTAGTCCTCAATTTGTATAGCCAATTATAATATTATGTTGTTAGGATTTCGAATCTCAACTCCTTATTGAAATTGGCCTTGATAAAAAATCAAAATACCGGCCTAAGGGGTTGTCACACCGGTGTATCTTCATCATGCTCTTATTTTCATGCTTTCCAAATATCTAACTCGAAAACATCAATAGCAAATTTAATGTCAAGCCGGTACGGCTTCTGTTGATTTCCTGCCCTCTGGGCCCTCGCCCCTTGTCATCAGAAAACGTTTTTTACTTCAAAAACTACCTGTTCGTGCTGAGAAGTTGTGACATTGGTTGTCTGACGGAACGAACCAGGATGGAGAACCGTGCGGTTGACAGGTTTAACGACGTGGCAGGTGGAAAAATGGCTCTAACAGCTGATAACTGGGACACTGAAGGTGACGCTCAAGACTTAAAAATGGAAGAAAATTGATTTTAAAGGGGGCTGAAGGTTGCATTTGAACCTGAGCATGAACGAATAGAAAGTTAATGACCTTTTACACAACTTTTATGAAGAGTAATTAAGGGTATCTCCCCAGAAAAACCTGATTTTGAGCCATTGAAAAACGACAATTTTTGATAAGAAAGACCGAGCCCGATTTGAACAAGAGAAAGAGACATAAGTTCGGGCCTTGTTTTCAACGTCCAGCGGAAAAAGATAGATAGCGCCCTTAAGAAAAAAGCTCGCATTTAACAAGAGCAACAAGTTGTTGCGAGTCACCACTTGCCACTCACTACGACAGTCCACGGCTTCGTGCCGTCCAAACCCGCGTTTTTTTATTTTTCCTTTGGACTCACGCTTTTTTTTCGCAGAGCGAAGGAAGGCTCGGGAAAAGTAGAAGAAAGAGAGTAGAGAATCTCGTAAACACCACAGATCTGTAGAAGCAGATTTGAAAGAAGAACGAAAAGAAAAAAACAAGAAGAATAACAAGATGATGGGACAGATTGTCTCACGATTTTGGTTTTTCCTTCTGGGTTCAATTGTTCTAAGGTAAGCGACTTGTTCTTTGAATCAATTCTGCTAACAAAAATTCGAAGAAAAAAGAAAGTTAGATATTTCTAAGAGCTTAATAAGGGAATTAAAGGACTAAATGAATAATAATCAAGGTCACAAATCATTTTCCCTACATAAAAATTATAGTCACCGAAGTTTTGGGTCCCCAACGATACATTTTTAATCGATTACCTTGTTCCTCTCGTTGCATTTTACAGCAAAATTTCCATAAAAAACACAGCTCGTATTCTAGAATTATATATTCTACGAATATCAGCATTGATTGAGCCTTTATTCTCAGACTAAGTGTGGGGTTACCTTAGTAAGACTGTCTGATTCTTTGAGACGTATCTGCGGAAGAAAGTTATTAGTCTTCTTCTCAATAGAAACTGTGCATCCTCAAATTAATTTCTATAAAAAGACGATTCTCCACGTCATGTCCCCGTCTTTCTTCGTCCATCGAAAGACACGGGGGATGAAGACGAGAGTTCCTGAGTCTGACTGTCTTCACGTGAAATCGTCTCCTAATCGGAATCACGAGAATCTCGTTATCCGCAATTTGTCTGGAGCAATTTTCGGTGTCCGAGGTGGAAATTTGAGGGCACGAGAAAAGTTCGTTGACCTCTTTAATTTGCTCAATTAGTGAATTTTCGTGTTTTCTTGGGTTCATTTGGCACAAAGTTCGGGTTTAAATTTCAAGACACAATGATCTTTCGAAAATAAAAGGTCCTTTATTAAGGGTATCACTACCCTTAAAAGCCTTTAACCGACAAAAACATGAATGATGTTCGTAATAATGAGTAAAATAAGAACGGCACTTAAAAAGTCCAAAATACGTCAAATTCATGATATAATCCAGCTTCCACCTGTTTATTGCTCCAATAATAACGCAATGATAGCGCAAACAGACCTAATCTTGACCTAAGAATTGAGAATTTGTCGCGTAAACTCGTCAATAAGGGTACCATGTTCAAAAGTCACTTTTTTCAAACTCGAAAACATCATCTTCTGTTGCGCTAACATCCAGAACCAAGGGCTATCGTTTGACTTATTTTGAGAAGGTGTTAACTGATTTTACGCAAATCAAGCTAGGACACCCTTAACTCGTTTTCAGTGGAGTTCAAGGTGACTGTCAAGAAGCCCCCGAAAGCCGGCGCAATCTGGAGATACTGTTCATCAACAGCTGGAGCCACTTTTACTGCAAGATTCCGCACGATGGGAGGCTGCACAACAGGACAATTTCTCGATCTCCTTTACCAGCGACCATACATTCAGAGAAGCAAAAAGAATGTCTCGAAAATTTCAACGAAAACAATCCCGTCATAAAGAGGGTCTTCCGACCGGGTAAGAAATAAGGCAATTTCTGAGGCTAAGAAAATTTTTTCTAGTGCAAGAGTGCATCCGAGCGCAGCAAAAAGAAAGCAACACTCGAAGAAAAACCGATTGTTTTTCGGATCGAAGTCCGTCAAGCCTCACTCCAGAGCTTCGAAAACTTATGATGTCCCTCGTGAATGTTTCTCACAAGTGCTGGTAACCGTTAATTTAGTGTTTCAAAGTGATTGACATAATTTTAAGTGAATACTTCCCAAAGGAATCCTACACTGTTGCAAAGAGGGAGCAATTCATAAGGTAAGCAAAACTGGATAGCTGGCATTTTGCTAACTCAGAGAGATAAGTCTCCATTATCGGTCAGACGGACACATTTCGCGAGAGCTTTTTTTTACGTTGGTCGGTCAGTATCTATCTTAGATATTTCTTTAGCCGACGAAAAAACAGATTCAGCGTCTGTATGAAGCGAAGATTCGACTTTCTCCTCAATCAGTTCAACCAAAAATACGACGTCACCAAGCAACTTGATTCCCTAAAGCTAGTAAACAACCCTTAATTAGCGAAGGTTTCTTTGTTCCTCATTTTCTTGATCATCGAATTTAAATTTACAAGGTTCTCTCTCTCTTTTGCTTCCAATCGTTATTACGGTATTATATGTATTCCGCGAAAAATTCTCTATTGATATAAAAGGTTATCTTCTCCCAGTTGTCAGTTCGATTTTAAATCTACGGATCTTCCTATCTTTATTTAATTAATGAAAATCACTTGCAGAAAAAACTGATCCTGTATGCTACACCTTGATTTTAACACACTGTGTCCCCATGAAGAAAAAATAAACAAAAAAAATCTGAATTTGTGATTGGATTACATTTATTACAAATATATTAATTTCTAGCAAAGCAAACTTCCGGTTCAAGTATCAGTTTTCAATAAGGAGAATGTACAGTTAATTTCCTTCACTCTTCAAGCCTCAGCCGCAATTTAATTAAGCATACTTTCCATCAAGTCGTAGAAATTGTAGTCCAAATCGAGGTCGATCTATAAAAAATCGTTATTTTTTGGTCGAAAAATGAGTTTTCACGAAAAAAAAAATTTAATCAAAAAACGGACTTACCGGTACGATTTGCTCGCAGACGCCCAAATTGTCCGGCAGATCATTATTTCTGACGCATTCCAAGTCCTCTCGGCACATGTCCAATCCTGGGTTGACGCTCGGGTTGCAGATATCGCCTTCCTGTAGCTCGCAAACGCGGGTGCAAAACATCACATCCCACACTCGTCCAAATTCACAGTCGCGCTTCTGGAAGTACTCGGATCTTCCGTTGAACCTTTCTGATGGTTCCCACTGAAATAAAAATGTTAAAATCAAGTCGAAAATGCGACTGAGGTTAAAGGAAGTTATAAGGGAAAAGTCGGCTAGACGGAGGGAAATCATAAAGGAAACAATTACTGTAATAAAAACAAGCCTAAAAGACCTGTTTTCAGGTCTTTTCGAGTTGAAATCAGAACAAAAACGGACTTTTTGAACCCTCTTTATTTAATTGGTTTTGATTTCTAATGAAAAATATGCAAATTTGATTGTCAATTTTAGTAAAACTGTACCTGTGAGTCTCCAGTCATCAAAATCTGATCATTGAGAACATCGCATTGAGTGACCATTCTTCGCTGCAAGTAGTGTCCTTTCACTGTTATCATCATAAAATTGAGTGCTAGCTGGCTTATCATCATCATCGTTTTTTCTTCTTTCCAGTCGTTACTGTCGTTACTGTAACTGTTGCTGACCACTAGAGGTAGTGAATCGTTTGTAGTAGTTACTGTAGTTTGCTTTTAGTCTGCTTGCTTTTCGTGCTGATTTCTATCTAAAGAAAAAGCTTTGTTGTTTTGTTTGGTTGTTTTTCCTTCTCGGTAAAACTCTTGGATCTACTGACAAGTTCGGGCAAACCTGCCCTCTTTTATACGTCGCGAAAAACGAGCAATACAATTCCCGGGAGATGGCGCGCTAGAGTGCTACTACTAACTGCCGTCGGTAGTGGATCCTTACGTCGGCCATCTTCTCAGGGTAATTAGGAGAAACGAGGAAAAAACTTGGGCGGCTAAACTGGAAATTCATAGATTTGACGTCGCAGAAATCATGGAGGATTTCGAGTGAAAAATCGGTCAATTTGCAATCTGATTAAAACAGGTTGAGAAGCCGTTTTATCATCTAAATATCGGTTAAAAAATCGGAACTATTAAACCGAAATCTTAATTTTCAATTTGAATGTTTTTTTTTCGCTCGCAAGACTTCGCGTAAAGCCCATTATCAATAAAGCGAGTACCATTAAAATTAGTACCACCTGTTAAAATAACCCCTCCTTATTGGTGAGTTTTCTAGAAAAGTGTAATTTCAATACCGATGGTTTAAAACAATTTGATTCTTTCTCTATGTTCTTACCTGATAAATGAGTTAAAACTCTCGCCGCGCTGGTCTCTTATCGCCGAGCCGATGTCCTGCCGAGTTGGAGCGAAGCGGGAGCAAACGCGGAAAAATTCCCGCTCCACTGCGCTCCTCTCCTCGACGAATAGGGAGAACTCTGATGACTCATCATTTCCACTTCCGACGAAAAAAATTTCCACAAATTGGTAAATTTATTGCTCTGATAGACAAAGTTCTGACAGACAGGATTTCTTTTCTAGAAACTTTTACAACTAAGGTGTTCTTTTTCATTTCTCCTCTAGAAAAACTAGACATTCTTAGAAACTGCCGATTCTTACTACGACCTTGGTGGCTTATTCAGACCTGGATTCCGTTTTCCCATGTTTTCGCCTTGACGTAGCTTCCAAAATAGAGATTCGACAACAGATTTTAACAAATAACTTTAACATACAAAATGCGTCAAGACCAAAGCATCGACAATGCAGCGAGAATTCCGGTGCCCTGTTCCCTTCTTTTCCCACTGAACTGCATTAATTTTCATATCGAAAATGTGGCTTACAGACAATCCCAGGGAATAAAAGCCACGGAATTAGATAAATCTGTCTCAACCGGATTGAGATAATTACTTTACAACGGGATTATAATAATATTACAGCTCAAGTTAATTCAAAATTGACGTGAATTGAAGATTATCTAAGAGCTTTCGCGTCATTAGACTGTATCCTCAAGCTGAGCAAGATCAGTTTCTTAGTTTACGTGAGAGACAATGGAAAATCTAGACAAGCTGAGTTAACTTGATCGAAAATAGAACAACCGAAAACCTTCGAAGATAAATCGGCCGTATCATGTTAAATTTGAACTTCGAAAGCGCCATTACTCCCCTAATCCTAAGGATACTCCTACCTTTTACGCCTACCGCTCGGCAACGGGTTGATTCTTTCAGAATTCGTCAAGGTTGCCAAGTTGACAATGTGACATTGTCACAATGTCAACTTCCTTCCTTCCAGTATTAAGAAAATCTTTGTGAACTTTGCCTTCATGTCGAGAAAACATGAATAAACCTTGTTACTCAGAAGCAAGTCATTTGCCGGTAACTTACCACTTCAAAAGCGGCCCGGTAAGATCCTGGCTCCGGGAATCCCGGATACTCTAACCTTTAACTTGCTGATTGCGGAGTTGTTGAGCAAAGAAAATCGAGTCAGGAGCAACTTTTGAACAATGACAAAGATTTATGTAATTCGCCACAGCCCGGCATCCTGATCTTCAAGGCTGAAAACTTTCATCAGGTTGTCCTGAGATGATCCAGAGTAGTTGGGCACCAGGAACGCACGGTTGTTAATTAATTAGACGCCGGGTAATTCAACCAGCGTGAATCTTCCCGTCGCTATTATCACGAGGGTCGGTTTACTGAAGGTTTTCGACGCTTATTCACTCGACTAAAAATGAGTGTGTTTAATGAGTGTTTCTAAGTCATATGACCAGTTGTCTATAATTCAAGAATTGACTAGAAAAACAGACAAAGAAACGGTCATCCAAATATAACAGGAAAAGTGATTCCTTGGAATACTTAACCGTTATTCTAGTGACCTTCTTTCGAGTGAAGAGTTGAATATTTCAACTTTGATTTCAACCAATCATCGTGAATTTAGCAATTAATTCAGAGATGCTTTTGAGGTTTCTTTGACGGTTTTCTATTAGTGGGTAAGAAAATAGCCACAGGATTCTATTTGAGTCAGGTTCAAGAATGTTTTTAGATCTATTATCTTGCCGAGAGGCTGAGATGCTGACATGAACTTTCCCATAGGTGCGAAACAAAATGACTACAATGCAACAATGAACTGAGTAACCTCCATCGTCGAGGCTGACATTTCAGTAAGACATCGTTGATCTTTTTCCAAGACGTAAAAGATTAGAATTAGTGCGATTTGTCATGTTACTCATCATCGTTCAGAGTACGAAACGAGTACTCAGAAACGGCGGTCCGACTTTTGTCCCTTGTTTAAAAGTCAGTTCTTTCATCGTAGGATTATGACGGGGTTCAGGAAGGTGAGGATACCAGGCAGGAGGTTATGACGATGGTTACCGAGAATACTGTAGAAAAAGTTCCCGAACACGCCATTGAATTGAAAGGATAGAGGGATAAGGACCAAGTTCCCACTCAAGATCCTCCTCTCTTTCAATCGAGTAGAATATGAATATCAAATTTAGAATCCATCCTCCTCCAGAATAAGAAATGACAATAGTTGTGAATTCCTGTAAGTTTGATTTAAAGAGAGGCTGAGCTAAGAAATCAGCAGGTTCTGAAGACACGGTTAATTGCCAGTTATTTGGAATCTTTCCTAGCTTAGATAAGCCATTAGAGTAGATGAACTGTCGCTCTGAATTTATTACCCGCGGAAATATAGTTGCTGACGTTGAATAACTCTTATTGTCAATGAAAAAGTGTCAGAAGAAAATAAATAAAAAAATGAATGCGTTCAAACTTGACAAGCTGACGGATCTACTCCCGATCATTCATTTTCGGAACTATCTTTATTGACATTCTGGCAGTTCAGAGAAAGCATTAATGATCAGGCTAGTCTACTCTTCCCAAGTAATCGTCCATCAATGACCCGATCGAGAATATCTCGTTCACGTCCACTCGCGTTCCTACGATTTTCAGACGGATTTCATCATCTGAAAAATCTCGTCATCGCCAGAACCCACTAAAAGAGCTTACCCTGTCGAATGGCAGTGTCTTCATCCTTCGTTTTGTAGCAAGGAGGGTTCGAATCTGGGTCAAACTCCATGTCGGACGGAATTGAATGCTTAAAAATTAAGGTTAACTTGCATATAGGGGATAAGTTTACTAGAAGGAGGACGATTAGATCGAATACAGATCTTCTAAAAGTAGCAAACTAAACCTAACCAAAGATGAATGAAGGAGCATTTGATGGGGCTTTTCGTGTTTATCAAGCTCGAAGCCGCAAGCGGCTTCTCCGTTAATTCTTATCGCCGATAAGTTATCGGGAGTCTCAATTCAGGATAGTAAGGCCCTTACCTTTGAAATAAAGCAAGCCATAGGTCCAACATCAACCATGAGCCCAACTTTGTTCACCTGTGTAACTACTCCATCGACAACTTCTCCCTTGAAAGGTCGAAAAACAATCGCCTGAAGGAAGAAGGTAACTCTCACAAAAACCTCTCTCATACCGCATATTTGATTGGAAACAGACAAAATCCCCGTCCAGATAGAATTTCTCCATCTCCAATGCTGTGAATGCTCGTTACTCCTATCACGAATCCATGCTCTCCAGTGCAGGATCCTTCTACCTCGCTTAATAGCGTCATTACAGGGAGATAGAGCGATGGTACCTGTATAATTTCTGTCTGATTGTATCTGTTAGGTTTTCACCAAAGTACATAGGGTGAATCAAGAGCTCATGTTCAAGATCTATGTGGTAGAACATACTAAAAGAAGCAAAAGTCAGATAAAAGAAGCAAAAATTCGAACAAGATAAAGTTTTATAAATAATTATTTCACAAGAAAAGTCTCATTCACAGGTTTTCGAATATTTTCTACAGATTGAAATTCCCTAAAGAACTTCTTCACCAAGCTCTTCGCCTCTTGTAATTTTCTTTCTTGCGTTCTACGGCTTCGTTCGAGCTCTTCAACCAATTTCTGATTCTCCTTCCAATTCTGCTTCATTTTCCAGCTTTCGTATTTTTCTCTCTTGATCAATTCGTCCAGCTTGTCGATCTTTTTCTGTTGAACGTTCCAAGCTGAAAGTATTGCGTCTTCGGATGATCCACCCTTCAGCTCCAGTGCAAGGACAAGTCGGAGCTTTTGGGGTAGTTTTGTAACTAGAAACTTGATGATCGAGCTTTTTGATATTTTTCCAGTAAGTATCTTTTTTGAGCTTGATAAAGCGCGGCATCATTTTTTAAGATCAATATCCTGAGTTCATAACGTCTATGAATCTTCGTCCCTTTCTTTCAAATATCAAGCCTTTCCTTAGAATCACCAGAAGAGGAACTCTCTGCGGGAAGAAGCAGAACCTGAGGATAGTGCTTGAAGTTGAGCCAGGAAGGAAGATGATTCGAGTCAGCTTCCAAGACGTTGAAAGAAATTTCAGCCATCAACGAATGAGATATTCTTGACTCTAAGTAGAATTTCGCATCTAGCACCGCTCTTGAATTATCGTTGGTAAGGAAAGATTTGAGTTTCTTACCTCTTAGCAACGTCACAAAAGCCGCAAGATCTACTGGTCAAAACAAGCAGCATGCTACGCTCCTTATTCCACAGAATCTCTTCCAGATACTCCCCGAAATACTCATTCTCTGATTTTTCTATCTTCGCTAACGCAACTGTAGAAGAATTAACTGCTTGAAATTGCTGCATGAAAAGCATCGGAGAAGACGAAAACGAAGTTCTCTTCAAATTCGTCGCTAGAAAATCGAACAAGCTTTCTTCAGGAGCTTTTGAATCGCTTCTTCTGATTTGAAATCGATAAAGAGGGGCTCTTTTTGTTCTGGGTCGAAACCAAGGCGAGAAAAGACGATTTTGTAAGGTTCTGGAAGTGAAAGAGCGCCAAAAGTTCCGTTGAAAGTTCTTGAGCAGAGTGCGTTTTCATCCTCGAGGAAATGGAATTGATCGTAACAGCATATTTCTATATCTAAAAGAAGTTTATTGGAGATGACTCCTGCGATTTCGAACCTCTCTTCCAAAAATCAGCAGGAACGAACGATTCGCAACCATTTGGCTTTTTGTAATTGAAATCGTCATTTGGAATTTCCGTCGCGAAACAATCCTTCGACAACGAAAAATCCCTCGTTTTGCATTCCGAAAGCTTTCTTATCTCTTCGTTGATTCTGTCGAAATCAAGACCGTCCATTTTAGACTCGATAAAAAGCAGCAATCTACCAGACTCGAAGATCTTGGCAGGAGAGGACTTCCAGATGTTGTTGTTTTTCCAGGCGTGGAAGCCATTTTCAGCGTATCGGATGATCGAGTTTTGTGCGTGATTTGGCGCAAAGTTATGGATGGAATTGACCGGCAAATCGGTTTGGAATTGGACCGGGAAATGAGAGTGGAAGATGCCCCTCGATTCATCTTCTCGTTTTTGATCAAAGAGAAGAAAGTTCGTCTTGATCCCAGAGAGGTTCTTAAGCTTTCTTGCTTCTTGGTTTGCTTTTTCCAGCAGCTCATCCGATTGAAGAAGGCTTCTGGAGGGTTTGATGAAGAGTTCGCCAGTGTGAAAATATGGAGAAGAGTTTTTCCGATGCTCGTTGAAGTCGGCCTTTGAAGAAATGAAGTTGATCGGGTAAAGAAGGGAGGAAACGAAGCTTGAGAGAGCGGTCGAGTCGGTTATATCGCCAGTGAACATGAAGAAATTCGGCGAAGAAGAGGTCTTTTCTTTCTAAAGAGGAAGGGTAGGCATCGCGTTCGCCCTTGCCAAGGGCCCCTTGGATACCGGGTTTACCTGGTAGAAATGGACTTGCGGGAGGAATTCATGTTTTATCTGCGCCCCACAGTTATGGGCGCAATTAACAGCCAGCCATCCTATTTCTCCGAAGTTCCCAAATTTTCTCGAAGTTTCATCGTACGCGCTCGCTGCGTATTTACTCCTGGCGATTTTGTGACTGTACAAAAGAACGAAAACGGCGTGGTGGAGCGAGAGAAGGGATGGGAGAAGGTTGACATCGCCCTGGACGGATTCTTTGATGAGGGATGAATTGGAAAAGAAGGGTTTGGGAGTTTGAGGATCGAATTGGAGACCAGCAGCATCGGTGGGGCTGATCCAGTCGAAACTATAGCAGAAAATGAAATTTAGCGCAAACGAAAAGGGCCAGGTTTCGAAACCTTTGTAGAAACGTGAGTAAGGGTCCCGAAAGAGCTAAAACTGATTGAGATTGCCATTTGGGTGAAGCCGCTTTGCGGCTAAGTTATCGTAAAAGCCGCTTCATATCGAAGATCTTTAAAGAAGACCCTGACTCAGGTTTTTACGCAGGTCGACGAGTCGAGATGAAAATGGAACGTACCCGAGGAAGAACAAAAAACAGTGGAACATAACAGAAAGAACAGAAAAGACGATAATTCCGGCCAACAGATATTTCTCTCTCATGGGCAAAACGCTTCTCCGCCGGACGAACTTTTCTCTCTTTGCTGACTCATTCTGGATAGTGAGAAGTTAACGATGTTCGAGAGAAAAAAAGAGAGAGGGCCTGAATTTTTTGTCGATTTGGAGAGAAAATGAAGCGTGGGAAAAAACGTCCCAAGCGCTAGGAGGACCCTTCTAAAAGGAAGATTCTTTATTGCTGGAAAACGAATCAACACGAAAATCAAGTTCGACACAAAAAAATAACTTTCAAGAAACACTAGTGAGAGTTTTTATTAAATTCTCTTTACAGAAATATGAAGATAAACATAAATATAATAATGATACATAGTGTTTTTACAGAACAACTTTGATTCCAAGCTCAGGATACTCGGGTTTGTAGCCAAATGCGTGATAGTCTTTTGCGTAACGTTTGATCAGATTTTCGACTGAAGATTTTTTGCACGGTGAGAAGTAGTCTCTTAGCGTTTCAGAGTTTGTGTTTGTTCGGTGAGCGTTGTATTGTGAAGATTTGCTGTTTTCTTTCAAACGGAAACTTACTGTCATTCAAATAATAATGGTTCGAAAAGATGAATAGAAAGATCAGACCTGGGTGCTGCTAGTTCAGTATGTTTCCTTTCCTGGAGGGCGAAAATTAAACTTGGTGAATAAGTACCATAAATCATCATCGTACGTCTCCGTGTTGCCAATAAAACTAGTCCTATAGCGCTCATAGCAAACACCACAGTTTCTCCACTGCTCTTCAAGATGATAATCTACTTTTTGTTTGCCAATTTGTCCAACCGTCAAACTGTAGTAATCGACGTAATCGCAAAAAGTAAGCCCAAAAGTCGCGTCTTTTCCGCTTTCTTTTTGCCAATCGTCAAGGCTTTTGACGTATGCCATCTTTTTGTGCATAAGAACGGGTGTGGTGATTTTCTTGTAGTAGAAAAATGAGTCTCGACGATTTCGATGATATGTTGGGTATCTTTCGGTTTCGACTTTGTCCCTCCAACTTGCCAAAAATCGCGAAAGAGGGTCTCTGAAAAATGATAAGAAACGATTCTTCTACTGATAGATAAGAATATTCTATGTTTTCGTATCATTTTCCTGACAGTAAAAATTTCTCCAAGCTCTGCTCTTTTCGACAGTAAACTTTTCATTTTTGCCTTCATCTTTGGCATGCTTGATTCAAATGGTTTAATTCCATCGTGGAGAATCGTCTTGTCGCTATCATCTGGGAAGGGCTCACCATTGATCCAGTACCAAATGAAATCCATCAAATTAGTGCTTCCTGACTTCGGGTTGAGGCAGATAACTGTTTCTTCATAAAGTGCGCTAAAGTTTTTAGCTCGATTTTGTTTCAAAAAGGGATGGATTGCTTACCTGTACCAAATAGTTGCCTGCAAACCTTTGAGATAAGGATATGCTTTGCAGAAATTTTCCAATCGTTGAATTCTTTCTTGTTGAACTTTTTCGATCCTCTCAAATTTTTGATCGTCAGTCTCTTCTGTTGGCTCCTCTTTGAGTTCAATTTCATATTCTTCAGGTTTTTTGTCTTCTGATTTGGTTTCTTGTTGATCAATCGTTGTGTTGAGCATCTTTTTGGTCCTAGAACGCATGTCTTCCTCAAGCTCGCCAGGAAGGAAGTGGACAGTAAGACTTTGAATCCGTTCCGTTTCAACAACGAAGTAATCTTGCGAAACATATCCGGTGAACAAAAGCAAAGCCACAATACATCCTTAATTTAACGTTAGAGAATAGAAGATAAGAAAGATCACTAAATAAGGATCGACGATTTAAATGAATGATTCCCAATGACCTCATCGGTCAAATTGCGTATCCAAAGCAGGTTCCCATATTTGACCTTATGAATGCAATTATTAACACCATGATTCCAATCCATCTCTAATTCCCAAAGAAACATGAATCAGTAGTGAATCGGACTGTCAATTTAAAAAGTCCGTCAACGTCACTCAGTCGTGAAATCATGGCTAGCCCAGGTGAAAGATTGAAAAACGCAAAAATTTTTGAATCGAACCTAATCGAGACAATCCAGTGCTCAAGAAACGCAAAGCCTGCCTCTCAAAGAAACAGAATCAACGAAACAACAGAGCAAATTCCAGCCACCCCGACGACCCAAGATTTCATCGCCCTGGCGAATTCGGCCGCAGTAACATTTGAACATGAAGCTGGAAATTTAAGGATCATTGGAAATTTGCTCAAGCAAAATATTTCAGATTCACGAAAAACGGAAGAGGTGAACATTGTTCAAAATATGTTCGATGGGTTCAGGTATTCTTCGGCTTTGATGAAGAATATTTTAGCACTAGAAATTCCGGTGGAAGATCAATTTTTGTAAGATAAAAAACAAGATGGCGGGCTGCTATTCAAAAATATAGAAAGCTTCAAATTATCAAATTTTCTTTACTTATTTTTTTTTTTTTCAAATCACATAAATCAAACCTGTTATAGAGCCAATTTGAAAAATTTCTACCATTGTTCTTCTTGGTCCTCTCTTTTCGCCGCTTTTTATTGCATGAGAAAATTAATTGAGCCCGTTAAAATCTCAATAAAAACTCTCGTGAACATTCGCTGATCTTACTATTTACTTTTCCTTGATCAACATTGTCGCTTAAATTTTTGAACAAAAGTTCGGCGAATTTGAAAAAATAAAAGTCTAGCACTGGCAAATTTAAAAAGTGGTGAGCTTGCCCCGCGGGAGATGGCACCTAGACGATAAGAAGGTCACTTCCACCGAGTATATTCAACAGTGGCGAATTATTATTAATAAGATTTATCCAAAAACCGCGATTGTTTGATGACTTTTTGGACGGGCCTCAATTTTTATAGTGATTTCAAGTGCGGAGAATCAGCAATAACAACAAATATTTTTAAAAAATATCAGTGTTCGAACTTCATTTTTTATTGAGTCAAGTTATCAGTGTCAAGCATGAACTCCTTGTAGAGATTCGGTCGAAAACCTTTTTCAATTGGGCTCTTATGCTCGTCGAAGTTACTATAGTAATCATCAGTTTTGTAATCTTCTCCGTTGAAGAAGTAATTACTGAATAATGAGTTTTTTCGTCTCTTTGATGATGAGTTTTTTGATTACCTGAATAGGTTTCGGTAGAGGTTGTTGTTCACGCTAAATTCAAATTAAAAATTGGCACGAAATATTTCAGTAGGAGATATCCCTATTTTATTTTAGCCGATTTAAATTCCTCAGGAAAATCGTACCTCTCACTGAGGACCATTGAAATCATCATCACTGCCAGTTGAAGTTTTACCATATTTCTCTTGTTTTGGTTAATGTGTCCAGAAAATAGCTGTGTATATGTATATATTTCTTTGTTATTTATGCAGAGAATAAAGCCCGCGTGTGAAAGAAGGATGCCTATATTGATACTGTTAGAACCCGTGTTTTGTTTTCAGAGCGCCCTCCTTTTAGATGGCGAAAAAATCGCATTATCCCTGGTGTTGGTAATAATGCTCATTCCTCAAGTTTGACCTCTCTTTCCTTGAAACTTACTGTATTACGCCATTCCCATGTCTAAAATCCAGATACAGAGAACCTGAAAAGATTATAATGAGGTCACAGTGCATTAAAAATAAAATTCGCTCTATCAATAATCATATTTTTAAAAATAACTTTATGTAACAATTGCAATCCAGCGTTCCATCGAATTTGCCCAAAATAGCCGCCGCGCTATTTTAGCCCCTTTATAAAGAAAATTCTTCGCCATTTTCAGCAAAGAGAGAGAAAAGTATCAAATAAGTCCGTGATGAGAAAAATATTTGAGATTTTTGCTCTTTCGGCGGTAATTTCGGGAAGAAAACTACCGCGAAAATCGTATACAGACATTGATATCAAATCGACGATAGAAAGTTCGGAGGATCTTCTGAAGATGCTAGAATTCGGCGGTTTCGAGAGCCCCGTGAATTTGAAAAAATCGGGGAATAAAGTTTCCGGATTGATAAGAGATAAGAGGATGAATGAAGTGCAAGTGACGGCGGAGTACAAGTCTGAGTGGGATACCACTAATGTAAGTCCGCTTTTTCTCCTCGAGATTTTCGATAAAAAGACGAAATAATAGCCCATTATTGTCAATTTTCGGAAAAAATCGGCAACTTTGGACCATTTTATCAAGAGTTAATCGACAATTCTTGATTCCTTTTCGTTCAAACTCATCATTTTTCTTCAAACTCTAGAACTGCGGACCCCGACCAGGCGGAATGATCTACCCCCGTCCACCAGAAACGCCTGGAACATACGAAGATCAACTTGAATGCGACATCATCTCCGACAATCTCTACTTACCCGGTTATAATTGCACAACAACATGCAAGGTAACATCAGAATAAATACCCCAATAAACATCTTTGTTTCAGGCTGATCCGAATAAGAAAGTTAATCTGTTCTGCGACTGCTACAATAAAGTGCTGACATTCTCGATCGTCAAGCCGTGCAGATGGGCCTTTGAGGGAGGAGAAAGCTGCCCGGCAATTGATGACGAAGATGATTGGAATTGTGACCCGAGGAAATCAGACTGCGGTGGCATTTATCCGGTAAATATCGTTCTTCGGCATCTTTTTCTATAGAATTTTTGCCAGACTCGGCTTAAAACGGCTCATGTTGCTTTTTTATAACAAGTTGAAATACAGTATCGAAAAATTGTCAGTTGCATCCACAATTGTAGCCACAGTGTTAATAAAACTCAAAATCATAGCCATCGGATAATTACTTATTCTTATAGGACTTTCAATCTAATGAAACAACAACGACTACGTCAACAACCACAACGACGACATCTACTACTACAACTCCGACACCAGCAATCTCCTCTTCCGCAAGACCCGCAGTCCCTCCTTCGAACAAACCCGCGTCAACTCATCATGTCGAAGTCATCATCCCATCCGTCATTGAAAACAAGGAAGAGAACTCAGAAACCGTCTCCTTCGCTAAAGACATCACCATTTCTGAACCTACCGCGGACGAAAAAAGAACGATCATCAATCACTTCCACATCGCTCCATTCTTATCAAACGTACTCAACAACGGCGGTTCCAGTAGCGCCTCTTCTTCTCCTTCTAAAGCTTCCACCACGACTGCATCTGGTCTAGAAAAGATCAAATTCCTCCACGAGAAACTAGCGAAGCTGAAAAAGGTCCGTGATCGCTTATTTCTTCAATTGAAGAGGAGAAATATTGATCCGGAAGTTGAGCAAAAGACGAAAAAAGAGGATGAGCCGGATAATGTCCGGTCCGAGTGAGAAAACCCGAAAAAACTGTCGATTTACTGTATTATATCTTGTCTCATTTAAATACAAAGAAAAAACTAAAATTTTCTTATCGAATTTTATTTTGAATTCTGAAGCTAGTAAAATAGCCATGGTACAGTAGAAAAATACTCGCTTTCTTCCAAAAAGTCGCCATAAATGAAATCTTTGTTGTGATTATTTATTCCTTCTCTGGACGTTTTTTCAAGTGATGGCCGCGAGGTTGTCTTTGGAATATAACATGCGGAAGAAAAATTTAGAAAAAGGATCGCTTTTGCTGAAAAACGCATGTTTTAAAAGGGACTCGGAAAAGAAAGTGATTAAACAGAGCTAAAGACTCATTGATAATTCAATATAAGGGGGAATTGACCACCATTTCCCGTTCTTATTTTCATAGCTTGATTCGAATTCGCCTGTATCGCTTCAGCTACACAAATATTAAAATACCAGAGATTTTCTTTTTGGGAGAAAGATCATTATTTATTTGGTATTTTTGAAGATCGTTAAAAAGGATCAGAAGACTTTCATCTGGTCCAGCAATTAAAATTGACCATAAAAACTGTCAGAGGGATTCTGAGCTGAGCTGATAAATATATTTTACGAAGACTGATCATTTTTCTTCGCGAAACATGGCGCGAATAAAACCGTCCGAGTCGCAAAGGGGAGAAAATCCACCTTCAAGAGCACCCCCAGAGCAAGAAGCAGAGAATGAGTCACAAATGACAGATAAACAAGCAAGGAGAATGGGGACCTTGAATTCGCAGGCGTTGAATTCTGCTCTTGTTGTCGGAAACTTCATTATGCTCAAGTTTGTCGTTTATTTTTTTAATGGGGCTGTTGATGTTATGTTTAGGAATGAAATTGAAAAGCGATACTATTGCAGAAGAACTTGTGAAAGGCTTGACGAAGATACCTGTAGTGAAACGATTCGGCAAACAGGTAACCATGCTTACTTCAATATTTGTTACTTTTAATTCATTTTTCAGGGCGACCGGACTACTACTGCGAGGAATATATAATCATGCTCAAATTGGCCTTGTCAGTGATAAGCATCTTGCTTCAAGTAATGTACGGCTTCTTTGAAATCTCTCTTCTTGTCGAAAAGAAACAGGACGAAGACGCTGGTTTGACTGAAGAAGAGATCGAAGAAAAGGGAAAAAAGAGGTTGAAAACGAGTTTTACTTCTGGAACCGTAGCACTGTTTATTTCCGTGGTGAATTACTTCATCGCTGCTTTTGAATAAACTCGCCATTGGAGCTCAAAAAATACGTTTTTAGCAAGTTAAAAAGAGAATCTGATTTTGCCGAGATTTGTCAAAACAAGGGCGGGGTTCCATAACGATTTAACGATTTTCCGACTTTCAAATCTAATCTCATCATGTTTTCCCGCGATGTAGCAACACACATTTCATCCCCGGAAGACAGGATTTTCTACGGAAAGACATGTTTATTCCAGCACAAAAATTGGCATTCTATCGGCAGGATTCACAGTTGGCTGGGTAAATTCAAGAACGGTTCCGCGCATCATGATTTTTTGACCTTCAAGGGGAGTGTAGACGTTGTAGATTTTTTTGAATCCTTGTGTTTTCACTGAAACTCTGTTTGGTGATTCATTATTACACTTTTTATTTGCAAAAATTCGAAATTTGTGAATCTTTCCTGATCGAACAATCGAGTTCTTCTTCCATCTCTAAAGTAATTTTTTCTTCTTTTGGGCTGACCGGTGGCAAATCTCGATTTTTATTTCTCTAATGGCGGCTTGAGTCACTTGAGGCTCTTTTTGTGCTCTTTGTTTTGCTTGAAATCTATTTTCTCCAAATATTGAATGACAGAAAATGGACACCGCCGAGTCAGGACGAGAAAAGGAGTTCGATCGATCGAGCTTCTTATCGACCAATTTTCTTCAATTTTCTTCTTTGACCTTTTTAATTCATTTTAAAATTGAGCACTAATCAAATTTCTCGCGTAAAAATTCAAAAAGTCGGTGGAACGTTCATTTCCCGAAATTGGATTATTCAGGGGCCGTTTATGCAGGGCTAATCAAATTTTGCGAAAATTTACATGTTCAGCGACGCTCTGATAACAATAATTGAAGAGGCTGCCTCCTCCGGTTTGATTGATGATACCTGTCGGGCTCCGAAGCATTCTGGAAAAGGGGAGCAACCAGCGGGTTATCTCCTAAAGCGATAAAAAATTCTCGCCACTTTGAAGATGCGAAAAACACCAACATGGCGCGACGCGCTGACTGCCTGATAAGAGCGCTCTTTTACGCGCTAGAATTCTGATTACAATATTTTATTAAAATATGGCCTTTTGCGTAAGCTTGAAAATTCGCATTTCGCGTCGTTCATACCGAACAAATGACCGGAACAATGACCATTTGTACCGCTAGGGCGACGCATTTTTGCATAAATACTTGACGTGTACCGGCGCCGCTAGAATTTATTGCGCTGGAAATTTTTGAATAATCTTGTTGATAGAACATGGGCGCTAATTGGATTTCAAGAATTTTGATTTTTAAATTTACTTTTCCTTTTTTATTTTTGTTAATTTTTTAACCCGCTCATGTGAAATTTTTGAAAGTACCAAAAATTTGGTTATTAGAAAAGAGGTTAAAATTATTATTTTTATAATTTTCACTTGGCACGTTTCGATTTTTGAACCAAATTGAAAAGACGCTCACGACCTAAAAACAAACTTTGAGGTCCCCTTTTTGCAAAAACGGAAACAACGAGATCTGCCAATTCAAAGCTCATGGCTATTTTGGATTTCCTCCTGGCTCCGGCGTGTATTAGCGCGGTTCCTCCGAAACGTTCCCAGCCAGCTAGAAAAGGATTTTTTAAACAAACAATAAATTTAGTCGTCTTTTTTTCAGGAAAGAGTATTCAGCCGCATACGGCTTTTTTAAATCTGTGCCAAACCCGCGCGCGGCTTCGTCTTTTTTTCATTTTTTTGTTAAAATAAGGCTTTTTAGGAATTTTTTTAGCATTAAATTTAATAGTTTATCTTCATTTTTGGGCAGCCACGGGAATGTTTAACTTCATGTCTCCCATAAAATGTGGATAAGGAGGTTGTAAGGTGGTGTTTTGGCAGGTTTACTTTTGGCATAATTCGTGGCATTAGCTCGTCCAGTGCCTCGGCTGATTTGTGCGCGCCGCCGAGTCTCGCGCCTCGGTGTCGCGACGGTGGAGGTGCTCAGGACCTGACCAATGCAGCGCGCTGATTGGTCGGATGGTCGCAGTGGCGCCAGCCTGGCGGGACACCGCGGCGCCGTCTCAACACCACCACCACTACACACTACAGCAGCTTTCTGAACTAGGAGCTCTACAGCGGCGCACCTGGCGTAGATTTTTTCGCCTCGCCAGAACACCCGACTCTCTGTCCACACCAAAGGCTTACTTTTCGAACGATCGAGTTTTCACTTCTCAGAAAGAACCGGTGTTTATTTGAAAGAGGGATTAGAAAATGGTCGATAAACGAGTTCCAACTTACAGAAGATATTCTCCTTACAGGAGGCAACAGTACTCGAGCGAAGAGAAAAAGGTAATAATTCGGCACTTTAGGTGGTGATTTTTTGAAACCCAAGTTTCACCGGATAAGATACCCTTATTTTTCAAAGAAAAGGATACTTTTTCTGATAAACAAAGAGTGAGAATCACGATTTTTCTCCAATAGCTATCATGGTGAGACCCTTTATTATGATATCAAATTAAAGATCAACCCTTTTTTGATTTCAAAGGCAGGAAAAATTAAGGGTGGTGCTAGGGTATTTTGATTTCAGAAGAATACTACTTGGTCGGACTTCATCATGCCTATCATCTCAAAGCTCATTTCCTTAAGATTTTCCGCAAACTAAGAAAGTTTTTCTTCTGACATCAAAATCTTGAAAACGTATCCTCGCGGTTTTTTCTTCTGTAAGTGCCGTATTTCAAGAAGTGGCGCCTTTTGAGTTTACCCTCCAAATTGGCTTTGCGGAAGTCCTCTTTCCTCTGCGCGCGGGAACATAATTATATTTTCCCGCTTTGCCGCAGTTTATTCAACAAAATCTAAATAAAATCATCATTTTCTCTCACTAATGGGCCTAAATACGCTTGTGTTCTAAAAATAGAGCGGCGGTGGAATTCGACTTCGCGCGAAAAAATGCCGAGTAGCGTAATGAGGGTAATTATATTGTTGCCAGTGAGTGATAAGGGCGCCAAGTGGGCTCTGATAAGATAAAGTTTCAGAAGATTTTTTTTAACCGAAAGTCCGTTCGAGGAATTTTTCCCTTTTTCTGACCCAAAATTGCCAAAACTCGACCTAAAAAACGAACCTTTTCTTCCTTTTTCTTTGAAATAATCATTTTAGGCGTTCAAAAACCTGCAAAACGCCCTGCCAAAAGAGCTCCTGTCTCCTGTCAGTCCTTACACATGCCCTTCGCCGCCGATTCTAGAGCCCTACCCTCTAGCCATCACTTATCCGATTCTCCCGATCGCTCCGCCTGTGCAAGACAATATGGACGACACCGAAGCTCTTCTTGAAACCCTCAACGCCACGATACTGTACATTTCCTCCCTACAGTCCCTTCTATCGTAGCTCCATCGAAGGAGTTAATCAAGTGGCTGGAAAGTGGCCGCCACTTCGCTTGATATTTCCCCACTTAGCTTATCGCTGTAATCATTCTTTTCGCAATGTAAATAAAATTAATCACCGAATTATTTTCCCTCTTTTTCAGTTTCTCAAATTTGCAAAACAAACAAATCTCTAAAATCTTTAAATCTTTACTATTTTGCAAGTTGACTTGAGAAAACAGATTACTTAGGGGAAAAATGCGAAAGTTGGCAGCGAGTGTAATCCGAAATTTTACGCTCGACCCCAGTGATTAGGCTGCTCCCGCATTTCCCAAAATCCTGGATTTCCCAATTCCTGGATATCCCAAAATCCTGAATTTCTCAAATCGCCAAATCAGGATTCTGCCGATTCTGGATTTTGGGAAATGCAGGATTGGGAAAAGCAGGATTTTGAGAAATGCAGGATTCAGCTGAAATTTCTTCGACTAACACAGTTTTCCTCTATCTGTCAAAACTAAAATAGTTCGCGCTAAAATGCTTCGATTCGAGGGCCTCGAGCGCTGTCTATAATCTGCTCTTTTTGTCTTGGCACATTTTTCTGGACTATATTTTGAGTAGACAGTACCAATTGGTACCCGAACTTTCTCGTCTACGGTCAGGCTTATTTGAAGTACGGTCACATTAAATAATTCTCGCTCTAAGAATCGAAATCTACAAAAAATACTTTACAAGGAAAGTTTTGTGAAATAACAATTTTTTACTCTTTTAAAACTTTACTTTCGAGCTTATCCTCGATAATATCGAGTCGATATAGCTTGATCCGATTTGTTGCACTTGTCGGTGGGCCCGTTGAATCCTATTTACACAGCTTGACACCTTGCCTGTACTTGGCCACTGCGAGTTTTAAGCACCAACAGTTTGGGACCGACCAAACCGACCATGAAAAATGGTGGTCGGTGCCGACCCTAGGTTTGATTTTTAAACCAAGCAAGAAAACTAATTCAAAAGAAAAAAAAATCCTGCATTTCCCAAAATCCAGAATCGGCAGAATCCTGATTTGGCGATTTGAGAAATTCAGGATTTTGGGAAATCCAGGATTTGGGAAATCCAGGATTTTGGGAAATGCGGGAGCAGCCCAGTGATTAGGGTCAAGATTGTTGATTTTTCATGCTTTTTGTTTCGAGCCCAGAATTTTTAAGGAAAAATAAGAATTGAGAAAGATTTATTGACAAGAAATCATTGTTAAAAATTTACATTTTAACTGGTCGCATCATCAATCGTTCATACAGTAATCGAAAGGAACCTCGACAACCATCGGATAGCCATAATTATCTTCAGCCGCGAGCTGCTGAAACAAATACGAGTCGGTTACATTTTCCCCATTCCATCTCACTCTTTCAATTCCCGTCCAAGGATCAATGTCCTTTTTTTCATAATAATAGTCGCCACCAAACCCACGAATGATGAAAATTTCGTCGCCTGCTACGTGAGCAAACGATGAGCTTGCTTTCTTCTGCAGCTGTCCCGCAGATCGCCATTTTCGTTCTATTGCATCGATCGAATGGATTTCCTTCAGTCGGATGTAATCCTCCGTCATGCCACCAAAAACAAGTAAAACATCATCGATTCCTACACAGCTATGATAACAGATTTTGCTTAATTTATTTTTTATTTCGAACTCAACTCAATTCCCTTACAATGGAAAATCATCCTGCTGTTGCCAATTATTGCCGATGAGAATTTCAGTTCTGTTGGTCTTGGCTCGGCAAGCTGTGTAGAACACCTGAGTCAGGGTATTCGAAAAAAACAGAGAGTTTCAAAGAGCTGATTCGCTGCTTCTCCTGAGAGCTTTTTAACCCGTTAACAGCCGCGTGGAGATCTAATCTTCACGGCGCCTTTGAAGCGCTATAAAATGAACGTTACTGATTATTTTTTGAAAATTATTTCATTTTTGAAAAATTTAATCAATTCTCTATCCGCTTGTATAATTTCAAAAAAATTCCACGTGAAATTCTGCTCAGGAGAAGCCAAAGAAAAACTTCAGTCAGCGAAAAAAAGGGAAAGAGTAATGCAACTCGCCCTCATTTTCCCTTCTTTCCCTTTTCATTGGATCTCAGCGCCGAAACTGACGTAACTTTGATCCTGATTTTCAGCCATTAGACGATCAAGAATAGAAACAAAACAACAGTCAGATAAAAGAGCAGACGCTTCTGAATCATGCTGTTTCCTTAGAATTTGCTAAGATGAGCCCTATTTTACGGAAATCGTCAAAACGTCCGTGGAGATTTGATCTCCACGCGCCCGTTAACGTATAAAATCGCGCGCCCAGTTAACGGGTTAAGGACCTTGAGTCAGGTTTTGCACACAGGTTGCCGAGCCAAGCTGTTGGTGTCTATCCAGGGCTTGTCAATTTCTACCATTGACCTTCCACCAACCGCGAAAGGAGCATCCTGCAACAGGCCAAGGCAACCGTAATCATGTTCCATTTTCGAAGAAGGAGCTGTATAAATGTTTTCACCATCGAATTCCTGACACTTTTTGTAATCGTACCCTTCAAAATCGGCGGACCCGAAGCAAAGAAGGACTCTTTCGTCTGCTTTTCCTTTCCCGCGCACGGCTAAGGACCCGTCATTCCAAAATCCGTGAATGAGTTTGACGTTCATCGGGAAAAACTTGCAGTTGGTAAGCCTGAGGATCTACAAACTCATTCGAATCAATGAGATCTTTGAGTTCTACCTTGTTTATGTCAAGCAATCCGCCAAAAATATAAAATATTCCCTTGACGAGCGCACTCATTGACCATATATTTGCTGCCATGACCCCGTCGTGCTCGGTCAAACTAATATCATGTCTCTTCTTGCCATCTATGCTTATAACAGTATAATGAGTGTCATATGCATACCAAGTAGGAAGTTTCATCCATGTCAAACCGACGTAAAGAAGTGCTTTTGAGTCGACTTTCGGTCCAAGAAGAAAATTTTTAAGCTGTGTTTTTCGTCTGTTTTCCGAACTTTTATTCTTCTGTTCCCATTTGAAATATGGCTCGCCTGTAGTTTCGCCAGAGTAATATTGTCATCGACTTTAATTTCAATTTGATGATGCTCGATTATTACTGAAATCGTTATCCACTGGTCAAAAGTGTAATGAGGAATTTCAATTGGATAAAGACCTAATTCGGGGAAGGAAAATCGAAGCATGCCCTTTTTCTTTGAGAATATGAAGAAGAGCCGCTCGTGTTCATTGGACATCGTCAGAATTTGAGCCTCTTCTACGCCTGTTCTCATCTTAAATTTGATTTCATTTGTTTTGTTGAAATCAACAAGGACTGTTGATATGTGCTCGAAGTGCTTGAGTGACTGAAACGGCTCTGCAGCAACAACCGTTTTGTAGTTCCTTTCGAGATAGACATTTTGAAGCGCGCTTGTAAATTTTCTTTGTGAAACGGAGTTCTTGGAGTAGCCGGGTAGAATGTCGTGATGGAAGGCGAAATTCGGGTTGCTGGAGACATGAAATTTATCGTCGACTTCGATTTGATCATAATTGAGCTCGATATTGATGAAGTCAAAATCTATCTCAAACGTCGCTCCAAAGACAAGACTTTGGAGGTAGATTCGATCGTTGAGAAGGAAAGCGTTCTGAAAGTACTCGCACTCATCTTTGTTGTAGCCCCAGTTGTCGGTGTATAAAATGTCGTCGGAAGAAAGGAAAGACGAAAAGCAGATTTCATTCGGACGATATTGTGCGATGTTGCCGATCCATTCGCTACCCAGGTTCATGAAGATGCCATCACTTTTGAGAAGTAAGGAGACCTGCGTGTTAGAGAGTTCAATACTTCTCGTAATCAGGACAATCAGGAACGTTTCTTTTTCTGCTAGCGAAATTATGTCGACTGGATCTAGATCGACAAAGTTGATCGGCAAAGAGATTGAATTCTTCTGCCACCGCACAGATTCGTCTTTGTTGTCATTCTGGGAATTTAGAGAACCCGTTTCGGAAACTCGAATGTCTCTTTCACCGAATCTTAGGCTAAGAATTGAAAATCTATTTGACGAAAAAATTGTCGTTTTCGCATTGATGTGGTTATTCGCGATGAGTCCCTGTGAGATCTCAAAGCGGCCTAGATTGTATTCCGGAGCATAGTAATAGCACTTTTCGATATTTTTCATTGGGGAGCAGATGACCACGACATCGTAGCGTTTTCGATCATTGTATTCTGTTCGAGTTTCAATGAAATGCGTGCCAATCGACGAGCCGTAATGGAAAATAAAATATCCAGTTCTTTCAAAGTTTTGCGCTTCCGTGACGGTGACCAGCTTTGGTTCCTTTTCAGATATTGTCATCATCTTTCCTCGCGCATCGACTAAATAGTGCTTCCCATTCAAAAATGCGGCCCCAGCAGAATGATCGAAAAGGTCCTCCCCGTTCTTGTCTATTTTACGATGTTTTTCCCTCTCAAAATCGAAAAGGTAAACTGGAGAGACTTCTATCTTGAACAAATCGTCGGCTCCAATATATTTTGTTGTTTTTCTATAAATCAGCTCGTCGAAGTTCGTTTTCCAGTCAACGTCGATCGTCTTCGAAAATTTTGTATTCCACACTGGCAAATATCTTTGTCGGTCATCAGGGAGCGTTTCGCACTTGTAGTAGGGACAAGGGCAACCTTTTAAAAATCCTTTCTTGTTTGAAATTGATGTTTATGGTACCTGTAGGGCAGTATTGTTCAAAAGGGCAAACTTCGCCTGCAGAATCAAATGATCTTGTGAGCTGAAAACAGATCATTTCGCAAGGTGATATTGCAACTGATTTTCTTGACTTGAGAACAAGAGTTTCTGAGCATAAATGACGACATTTCTTTGCGTCGTAGAACGTTTTCTTCTTGCAGCGTCGGAGATTCACATCGTTCTCATCTTTTGAAAAGACCAGTTCTTTCTTTTTGGGCCTTTTTGTTGATATTTGCGCTCTGGATGAATGAACTTTCCGGTCCCTCTGCAATCATGGAAGAGAGCAGTGCATATATCGAGATTATCAAACTTGATACACTTTTTGTATTCGACGTTACAGACTGATGTCAAAAACGTAAACTGCATCCGAGAGTTCAACATTGAGACGTAATTAGCTAAGGTTTTGATTAGAGTCTACTACTTTCCTATTTCTCATACCGGAAAGCATAATGGTGACCCAAAATAAACTTCCCATGATCATATACCAGGCAAACTGCTTGTTTGTTGCAAATCCACTAAATAAAGTAATGGCATGATTAAAAATAACATTAATTAACTGCTTTGCGAGGCGAAAATCTTTGTGAATCCATGTTTTCACTTTGTTTCTAAAGGTTGCTGTCTCGTTGTCTGCCTTCCCATCCGAAATCTTGCAAGCTGTTGGCAGAATGGACTGAAATTTTTCCCTCGTATTCTCGTTCTCTGCTGAGTGCAGGGTCGGAAGAACATGTTTTGGGTCCAGAACAACTCCTTCAGCTGTTGTCTTCAAATATCCAATGCATTCGCATTCGAGGCACTTCACTTCATGAAGCTTCGGAAACTTCAAAACTCGAGGTGTTTTCTCTATCTCTTCCATCACATGAATACGACTGAAAGCTTCCGTTTTTGCGTATTTATTGTCCTTTCGGTATTTTTAGAGACAGACATCCTGTTTAAGTAAAGTTCATTCGGAGATAGGTTGAACTTTTCAAAATGGCAAATGTGATAGTGACCCTTCGTTTTAACATTTTTCCGTCAGCTTGCGATTATGACGGACCTTCGAGATCACTTTTGAATATTTTTCTTTCCTTATGTAAGAAAAGAACAACCGCGAATTAGCACGTAATCAAAATGTTCCACTCCGACCATCAAACACAATCGACCGCGATTTATTGACGATGCGCCAAATATTTACTGCCCACGGTGCATTCTCGAAACCTTTCTCGGTGAAAAACGTAATGATGCCTTCCAAAAGTTCAGTCAGCGCATCATAAATTTAATACTCAGACTGGCTTTGACCAGTTTTCACCTACTCCCATTTTCATAAAAGACAAGAGAAAAAGAACCGCGCGTAAAAATTATGAACAATTTTGATCGATAAGACGGTTTTATTTGGCAAGGGAGAATCTCTATCCTTTTTCTTTCGTTATAGGAGGTTCGTTGCGGCTGAAAAGAGAAAGAAAGATGCTGTTTTACCATAAATTTCTGCTTCTTTTTGGCTTGTCAAGAGTAAGAGGCTATAAATTATACGAATTTTGGGAAGATGGGCTCTTCCCGATTTCAACAGGAATGGAGTTTCTTTGAATAATAAGCTCCTTAAAATTGTTGACTTCAAAAATCCAAAAAAAAAAAGTTTCTCCAAACGACCCTTTTCGTCAAATTCCCGTCTCTTTCTACCCAAGACACTTTCTAAACCGCTTTTGAAAAATTATGAAGAAAAAATTATGAAGATTTTTGTATAAAAAGACTTTATTACAGAAACTGTTACAGAAACAAGACCAAATAAAACGTATTGAAATGCAGTGTTCATTCATGAGTGTGTTTCATCTTACAAGCTGGCCTCCAAGCTGGTCAGTTTTCCCTGCTCGATGAGTTTCTCGGTTCGCTGTTTTTTGTTCTTGGTCGAGTTTTTAAGAGGGAAAGCGCATGCTTTTCGGGATTTGTGGATGGTCTTTCGGTCGTATTTTGCTCTGCATTCTTCTGGGCTCAGAGTCTGAAATAGGTTAAAAATTAAACCGAAATCCTTTTTGTTCTTACCTCTCCATTCTCAGAAGTGTAGCCGTTTTGGCAAGCATTCGTCAAATATGGAAGATGCTGATCTTCAACCATTTGATTGCACAAATATTCCATGAAGATGAGCGTATTTCGAGCATTCGGGCCTTCGTTAATATTCCACGAGTCCGTAAGAGTCGTTCGAGAAGCGGCTTCAAGATCATCTTCTTCGATCAAGTCGATTCCCCATTTTTCGAGAAGGACTCTTCGGGCGTTGTTGACTCGAGTCAGCCAACCTGAAAAATATTCGAAAAAGAAAAATTAAGGGATTTTCTTACGTTGGCAGACGAGGACTTTTGCAAGCTCTCGGTCAATAATCGGGTGTTCCCATTCTTCGTAGCCTCCAGTTCGGGTCAAACAGTTGACTCCGGAATGATCATCGTTGAAGGAAAGCTCTTGAGTGTCAAGATTCAACAAAGCTGGGGACGAGGCTCCGAGTCGTCGAACAAATCTTTATTTTGGTCATTTTCGAAATCCTATTAATAAAATTCTAAAAAATAAAAGAAAAAAATCGATAGAAATTTTTGGTTAAAAATGACCATTTCCTTTGTCGTTGTCCTTTAGGAGTTTTTCTCTTCTTGGTATTTTCACCAGAAACGGTGGCAGCGGCAAATAAAAGTGCAAAAATTTTCATTTTCAATTTGAATTTGATTATTTCAAAATGCTTTTTTAGCTTTTATTTTTGTTTTGTTTTGGAAAATATTTTCCCTGGCTTACTGACTTATCAAAGGTTATTATATAGTGGCGGAGCGTGGAAAAATGATGCGAGGGAGGGATTACTGAGTTAGCGCATCAGGCTCAGCAGCGAAGATTTTGTTCATCCAACCGAGCGGGTGTTTCTCGGACACATTTCTTTTTTAAGACTTCACCGGCTGCGAAAATAGCGAACTTGGTCTTGAATTTCGCAATGTTCGTTGAAATTAACCCCAAGACCACGCTTCGACAACGCCGAATCAAAGACAAATTTCAATATGGGCTTTGATCTGTAGAGAAGAGCTATCCTTCCAGCCTAGTAAAGCCTTGATTAGGTTTACTGATAGGGCTGTAGTGGGGTTCTCGGTCGGGCGCCGAAATAAGGAGCGCCGAAATAATGAGCTAAATGACTGTCCTTTACTAGCCCTTATCTCGGTTAGTCTTAGGAGACTGGAGATCCAGGGGCGAAGCCCTCTGAGTAAGTCCTAAGGGGGGGATCCCGGGTGGGGGGGCGTTGCCCCCTAGATTAGGCTTAGGTTTAGGGGCTACCTGACTTTTCACCCCCTTCTACTCAAAAAGGAACGATTTGAATGGTAACCATCATATTGATTTTTGAGAATTTCGGAAAATATCTGTATCTTATGCAGTTTATTACCACAATTTCAATTTTGCCATTTTTCAATGCAAGTAATATATTACAAGCCAACTGTAGATGAAGGCCCGAATATTCGAGACTCAATTTGTTATCAGGAAAATCGACACATAAAGGGCTGAGAGCCGGAGGTATGCTTTCTTGGCAGGTTTAAAATTTCACACAATAGAAGCTTAAGTGGTCAAGCTTCGAGTAAAACCCCGATGGATTTTGTTGACGGCAGTCTTTTACAGCGTGTTTGTAAGCTTTTTAGAAATCCTTTTGCATCCGTCTGTTAACTCATATTCGAAGTGACCGAACACTTTACCGTTTATGTCCTAAATAAACAAGTTTGTGTCTGTCTCACGAGATAACTTCAATCAAAACCCAAATGTTACGGTACTCTTCATGGCATCTTTTAATGTCATTTCGCTCCATATTGTTTGATCATCATCATCTTTATATAAAGTCACGTGACCTTTTCTCTACCCTCTTTGGCGATGGAAAAACTATACCACTTTTTCTGGTGCATCGGTTTTTTCTACACAGCGACTCAAATCCACAACTCGGTCACTGAATACAACAAGTTCAAGTCCGCAATTGTTCAGAGAAGCGCTACTCTCGACGATGATAATTTCTTTCCTTTCATCCTCATCTGCGCCGACTGGCTTCATTCTCGCGATAAATTGGAGATCTTCTATCCGAATATTACGCAAAACGACATTGAGTACCTTTACGGCCTTGGGCTTTCGACTGATGCTGAACAAGCTTGGCTGTATAAATATCTTCGGCCGGAAAAGTTGAAAAAGCTTCGTGATGATATTCCAGATCATATGAGAGAGCTGAACAAAGTGAATTTGACAAGATTTACGTACAAAACTTTTCCAAGTTATTTTCTGTTCAATTGTCAGGAAAGGCTTCTTATTGGCTGAAAGGCAAAATGGAGGCTTCTGATTTGCTGAAAAGGCCAATTATTAAAATTTTAAAATGACATATTAGTGAATAATTTTGATAAATAATGCTTCCATTTTCGCTTTTTTTCTGAATACAAGCCATACTGTAAGGTGAACTCAGTAAAATGCGATGATTCGTGGCAGCTGAAAACAACCCAATTCGGCGTTTGCTTAGAAATAGACGCTTCGAAATTCGATATCATAGAAGAAAAAGTTATGAACGGGGCGGACGCAAAAATGAACAAGCTGGCACTTATGGTATAAGTGTTTTTGTCTACAATTACCGACATTAGTTAACAATGCTTTAGAAAAAGTCGCTCGGACTTATGAATAGTAAGACGGGGCAAAACGACACGGAGAGGACGGGAATGATGGAACTGGAGTCGCTGTTTGTTAAGTCTAATAAGCGAACTTTGGAGGTAAGAGGGTTAAAGTTTGGGGTCCTTATCAGGGCGGTCTAATTTGCATTCTTGTAAATAGTCTTTTTTCCGAAGACTATTCATTTATTCTTATAAGATTAATCTCGACGCGAGATTAGTCTGTTTGAATAAAAGATTAATTCGGGAAATTTTCGAAATAGTTCCGAGATTATTTCAAATAATCTTGAAACGCGCGCTGTGATTGGTGGACCAATGGCCGACGGCGCGACAGAAAAATGAAACTCAAACATGCTTGGAGCGCAGCTTGAAATTTTGTCCGCGCCGCCTCGCACTGCTCACAGCTCGCCAGCGCCACCCAAATTTTTCCCCCGAGCCACGCGACCCTCGCTAAAAAGATTAATCTGGAAAGTTTCCAGTGGAAACTAGTCCAGTCTTGACTAATCTCAGAATCTTTTTCCAAAGAAGATTAATCTCGCAAATTTTCGAGATTATTTACAAGAATGCAAATTAGACCGCCCTGGTCCTTATAGTTTAGTTTGCGATTGGATTGAATCGTTCTGACATCACATACGGCTGGAATGGTTTCCACAATACGTATACCATCTTTTACAAGTCTTCAAACGAGGATTACTACGAGCAGGAGCATAGCTTTTCCGTCATTCCTCAGGTTTTCATCGGACTATCAAACATGCATCCAATCAAATTTATTCGAAGATGATGCCGACAGTCAAGCTACAAAAAGTAACAAAATCTTTGATGGGAGTTCCCTTTACAAAGTGCGTGGCAGAAGAATCATACAGTCAGCAACAGTGCTACAATGAACATTTGATTATTCTAATCAAGAGTGTCTGCGAATGCGTCCCGTTCAATATGCCATTTCAGGGGATTGATTACGCGGTAAGTCATTTACAACGAATCAAAATAGAAAAAGAGTTTCAGACAATGCGGGCTAACGGGACGAAAGATTGCGATTTTTTCACTCATGCGACTTGTGTGACGACTTTGAGGAGTCGCTGGAGTATTTCATCGTTCTTTTTTCTTTTCGCTAAAATTTCCTCAGATCCAAAAGCAGCGAAGTGCCTCCCTGCCTGTTTGCATGTGAAAGTACACCGAGCAGATATTGACGTAAGCAAGTCTCTTTTCGTGAAACTTTTCTTATCGCATATTTAGTACAGCCTTATCAGCTCGAAGTTCACTGACTATCTTCTAAAAACAAAGCGTTCAAGCGTCGATCATTTGAAAGAATACGAAATTCTAGCGACTTCTATCACCATCGCCGAGACACCTCATACTGTCTTCAGGTTTGATTTAACTTTTTTTTTTCGGAGAAAACAGTGTTTAATAATAGTGAACAACCAGAAATGACATTCAACTCATTATTGGCTGATATTGGCGGTGCTCTAGGACTGTGGCTAGGATTGAACGTATGCGAAGTCCTTCTCTTCCTATCAAAATCTTACAAATACCTCGCAAAAGCGTCAACGAAATTTAAAAAACGAGCGAAGAAAATACTTCATAAAACCTACCCTGCTTGTAAAATATTCTTTGAACCGACAAAAGACGCTTCTGTATCATGCAATATTGATAACTTGCCCCGCTTGACTGAGAAAGATTTTCTTCTTTTCAAATAAATATGTTTTTTTTTCATGAATTATTTATTAAGGGGATCACAGGGTTATTACCAGGTCTGGTTCGAAACTTGTTCTTGCTGGGTTGAATTCTGAGCAACCTGGTTGGAGACTTGCTCTTGTTGGTTGGACTGTTGTGGTTGCTGGTTTGAAACTTGGGGAATTTGGTCGGAAACCTGTTCCTCTTGGGTGGCGTTCTGAGCAACCTGGTTCGAGATCTGCTCACTTTGGTTCGAAACCTGTGGTTGCTGGTTGGATGATTGAGGAATCTGGTTCGAAACTTGAGGAATTTGATCGGAGACCTGCTCTTCTTGGGTCGAGTTCTGAGCAACCTGGTTCGAAACCTGCTCACTTTGGTTGGAAGTCTGGGGGACCTGGTTCGAAGTTTGGGGAACTTGATCCGAAACTTGCTCAGTTTGAGTTCCGTTCTGCGGGATGGCAGCGGCGAAGGCAAGGAAAAAGTTGAAAAGCTTCATTTTTCGGGTTTTTGTCTATATCTATATCAGATATTGATGAAATTCGAATCCGAAGTGCGCTTTTATAGCGCCGCTGATCGTGAAATTTGGCGCGAAAGAGCTCGAGTGGGCCAGATTTTCTAAGTGGGATAAGCGCATGTCGAGTAGAAAATCGTGTTAGAGGTTTCAGCACTTTGATTTATGAAAATTTTGCAGAAAAAATTTGACATTTTATAATTCAAATATTCAAAAATTCGAAATTTTGTCTTTATCAATATTCTTAAAAGATTACCTCAAGTTCAGCCTTGAGCCAGCAGGAGCTTATCGCTTTGATAGTTAAAAAGTTGTGTGCCAAGGCAAGGTTTTCTTTTATAAAAATGGTTCTAGTGCAAGATATTGAATCCACCCTTTTAGGTGGAAAAGAGATCAATGATATTCTAGAAGCTACTGTTTCTACGCTTTCTGCTGACAGGTGAATAAGGTTTCTCAAACGCCTGTTATCAAATTGTTAAGAATTCTAGCGCAAATTGGCGTTGGTCTCCCGATTCTTCTCCTAGCAGCAGCGATTGTTATTGACCCCAGTTTGAACAAGCTCTCTTCTATTGAATGCGCTCCATATGGTAACGAAGGGTACACAGATGGATTATACAATCAAAACTACTGTTGGGAGCGGCTTCAAAATCTCGGCTCGACAAATCAAACTTCTGATGGGCATTTCCAGCACCATAAGCTCTTTCCCTACCTGTTTTTCGGTCTCGCCTTTATCGTTTTTATCCCTCATTGTCTCTTCACGTTGGTTTATCAGGAGAAGATCAGGACGCATTGTGTATTTATGATGTCGGCACTAGAAGAAGGGATTTTCGAAATGTTCTCGGTAAGATTAAAAAATAGACTCGGCATTATGCAAATTTGAGGCGATAAAAACGCTTCTAAACACAGATGGCGATCAAAATGAGCTGAAGGTGACAAGAACACGAATACGGGACGTGTTTGAATCGTCAGCGAAATCATGGGAGCTTGACAAGTTCGAGATGTTTGAAAAATACGTCAAGGTGGAGCGAGATTCGATCGTGCTCACCACGGGCTTGGCGGTGAGACGGCTCTTGACTTTGGCAGCACTTGCACTTGATGGCGTCATTTTGTACTTTTTGACGATGCAATATCATAGGAACAGGGATGAAATTGAATCAGCGAAAATAGTAAGACACTTAGTTTTGTGGCTTTGTGACTCCACCCTTTTTTCTTTTTTGAATTTCCTTCAAAAGTGATCAAGTTTACTGCCCGATCATCAATAACATCGAGAATGAAGAAAGTGGTCATTTTTGCACCATTTCCGGTTAATAAAAAGCTTCAAAACCATTCCTTCTTGCCATTTAGATATTGCCACGAGACTGTTTATCTGTCGAATATATATCAGCGGTATTTTCATTTCACTCGTCGCAGGCACCTGGAGTTTTCTCAACGACATGGCAGAAATAAACAGGGCGAAAGAAGTTCTTGAGCTCTGCCCACTTATTGATGAAAATATTTTTCCAAAGGACATGCTTTCAAATGATATTTTTGGAATCAACGATTTGAATGTTTTGTTGCTTCTGGTTCGGGAAAATTTTGCTGACACCAAGGTACAGCTAATATCGCGCTCGCTTGAATAATGTTATAGGCGATGAAATTCTGCTTGGATGCGAAAAAACTTGCCGACGAGACCAAAGCTGATTACCTTGATGTTCTTGTAGCGAAGATTGCATGGAAACTAAACGACTCTCTTGATGAAGCATATAAAGAAACAAATATTACTGGCGAATGAACTTTCGAAAATAAATGCCAAGCCATTAGAACTGCATCAAAAAATTACAAAACGCCATCTTTCGAAGAGAATGATTTTTAAATTATTTTTTTCATACTTGAAAATTCACTTTTTGCCAATGCAGAAAGCCAAAAATCCTTGAGCTTCAAAGACGATTGCCCGTGAGACTCTTTCGATTGTATAAATTAAAAAGATAAAAACTAGAGATAAAGACCTGCAGCAAGAGTGCAATGCAACATGTCGTCTTGAATATAACAGGTGCCAATTGCTTTGTGAGACAGATTACTGTCTGTCTTTTTGCGTCACACAGTACGAAAGTAAGCCTCTAAGACGATGAACAAGATTAAAAAATTAAAAGCCTGTTTGAATGATTGCCCGTGCGGTAAGAACTGCATCGTTGGCTGCACTGACTGCGATCATCCACTCTGTACTACACCAGTAAGATCTTCATTCATGAATCATGATGATTTATAATCTTTGAATAGAAGAACGTGTTCTTCTTGGTTATTGTTGGTGAGGCCGTAGATGAGTCTTATGTTATTTCTGGAGACGGATCCACATTTGTTCCAGCGAAAATCAACGCTCCGATTCCAGACGATACAAATTGGAAGGCATATACTATCGAGTCAGTTTTTGCGATTGTCAAAGATGAAGTATACGTGTTTGGCGGCGCATATGAAAGGGGCACCGAGAAAAGGGTAAATTTTTCTTGAAACTCAAAATTGTATTTAAACTCAAACTGTAGATTGTCAAATTAATTGATTGCAACCTTGTTGAACTCTCGATTCGATTGAATGGGGAATACTTTGCTTCCGCGGCAGCAATTGCTATAGATGATGGAAATGCGGGTAGATTTTCGCATATGCTGCACATAAATAGAATAAATATATTCAAGCCTTGACTTGCACTGGTTGGCAAGGAATATGCGAGACTTTTGACACTGAAAAAGTCACATTGACCCATTTTCAAAAATTTTCACACGCTTACGGTATGCTTGCATTCTATGAAGGACAACCGACGACTGTTGGGAGCTTTCTCGAGGATGGAGCGCAGACAGTTGAAACTTACTCTTCTACTTCTGGCTGGAGTTCTCTGACAAGCCATCCAAAGTAAAAACTCTTTTAAAGTTTCTGTTATGATTTTCCTCCAAGAAAAACGTTCGAGCATATGCTTGTGGGACTAGAAGATCAATCTATGGCATTAATTGGCGGATATGAATCATATGATGAAATTGATGAAAAATGTTTACGAGATATTTGGATATTGAAAAATAATATTTGGAGCCTCAAAGGCTTCCTTCAGCAGGTACAATCACTTTCACCGCTCATCTTCTCCCTTTGAATAATATATCACAGGAAAATTGTACAGGCTCTGCGGTGAGGATTGGCTCTTATGTCTACGTTTTCTCTGGCTCAGTGAAAGATTTCAAGGATGAGTACCCAATCGAGCGAATCCATTTAAATTCTGATGAAATAATCGGAACTGAAATAATTGGTTATCATGGTGATCGCTACGACATACCAATACTCTATCAAATATCATCTGATTTCTGTGTGTAAACAAAGCTTATCAATAAATGCATTCAGGATACTGAATTTGAAAATACAGTGAAACCCCAACTTAAGGGTAATGGTATACATCGGCGCGGCGCTGCTCGCTCGATCCGCGCTCCGCCAGAACCTTTTTCTCACGGAGCCGTAAAATCTGAACGGCTAATGATTTTTTCAAAATTCAAAAAGATTCTGAATAATCAAAGTCTTTTTTACTAACACAGCAAAATTAGTAATGATTGTCAAAGAGGAACTATCTGAAAATAGCCAGTTTCCTTCAAATGACATTTTCTTCGATATTTCTCATCCGAAATTTTTGAAAATTACACTGTCTGGTAGAGAATCGTCAGTTCTACAAGTCCTGTTTTTCAGATTTTTGTTTTAAGATCTTCGGATTTTAATATGCGCCCTTGAAGTCAGCGCTGTGAGGTCGTTGCGTGAGAAATAGAGAGCGGAGAGGCGCGAGAAGAAGTAGCCCTCTTTACAAATTGCGATGTAAAATTAATAAAAGCTTCAAACAAAAATCTGAAAAACAGGATTTGTAGAGCTGACGATTCTCTACAAGACAGTCTAATTTCCAAAAAATTAGGATGAGAAATATCGAAGAAAATGTCATTTGAAGGAAACTGGCAATTTTCAGATAGTTCCTCTTTGACAATCATTACCAATTTTGCTGTGTTAGTAGAAAAGACTTTAATTATTTTGAATCTTTTTGAATTTTGAAAAAATCTTCATCCTTTCAGATTTTACGGCTCCATGAGGAATAGGTTCTGGCGGAGCGCGGATCGAGAGAGCAGCGCCGCGCCGATGTATACCATTACCCTTAAGGCCACTTTTTGGATGACAGCTAATTTGAAAAGTGGCCTTAAGTTGGGTGATTCTCCAACTAAGTTGGATGACGCTAAAATTTTCTATTTCTGGAGCAAGGGACTGAATCTGGCCTCGGAATCCTGTACACAGGAACATTTTAATTTTTGGCCCATCTTCGAAACAGGAAACAGGACAGGATAAAAAACACAGGAACAGATCCTGTTTTACGGGTTTCACAGGCTTTGGCAAAGCCGCTTTGCAGGCCTGTAAACTCAAATTTCACGGTTTTAATTTTTCCTTGATGAATCAAAATTTAGAATATTTTTCTCGTTATTATCATGCCAACAGACAGTTTCAATTATAAAAGTTTCTTTATAACATATTTGAAAGAAATTCCAAGAAGTTTTTTACAAAAAATATCTTATCTTCCCCATTTCTCGCCTGTTTTCCTGCGATTTACTTACTGTGAATAAAAATGGAAAAAAGTGGCCTTAAGTTGGATTTTTTTCGGTTGACATATTTTTGGGTTTTTTCAAAAAAGTGGCCTTAAGTTGCTTGGCCTTAAGTTGGGGTTTCACTGTACAATGAAAACTTAGAAAAACCGCAAAGTAAATAAAACTTCAACGGTGGTTACACCCTGTTTGGCAAATAGATAGTTTGACCGCAACAACTGTCAAATTTCATTGAGTTTTTGAAGAGGATTTATTCAAGAGCTTTAAAAAATGAAACTTGACGTCAAGGTATAATTTTAACCAGCAGAATTCGATCAATCTTTTCATTTGCAGGACCTTATTGCTGCACCATGGACTCCCATGAACGCGGATCAGTCTGTTAACTACGGAGCTATTACAGACTATGGAAAGGTCCTGCTCAAGCAGGGCGTGAAAAATGTTTACATCAACGGAACAACTGGAGAAGGAATGAGCTTGAGTGTCGAAGAAAGACAAAAATGCGCCGAAGAATGGATGAAAACTGGAATGGATGTTGTCATGACTCATGTCGGCGCAAATTCTATTGCTGATGTCAAAGCACTAGGTATTAATAAAGAAAGACTTCCTGGAATAGAAAATTCTAGCTTCGCATTCTGAAAAAATTGGCTGTCACGCAATCGCCTCCCTCCCGCCAATCTTCTACAAGCCCGAAAATCTCGACGGCCTTGTTGGGTACTTCGCCGAGATCTCGAGCGCTGCTCCTAACACCCCGCTATTGTATTACCATTTTGTGGCCAAGAGTGGCATCAATTTCGACGTCATCGAGCTCCTCGAAAAAATGAAGAAACGTGTGCCAACTTTCGCGGGAATCAAATTCACCGACAATAACCTTGGTCAAGTTGCCCTTGCCATCGATAAATTCGGAGAAGAAATGGTCGTAGGAATGGGTCTTTTTATTGTTGTTCATCTTTTATCTGTTTATGGTAGAACATTCGAATGGAGTCAATAAAGACCTGATAAGGTTACGGAAAAGATGAGCAATTATCAGCCGCGTACATGTTTGGTGTTAAACACTCCGTCGGAAGTACCTACAGTTATTCAGGTAAGAACAACCTTTCCATCGATTCTCACATTTCGGAAGGAATCATGTGGAATTCCGTCATCAATGCTGCCCGGAGAGGAGATCTTGCTCATGCAAACAAATGCCAGCGGATGCAGAACAAAATGCTCCATACAATTTTCTCCAAGGGATTCAACGATGGAGTGCACAAACGATTGCTCAAGTACATTTGGGGATTCGATCTTGGGCCAGTCAGATGCCCGATTTCAGAACCATCTGACGAGCACTGGAGAGAAATCGAAAAACGGCTTGATGCGATGAATTATCGAGACTTTGCGCAAGGAAAATTCTAGCAGCAAAATGAATGGGTTATATAATATAACTTATATTAAGCTTTTCGATTCTTTTCAATAAAGCTTGAAATCCGCATTTATCGTCTTTGATATCATCTTTTGACTCATTGAACATAAAATGATGTAACATCATCCAACTTACATTGATAAAACCCCAGCTGCTTGTTAACTCTGATTCTTCTCCATTTCTCTCAGTGAGGAGATCATTCACAAGACGAGATATCCTTCTGAAAGATGAAGCTTTTCTCCTTTTTCGCCTTTTCCGCGAGTTTTGTGGAAGCAGAGAGATGCCCAGAAGAGCAGTGGATGGAGGATCAAGCGATTGCATGCTCAAATGGAGCTGAAAGTGGATCCCTTTGCTTGCGATTTTGCAATGGAAGGATGGAAAGATCAAAAGTCATCCAGTGCAGATGCTATGGCGAGAACAACTGCTCCTGGCAAGGGCCAAAGCCGGATTGTTTCAAAGTCGACCAGCCGGCCAATCTATTCCTCCCAAAGAAGACGACAACAAAGACAACCACGACCACATCCAGTACGACATCGACTTCAACCACAACTTCAACGACTCCTCCAAGGAAAACAACGAGGAGAACCACTCCTCAGCCTACTACTTTATTCGAATTTTCGACAGCAACAACAGCTCTCCTTTCAAAAGGTAAAGTTCATATTGTCACTGAAATTTTTAACTTGGCAAACTCCATTGATTCTTGTTTTTAGAGCAACGAAAAGCTCTGAAAAAAGCACGAAAAGCTGCTGAGCGAAAAAAGGCCCGACAAGAAGCAAAGAAATTCAATCATTTCTCTACTGTAATCGCTTCAGCCCCAACAGTACCAACTGTTCCATTTTTTGATCCCGAAGCAGCGCCAATTCAGCAAGGATTTGTGAATCCACTTGCTAGACAGAACCGAATGAATCCAAGTCTTCTCGCTCCACCAAGGCCCGAATATGATGAAGAAACAACCACATCAAAGCAAACGACGGAAGAAGCGACTACAGAAGAAACAACAGCGACCGAAGTAACATCTCATCAAATGGATCGCCATGGTAAAAAACACGATTAGGAAAATTTAAAACATGCTAAATTTTTGTAGCAAAGCAACTTGCCAACAAAGAAAAACGCATCCGGCAGCGCTTTCACGAGCAACTTTTGGCAAAAAGAAGAAATTCGAGATTCAAAAAATCGCCGAAGCAAACTTCCGACAAGATTCTTACGGCTTCCAAGACTATGAGGCAGAAGAAGAGCCAGTTATGTTCCTCGAGAGCGAAACGCTAGAAAGTTTTCTCGGTAAGAAATTTTTCTTTCAAAGACCATAATAGAAAACGGAACACGATGAGCTGGGGATTCTGTGAGGTCTCTATGGTCAGTTCATGATTAAACTTATTCTCGATTTGCATGTCAGTCTGATTTGAAATGACGAGATCTGCTTTTATGAATCTAAATGCGTCATAGACGACGTGAATCTCACACAACTGACTACAGTTGTGTCATATATGAAAAAACATGAAAATTTAGCTGATACCGAGCGGGTACTCAACATGACCCAAACCACTCGAGATGCATGTCCCTTACAAACCAACTCCATGGTCGAGTGTTCTTACGATAATGCCGATGGCTCAATTTGCGTGAGAAAGGATTGCAAGAACAGCTCAGTCAGCTCTTGCAATTGCATCAATGGTTATTGCAGCTGGAGCGTCGGGGAACCTAGTATGATAAAGCTGCGAAAATAAAGGACTGATTTGATTTTTAGTATGCCAGTCTTGGGGAAGCGGGTGTTTTAATGGAAGCTGCGAAAGTTGCGATAAAGAAGATTGGTTGACGGATGAAAATTTTATCTGGTAAAGAACTCATTTTACCTGTTTTATTAAATTTACTTTACAGCTCACACCTCAACTTTCACGGAAGCAAGTGTTATCGATCGGACTGCAGTTCAACAACGTAAGTTAACCATGTATTTCTATGATCCTATCAATTTGATATGTAGTGGCTTTACCACGATTGCCGAGTGCGAGTGCGAGGGCAACTTCTGCGAATGGACCAAAAACCTTCCTGCAAAAACTTTTCGCGCTTTAATAAACTCTCGTTTTATTCTCTAAAATTTATCGGTAAATTTTCGGATTGAGCATCGCATTGATTCCATGATAAAAATGCGAGTCGAAGATGTCGCTTCCTTCAGAGTTTCCATGATGACCATCTTCAATAGCATCGATAGAAATATGACCAAGACCTCCTGAAATTTTGAATTTCTTGTTCTTATTTTCTCTCACCTAGATTTATGAAGCTGAAAACAGTGTAAAAAAGAAACAGGCAAACCATGTTCAAAAAAAGAATCTCTAAAAAGAATCGACTTGTTCTTCTGAAATCTAAAGTGCCTTTCTACAAATGGAACGTCAGCATGACACAAATCCATTAGTTGAACAGCAGGTTGGGAATCCTGTTATGTATTGAACAAGAGATAAACATGACTTTATGGTTTGAACGACGAGGGTAAAAACTTTTCATTGAAAACGCCGGGTTATTAGAAAGCGAAGAGAAAACTCGGTTGACTGACAATGTTTGCCCTTTTCGACGTTTTGATGCATCAGCCCGTCAAGTTCAACAAATCTCATTCGGAATGAGTCATTCCTTTTCCTAAAGGTGAAGTATCACGTGTCCACCTTGAAAGAAATGATGCGCATAACTTGTATATTTTCAATAGAAAATACTCGCGGTCGGAATTTCTGATCTCGGCTCAGACCAAGCCCTGCAAGTTTTTCGTCATCATCTTGAAATTCCTAGTCTCTCTTTTCACGAAAAAAGATACGTTTTTGAAACACGTAAAAATTACGGTTATGAGATCCCGTTTTCTCAAAAATTCGATTGCGGTTTCAAAAACGACTCTAACTTTATTCGATAACATTTTTTTGAAAATCATCTCCGCCGCTGTATTTTTATACGTTGATCGTTTCCTAGTTTATTCACCTCAAGAAGCAACATCGAGGTTTTTTAAGTTTCATGACCTAAGCGGGCCCGTCCTTGACCGCCGAGCTAAATTTTTGTGGAGAGGGGGCGTCGTGGCAAGCCTAATCCCTTTTTAATCGACTTCGTGTCTAAAGGAAGCTTTTTATTCAATCTGGACACAAAAAAACTTTTTGAAAGCCGCAAAAGGGAATTATATATGTATCGAAAAAGCAGAAGCTGGCGATTCGAATGATAAATGTTTCAATGCCGTGAGAGTTGGGAATATTTTTTAAATAATTTTTAAAGTTTAAAAAAAAACGTTAATACTACGGGAATTCGACTTTTATCGAATTCGTATTCCCTAGTTAACTGAATGTTCCTCGGCCAGAATATTGCCACTTGAGGTCAATTTTGGTCACTTTGTGCCGGAGGACCTCCAGGAGGACCCCTTTGCTGGAATAAAAGCTGCTGGAAGACCTTATATTTTCTAAAGGTTTCAAAAATACCTTGTTGAGACTTGCTTATGACACACAAGCTAATGAATCATTGAGTTCGTAGAGGTGATATTTTTGGAACCAGCTGGTCACTCTGGTGGTTTGTCGCGGTTCCTGCCTTTGGAAGGGTCGAGATTCGGCAATATCTTCAAATTCATGTCAAAATGCATATTTTGATAGCAATGCGTTCCAACAGATTTTCGAACCAAACCATTTGGCTGACCGCCCGGTCTATAGCGGTATGGGACGGATAATACTTACCATACGTAAATAATTTTTTGTCTTTTTAATGCCATTGTTAAGCTGCACAAACTGACCGATTCCTCGAAGAAGAAAAACAAAAAGTACACTTTGAAGAAAACCTTCTATTTTATAAAATATACATAAGAAATGTGAATAAAAACAAACAGAAAAAAATCTTAAAATTGTAACATTTGCGGCATAGTTTGTTTTTTCGCAGAAACTTAGATTAGACAGTAATTTGAGAAGTACCAATTTGAAGCATCGAAGATAACGCAACTCTTAATATAAAGCCGTCCGCTATAAAATAATTATTTTGTGGATTCAGCCGTTAAATGAAAAGGTTCTTAACATGGTTTCATCGATTTATACGAACAAATTCGAAATGAAAGAGATTTATAAATACTCAGTCTTTTTAATCATCGTTTTTCTTACTCCTCTTTTGCTAACGATCGTTCCTCTCTCGATAAAACACTCTATCAAGGCGAAAAATGACAGGCTTATTGGAAGTATTCCCATGATGTTTTATAAAAAACAGAAAAATGGATTGAAAAAGCAATACAGCGCAAATGTTATCTATTCAGAAGGTATCAAGATCAAAAGCATTAACGAAAAAAAAAAATCACGAAAAAAATTTTTAGGGAGATTGACATTTCAGGAAGCTCAAGAATTCTGCGCGAGTCGTGGCCTTGAACTTGCATCAGATCAACTAGAACCGGAGAAAATAGGAAATCTTCTTCGAAATAGGGGGAGGCTGGATTAATTCAAAAGCTGGGATCGGGGTTTACCCTCCCCAAGTGGGTAGATTTTTGGCTGGGAAGAGAAGGGACAAACTATCCTATTTTTCTCTTTTCATCTCAGAGCAGTTCAAAGTTCTCTACTCACCTTATTCCTGTGGGTAGATTCCGACCCCAGCTCAAAAGTCAATTTCACATCGGGAGTCCTCAAAATATCGAGCATCTATCAAACAAAGGCACTAGAATTAATCGAGAATTTCCATTCTCGTCGAATCGTACTCGAAAAAATCTACGTCAATAAGACTTCAACAAGTTTTTGTGCGTATATAGATTCTTTGTATCCGCCAGAAAACAACTTCAAGGTGCTTTTATAGGTATCCCCTTGTATAAATCAGTTTAGTTTATCTGCGAAGATGATATTTATGAAGATGGTATTTATGATGAGAATGGCAGAGCAAAAATATTTGGCAGGTGCAGCATTGACTGCAAGTTGCTTCACCTCAATTCGACCTTCATAGAAAAAAGCAAATTATTTGAACAATCTTTGAACAACAAAGAGGGAGAAACGTTCACCTTTATTGGGCGAAAATCCTGTGAAAAATCCGAGATGTATGACTTGGAAAGCGGGTTTACTGTCAATAACTACACACCAGAAGCGACCGGGATTCCATGGTGCTATTGGCAACAAAAAGTAATCATTTCTCTCCGGTCAAAAATTTATTTTTAGGCTCTTACGCATTTACTCTGACTAGAAATGCTGGAATCACGCTGGAGCGAGAGCTTGGGTATGTTTTTTAGAAAATATTCACCAAGAAATAGTATGATTTAGGACACAGGCGATATGTGTGGAGAAGAAATTTGTTGATCTTCAAGCTTTAACATTTGATCCATTTACAATTCCATATTAGTTAACTTCTGCAAAGAATAGCTCAGAAATCATCTGATGACTGACCAGACTAAGAAGAAAGCGCTTTGCAAGCCCCAATTAAAGCCATTGACCATGTTTCTAGCACCTATAAACCAGAAATAGTTCTTTGAGATCCTTTTAAAAAGGTGAAATTTTCCATATTAGATTAAAATTTTTCCATAAAATTTTTATTGAGGATAAAAGCCAAGTGTCTGTTTCATATAAACCCCAATTATTAAGATTGCGGCTTATAGATTTTTTGAGATAAGGCAGTTTAAATATAGATTTTCAAAGAAGAAATATGTCATTTGAAAACTTAAAGGCGTCGCAACTGTCCTTATTTTTCATTTCCGCCTCTGAAATTTGTCTCGCATATATTTTGAACCCTTAACTGAAATAACAAAGAGGAAATAGTTTATCAGCATTCATTATAGATTGAATTCGATTTTTAAAAGATTTTTAACCCAAAAATAGACATTTTTAGGGCTTTTTAGCCTCTCTAATCACACGTTCAGCACCAATGGTGCTAAATTTTTGTGGGTGGGGGTTTTCGACCTTGCTGAATTCGGTACTGATGAGAAAAGAAGAATTTGAGAAGTTCTCAAATTGAGAACTTTTTTTTTCTGTGTCCGACAGATTCTGAACACTGTGGTTGAGAAACAGAAGGATCATCTGCGGTAACTTCCGTGGACACAACTTTCAGACAACGAAAGTCTAAGAAAAGCCCTAAACCACGTGGATAATGCATCGCGAAATACACTATAATTAGGGATTATGCTCAGCTTGAAGAATTCGTAACCTCGTAAACGTGAGTTTTTGCCCTCGCGTTGAATTTAATTCTGAAAAGATCTTTTCTTCAAGTTCAAAGATTAAATCTCCGAAACCAAATGTCAACAATACGTTCGAGCACCTGGATAAGAGTTTAAACAAAGGACTTGACTTATACTTATCGACGAGGGCATCATAAATTCAAAATCCTCGGTATCACGTTTCCAGCTTTTTTCCAATCAAGAAGTTCTAAAAAAACTCCTAAACCAGAAAGCTCAACGGTATTTGCCCTCTTACTCAAACACATGTATGATCAATCCCTTGAGTTCCAACCGATCTAAGACTCGTGTCGTTAAATCATGTTCATGACTTCTAAAGCTTCGAAGATGTTACGCTGCGAGAAAATGCTCAAAGTGGCTCCTAAAGAAGCAAGCTGATGATAAATTTCCATTTTGAAATTTTTCTTAACTCACTCGAGTCGCGCCTTGTAATTCTACCAAGTGTCCACTGCGGTTCAAAAAATGTTACGAAAGAAGGTGCCACGTGCGTTAATCAACTAAAAAAAGACAAGAAAGGGTGATTTTTAGACCTTTATTTCAAAGAAGGTATATTGTATGTACAGGAATATGAATTTCAAAAAACATGTTTGAATTGCCGAAGCTTTCAGATTTTTTAAAAAAAAAGTGACTTTTATTTTTTATGACTCCATCGTATCGTAGATCCATTGAGTAATTGGGCCCGCGAGCTTGGCATAGACACCGGGTTTGTTTGGCTCGGCACATCCGTATCCCCAGCTGACCACACCGTATTGAACAGCAGTGCCGTCTTGCTGGCAGACAAATGGTCCTCCAGAGTCACCTTGGCAAGAGTCGCGACCTCCATCGGTGATTCCGTCCATGTTGAAATCGGGAACACCAGCGCAGAACTCAGAGTCCTTGATTTCTTCAGGACCGTAAGCAGTAGCAACGCACTGTTCGGTCGAGAAGACGTGGACACCAACATCTTTGAGCTAAAAAAATATTTAGAGTTGTCAAGAAGAATTGAAGATCTACCTCTGAAGATGCAGAACCTCCGGAAGAAGTAGTTCCCCATCCGGCGACATGGCAAAAGGTTCCAGGTTCGATGTGATCCTGTGGCAAGCACACTGGTGACCAGCAATCATCGCAAGCTTCTGGCTGGGCATCAGTCAAGTTTGGAACCTCCAAGAGGCAGACATCGTGTCCTGTGCCCCAGTAATCACCGAGTGCACCGTTGTAGACAGGGTGCTTGATGATTCGAGTCGACCAGACCGAAAACTCTGTTGGCTCGGTAATAACAGTGTTTTGAGAGCCAACGGTGACTTTCATCGAGGACTGCCAGTCGCAACAATGAGCGGCTGAAATTTGAGTTAATATTTTCCGATGAATAATTGAAAGTACCTGTAAGAATCCAATCGCTCTGACCACTTGGGTTCTTTGAGATGATAGATCCTCCGCAGAAGTCAAGATCGACAATCCAAGGCCAAGTTGTTTCCCGATCAACATCTTGGCCACCGACGATTCTGGACACAGCTTCGGATTTTGATCCAAGACTTCGTGAGCCTGAAGCAAAGGGAGTTTCGGGGCTGGGACAGGTAAGCCCCGAGGGAAGAGAAGGTGGTCCTTCCTGCCAGATGTCGAGGCCGCAGAGCTTTTTGCCAAGATCGCCGATTCTCTTCATCATTTTCTTCCAGCTAAGATTCAATTTTAATAATTGCTCAAATAACTCAAATCTTACTGGTTAAAAGTTCGTCGAGGATGATGATGTCCGTCCATACAGACGTATGAGTCGATCCACTGAAGTCCCATTTCAGACATTCGCATCAAATTGGAGCAACGATTGAGTTCCGGATCGAAAAATTTAATCTCAACTTCTTCGTATGTTGGCTGATGACCTCTCCAGTCGCAAGTGCCTTCTTCTTGGAAATACGGGATGGACTCTTCGTGAAGACGTTCGAAAAGTCGCTGGAAAAGTGGAACTCTCCATGGTCGGTCGAATTCTGGACTTTCCATTTGCTCGACAAGCTGATTTTTGAAGTCTTCCATATGGTCCCAGAATGGCTGTGGCTTGTTGTAGTTGTCGATTCCTTCCCATTCGAATCGGAAGCCGGATTTTTGACACTTCCATCTGACGTGAAACTGACAACGACATGGTTTGACTGGATGAGGATCTCTTGTGGCGGTCGAGGGTCGAAATCTCCTTCGTTACCGTGCCATTCGGTTGTGCCACAGTAGCGGACTCCTTCGATAGTGACGGCGTCCCATCCACAATTGCTTGAACTGTACTCGACTTCGAAATCTGTGAATCTGATTTTGATCCATTTTCCTTCCTCAGCAAGGAGATTGTAACTGCACTGTTCTTGGTTCCAGTATTCTTCAGGGAAATTTGGGCTGGTCACGACGCCAGAATCACGCTGAAATTCGGCGCAAAAGTTGTCGGGGATTGTGATTCCGGTCAGAACTCTGACTTGAAAGCCTTTTCTGACTTCGCTCTCATCAGTTGTGAATTCGAGTCTTCCAGAGCCGGAGTAAAGAACTGCTGGGTCGGACATTGGGAAGTTTCTTGGAAGAACATCTGGTTTTTCTTTTGGTCCTTGGTCTTCTAGGCTTCGTCGTTTTCGACCGCTGGAGACAGAAGAGTAGTTGTAGTATGATCCAGAGCTGGTGGAGCTTCCCGAGCTTCCAGAACTCGAGTAGGAGTATGAACCTGAGCTGCCCGAGCTCGAGTAAGATGAGTAGTAAGAGTAGTCGTAGTCTTCGACTGGGTCGCTTCCGAAATCGCCATAGTGAGTTCCGCAGAATTTTTGTTTGCTTCCGTCGGCTCCAACGATCGCCAACGAGTCGTATCCGCATTTCACGTCACTTTCGAGGTCGAAGTACTCTGGCACGATGGTGAATTCGGTACTGCCAGGAATGTCGATGGTCCAGACGCAGTTGAGATTGTTGAAATAGTAACCAGGATCATTGAAGCCGGGCGAGGTGATGAGCGTGTTATTGGCAGTGATGGATCCGCCGCATTCTACAACGGTGTTGGCGTCTTTGGGATCGGGTTTCTCGCTCGGCTGTTTGTTTGGTCCGTCTTTTGTGGTCGCTGCCGCGAGGGCAATGAATGATGAACTGAGCTAAAAAAATGTTATTTGACTTATTGGCATTTTTTCTCTAGAATCTCTTTTAGAAATCGAAGTGTCTTGAACTGATCTAAGATCAACAAACCTTCATCTGTTTCAATTATTTGAAAAGTCTGAAAAGCTCAATGTCATTTCAAGTTCCAGCGTCGCTTTTATACACCCCGGCGAGGTCGTGAATTTTCAGGTGGCGCTAAGCGGAGCGGCGCAGCACGCGTTACCGAAACTTGAAATTTTAAAATTGCACTTTCGCGAGCTGCATGAGCTACTTGAGATTTACTGCTCAAGTTCGGCCGTCGCTAAATTACGGTGCTAATGATAAACTATTTTTGGATGAGCAACAAGTGACGCCGCCATCTAATGTCCCGATTTTTTTGGGAAAATAATTTGGAAAATTGGTTTATTGAGTTAGAAATTCTTTTTTGTTTATGCTTTATTTAGCAAAGGGTTAGAAATTGAAAAATACTTCCGTGAACATAAAATTGTCAGCTACTTCTTCCAGCTTGCTTAGTGTGATCGTGACCCAGGTAAAATCAAGAATGGTAAAATTCGAAACAGTGATCAAAAGATAAATTTCATTCAAGAGAGTCGCTCCTCTGAATTATCGTGGCTCAAGAAAGCGATTTATCTGCTGCCTTTTTTACATTGAATTTTTAAGTTCAATGGCACAATGAACTAACGATATAAATTAAATGAGGAAAGCAAATTATGAAATCTCTGTCATAACATTTGAAAACCAGTTACAGTAGTTGAGCATTTTTCATCGATAAGGGGGTAAGAAGGAACAATTATATAGTGGGTATAAAAGCTCAGCCTTTTTTATGAACTTATATCATCTTTAGACCTATTTACTTTGACAGAGTTACGCGGAGCTTCAAAAATATAATTATGCCCTCTCGTAACACGACGGTCGACCAACTGTTCTCCGCAAAATGCCAGGCATTTCTCAGAAAAGATGTTCAAAAAATATGTCTGTCATCTTCAGATAACAACACACAAAGACAAAAGTTACCCTCAACGATTTCAGGAAAGCAGAATTCCTTCGGTAGACCGCTCTACGTTCTGAAGCCACATTTTGTCGCTGAGAATGAAGTTGACAAGCACGTGTGCAGAGGAATTTTCGTGATAAAGAAAAAGAAAAAAAAATTGCACTTTTTACGCACTTGCCCTTCCTCGCCAATTTTTGCAAAGGAAAAGATGATTAAAATTTTTTTTTCTGTGCAAAGTTAAAATTCTATTGCCTGAAAGTTTTTGTCATCGTCGACATTTTGATTCATCAGCCCGTCAAAGACAGCAAATTGCATTTTCCAGAGGTGAAGTATCACATGTCAATTTTGAAAGAATCGATGCAGATGACGAGTCGTATATTTGCCATCAAGAAGTTTTTGCAATCGAAGGGTCTTATTTTCCTGAAAGCCGAAAGAACGAAAGACTTGACCTTGCTTGTCAACTTGTGGGTTGGTTTTTCTTCCGTACAACGACCGCGATCGGAGGTTTTTTTTGAAGAAGTACAAGTTCTTGTTGTCTTTAATAAGTTGCGGCTACAGATCGAGCCTGTTATTAACTGACTTACGAAGAAAATTAATGATATTACAAAATGATAAGGTGCTACGTAAATTATTATTCCGGTACTTTTTTTTTTGATGACGTTTGTAATTGTGCTACTTCTTGAAGAAAGGTTTGATCGGCGATTAAAGCGGATGAATTTATTTTGATTTGTGACCGAATAAGCTTTGTCTTGATGACAAAATAGCGTCAAGTTTAAGGAGCACCCTTGATGTTAACAACGGATGTTGTGGATAACCAGATAAGCTGATCGTTTAAGGAATCTTCGTTTTTCAGATAATTTGCTAACAGCTTGTTGGAATGACTAGTAAAACATACAGAAATAACGCTAGAAAGAAGTAAGCATGTTGTCTAGTTTGACGATAAATGGGATCTTGGATGAGTCTCAAACGAACATTTTCTGTTATCGGTTTAATTGAGCGAGCCGTGTTCTCTAAATTCAAAGTTTATTGAAACAAGCACGCCGATTTTCTTGACATTGGGCATGAAATTAAGCTGATGTGGAAAGACGTGAACGTTTTTTTTTGCAAATCTGGGCTCAAAAAAAATTACCATGCAGCTATTACCTTAATTACAGTTTTGAAATTACCGTTTCTGCGAAATTGATGACGCAGGAGTTTGCCTTTATTAATTAGTTGAATATTCAAAGTATCTTCACGTGCAGGGCAGATTCGAAAGCAGACGAGTGACCTTGAATCCGCAAAAAAATCCCGGCTTTTTGAATAATCGAGAATTGGATTGCGGTTTTCAAAATGCAGGGTTCGGCAAAAATAAACTCGAACTCATGACTATTCTTTCTGATTTTTCGCGCGAATTTTCGATCATTTATGAAAAAATTTTTGCCTGAAAAAATACAACAAAAGTACAAAAGAAAAGTTCTTTATTGAAAAGAATCAAGCTAAGCACCGGATTGAGCAGAAAGCACCTTATAATCTTATTTCATCGTCTTCAGTTGTTGATTTGTTCTTGAATCCAATCAATGTTTTCCGCAAGGGAGCTCATGACTCCAGGGTATCCCTCTACTGCGCATCCTATTCCGAAAGATTGGACTCCAACAAGAACAGGAACTTCATCGTCGTTGAGACAAATGAAAGGTCCGCCAAGGTCTCTATCACAAAAATCCTTGCCTCCGTCGACCAGCCCGTTACTGTCCAAATCTGGAGTGCCTGAGCACATGTAAGTTGGGTGCGGCTCATTCAGTCCTTCGCTCGCCATCCAAGCGCCCAAATTTGAATGACCAAGACAGTATTCATTCGAAAATGCGTACAGCGCGACATCATGAGCAATAGCAGGTTGAGCACCAGCGCCTGATGCAGGAGTTCCCCAGCCGGCGGCGTAGCATTTGCTACCGTGTGCTGGCCGCTGAGCTTGGAGACACGCTGGTGCGAAGGCGGCGGAATTGATTGCTGAAAGATTGGGAACTCGAATGATGGCTAAATCATTGAAGGCCTTGGTAAAGTCGTACTGAGGATGTATAGTGAAAGTTCCTCCTACGGTGAATTGGTTTTCATCAGGCTCAAATTGGTTCCAGTCACCGATTGTGACAGAAACTTCGGTTATTCCGAAAAACCATTCTGTCAAAAAGCAAAATGCGGTGGTGAGGATGAAGTCATCCCCTTCTGCGTTCTTGGTGAGGATGGTTCCTGCACAAGTATGAGGATTAGTGCCATCGCCTTTCAGTCCAACGAGGAAAGGCCATTCTCCTTGTTTGATCGGTTGCCCACCGGAGATTCGGCTGTTTTTCTCGAAATCCGTCCAGGCTCTTCCCTGCTTGATACTTCTTGACCCCGGGAGAACCACTCCAGGGGTAGCACAGGTCGCGACTGATCCCAGTGTATCCGGTCCTTCCTCCCATTCTCCAGAAACTTGAATGTTTGATTGGATCCACTCCAAATTGTAGGCGACGTCTGTGAAGATACCAGGCCATCCTTCTGAAGCACAGCCGTTTCCGAAATTCGTCACCGCGGCCAAGACAGGAGCATCGTTCTCAATGCAAATTAGCGGACCACCGCAATCACCCGTGCAAAAATCTCGCCCACCATCGGTCAGGCCATCTTGGTTGAGGTCAGGGGTGCCAGCGCACATCCACATCGGTGGAGGCGCGTCAAGTCCGTATTGCCCGAGGAGTCCGGAGAACAGACTTGTCGTAAGGCAGTACTCGTCTGAGAATGTCCAGATACCAACGTCCTTGAGAATGTCGCTTTGTTCTCCCAGGTATTCAGTCGTTCCCCAGCCGGCGACATAGCACTTACTTCCGTGAGCAGGTCTCGAAGTAGGAAGACAAGCGGGCTCGAAAGCGGCTGCATTGATTTTCGAAAGATTTGGAACTCGAATCATGGCAATATTATTGATATAAAGGGTATTATCAAAGAAGGGGTGGATAATGACATCACCTTCGACCATAAATTCGTTGGGCGACTTGTGATTTCCTTGATTCCAGTCGCCAACCGTGACGTTAACTTTTGTCTCTTCATTGAAACAGTGAGCGGCGGTGACGATGAAATCTGGTCCATGAGCGTTCTTTGTAAGAATAGTTCCTCCACAATTATGCTTGATATTTCCGTCGCCGTGAAGTCCAACGATGAAGGGCCATTCGCCTTCTTTGACTCCTTGACCTCCTACGATTCGAGCAGAAAGGCCCTGACTTTCATTCCACTGCTCGAAGTTCGCGAGTGATCGAGCTGAGGAGAAAGGAACACCTGGAGTGGGGCAACCACCGATCGAACCAAGAGTTTCTGGACCAATTTCGAACGCGCCTGGACCATCGGGCCAGTTTGGCGTTTGGCCGTATCGCTGGAAAGCGGCGCATCTCGTATAGTCAGATTGAAGAAGCCCTTGTTGGTCGTCAGCCATCGTCATCAATCCGACGCTCTTGAAGCACTGGTAGAAGTCGTCATGCGTGACGAGATCATTTGGTGGATCAAGCGGGCCAAAATCCTTCTGGACACCGGTCATTTGGACGAAAAAGCGATCCTTGCCCTTTTTGAGAAACTCCCCTTGTTGGTACCCGGTCCGTCGGAACTGGACAAAAGCGGCCTCAACTTTTTTGTCCCCGTTTTCAGGGAGCTCCCAGTATTGCGCTTCTGTCATGTAGTTTTCATCGGTTCGGTCGAAGACTTCGACTTTAACGCGTCCCTCGCCAATCGCTATTAAAAAAGATAATTTTTTTCTTCAGGAAAAAAGAACTTACCTTTTAGAATCGGCCGTTTACAGTAGTTCCGATCGAATCTAAGCATACCGATGTAGCCTTTGTCTTTGCTCAAATAGTCGAGATTCCATTTGATGGCGCTCAAAGAGGCAAGAAAACCGTTTTCGTACTTTCCGAATTCAGCGTAGTGGGCTTTTGATCCCCTGCCAATCCAGTCGAATTGACAGCTGTTTCGACAGACGAGTTGCGAGTCCGGTATCGTACCAAAAAAGCTCATCAGGCGAGCATCCGCCAAGATTCCAGGCTTCGGTGCCAGCAAGTAAAAGGCTTGCTAGAATCTTCATCAGCAGAAAAAATCAAATTTTACGCGAACTTTTCGATCTCTCGAAGTGTGTATTGCCCGTTGATGGCGGCGGAGCTTATATTTGATGATAACATCGACGACAGTGATGCGACTCTATCACTCGTTCAGAGCGTGGCGTTGTTTTCAAATCACAACGAATATTTCTCATGTAATCATTGAATCAAGGCCAGCCTCTACCAGTAGCTATATTTTTCTTTAAGGACCCCCCCGTCAGCTTTTTTCTCCGAAAAATTGAAATTTTTAAGAACACCATATTTTTGGTTCCTAATGTGTCTTCAAGTTAAATTTGCTTCAAAAACTTGAAAAGACGAAGATTTGACCAAGAAATATCGGTATCTTTGCCGATTTTTAGGCCAAAATCGTCAATTTTCGGCGAAAAGTCCAATTTTCAAACACGATTTTGAGGCTGAAGGAGTCGAGATAGACCCCCAAAAAATGAAGCCTCAAAATCGTTTTTTGACCTGTAGAATCCATTTCCGGGGTCAAAATTTTAAAATTCCGAAATTTGATTTTTCAAAAAAAGCTGACGGGGGGGTCCTTAAATAATCAAAATTAATCTTACTCTTATTCTAGCTGTCATAAATAAGTAATGACTCTGGCTTCAAGCAGATTATATTTATTTTTTTATAAACCTTTTGGTTATCAATGATCAAACTCAACATGCTTTTGAGGATAAAGAAATTTAGCCGACCTAATTCCTAATTCTCGACCAACATCCCCTTAAGCTTCGGATCGTTGAAGATGGAGTCAATTTGCATAAAATCTTGATTTTGAAATTGAAAATTTCGACAAATTTTATTGTCGGAAAAATCAATTTATGGCAAATAAATGTTTATTCATGATAAAGAGTTGTAAAAGTTCTCAATCGTATTGAGGATGTACTCGAGTCTGCGTATATAAACAAAGGCGGTTCTGATGACTTCTTCGTCTTCCTCACTTTGGGGTAGATTGAGCATGTTTCTGAGCATCTCGATACAGTCGCTTTCCGAGTTAAGCATCGAGAAGTCAACGCCTTCTTCAATCATTTCCCTTTTCTCAAAAAGATTTTCGGCTTCTTACTTAGTCTAGCAATAAGAGTCTGCTATTTATTTTTTAATTTTAATAGTTGACTGAACGAGAATATTCTCTTCTCTACAGCACACTTACAAGTGCCCCTTTTATGACGTCTTAAGTCCATCTAAAATCTTTACTCATTTTCATCCTTCAGCAATTTGAGCACTTGATGTTGCGTCCTTTGATGCGCTCAGAAATCTTAGTCTTTCTTTCCTTGGTAGATATCAGGACTCGCCATTTTTGGACCAAAATTTTGGCGCTTATAGATTTTTTGTTAGAGTGCTTTAGCAACTTTCCCGTGTCTTTCGAGTGTCTCTCGAAGAGTATTGAAAAATATAGGCTTCGCTGATTGGCGCTTTGTAAGAATTTAAAGTCCCTCGGAGGAAAAAAAGCGCAATTTTAAGTTTTGAATCTCTCGAAAGACTCGAAAATTTTCGAGAAAAATGATGAGGACGCTAATTTTTCTCTTTTCGAGAGACTTTTGTGCGCGAATTTACAAGTCCTCCTCTCAGCGTCGTCTTCATTTTTGACACTTTCGCTTATGCACTCGAAATAAATTTATTCGCGCCATCATTTAGTGCCCTAAAATCTTTTCTAAGCGAGAGATTTTCTCGAATAATCACGCTTCGCAACCTCTAATTTCAACGTTGGCAATCTTATATGTATCAGTAAACCGGCGTTTCTTCGATTTTTCTTTGATAATATTCAGGATATCTTCAGCGAAAAATGCTCCGAATGGACGAAAATCAAATCTTAAATCACCGGCATCAAAGATTGGAAACTGCACTTAAAAATCAACGTCATCGGGAAACCATAATCCCGTTATTATTCGCAGGATCTCTTCTTTATTTTTTCAAATTCAAATGTGAAGGACAGATTCAGCAGCGTTAGCTTGACGTTGAATCCGTCCGAATATCCGGATTCGATTCATTATTTTAAATTGGATTCGGGATTTCCGAAAAGCGGTAGTGTACCGTAATACACTGGATAGACCGTCATGTTGGCGACTTTTCAGATTTGTTTGAATTTAATCAAGTTTGGAAATTTCGCTTGCAGAAACAGATCCCTCGATAATTTCGCGGTAACGAATTTTCTTTTTCTCAGAAGATCTGATGCAAAAATTCTGCATTTATTCAGATTTCTCATGGTACCTTTGATTACAGTTTGACTTCACTGAAGCTTCTCATTAGGCCGATAACTTTGTTATCATTCCGTCAATTTTTAAATCAACTGAAACCACACGAAGAAGCTGACAATGCAAAAATGGGAAAGATGCTTTCCCGATTTCTTTTTGAGATGAAAATCATTCTTACTTGTAACAAGAAAAGATACAAATTTGTGAAAAGAAAACGATCCGTGGTAAAGAGAAATTTTGGGTCAATAAACTCGAGTTTCTTTGCCGAAGAAACAAGTTTTGATTCTTTTGATACTGTAATCATCGACAGGTTTGAACGCCAAAATGCAGGTTTAGTCGAATTCGACTGCTTTAAGTATTCTTGGAGAGGACGTAATTTTCTTCGACCATCTTCTCCGTTTGGATCAATTTTCCGACTCCGAGCTCAGCATGCTTGATTCGCAGATTAAGATTGTCGAGCAGAATCATCAAGAATCTCTTTCGTCAATTTCTGACTTTGAGAATTTTCAACTGCAAATTGATCAGGATGAGAAGATGCCCTCGAGGCTCAAGAGATTGAGATAGAGCTTGAAATGGCCTTGGATTTGGAAGAAGATCTTCTCGACTCGGAGCTTTCTGATCTTCATCAATTTGGAAGCTTGAACGTCCTCATAACCGATATACTTCCTTTTTTCATTATTTTTAGGAGTCATTTAACGACGATGATGGTAGCTCATCAGGCGGTGCCAGCACGGGCATGGACGATAAGGAATCGAACCAAACAATGTTCGAGCTTACTGATAACCCCGAAGATGAATCTGATGGAGGTGGTTCGTCTTCTGGATCTGAAGAAGATGACTTTTTCAATTTGAAGGATTTTACTGATTTTTACGTTTAATAAATCAGATATCTTCATCGTGTGAATATTTTTACTGAGACATAAGAATACCTACATGTTTTTAATTTAATTCTAGTTTCGGTTTTTCGTTCCGTTCACGTTAACTATCATGTTCATACAAGACGCTAGGATGTACGGTACGTGTTTCAATCGGGGAGATCAAGTTTGAACTAATTTTAGACTCGGAAACGAGAGTTAAAGCATCGAAATGTGATGAGCTAATGGTTTTCAGCTTCCTCCTGCATTGATTCAAATTCAGGAAACTCTTTTTTCATCGGCATATTTATTCACAATAAGCAGACATCAGTAAAACCCTCAGGCCTTGCTCCCTCGCTTCTATTAATTAAGATTTTCATCAGAAACTCACGGCCGTCATAAGCAAAATAAAACGTCATTCATCTGAACTCACAGTGAATAAAATCATCGCCGGAAATTCTTTGCAGCATGCGAAAAGTAAAGAAAAGTATATGTACAGTGATTTTCATTGAAATGTCAACGTTAATCGGAAACCTGAGCGGTTTCAAAAAAGTATCAAAAATAAAGATCCGAGTCCGATGAGAATGGCGTTAGCCATAATTCCAATTGCCGAGGATGGAGGCGCTTCTGTTACTTGTTGAGCCGATGGAAGTTTAGCTGGGACCAGTCCGCTCTTTCCATTGCAACTCGCAGAAGAACAATACTCCGACGTCGAATTGACATTTTGAACAGTCGCAACGGGGCTGAAAAAAGTCTAAAAAATCCGCTTAGAAAAGGCTCTTACTTGAATTTATCTCCAAGCGCTCCCTTGTGGCATTTTCTTTCCATGTTGTAAACCTCCGCGATTCCAATTTTGTAAACACTGAAGATACTCAAGCAGTGAGTATAAGTCGCATCTGGGCAGTCTTTTGCATCAGAAGATTTTCTCTCCGCAAAGCAAGAATCGCTCTTTTTTGAGTTTCCTGCGGCGCTTTTGCAGACTTGGCATTTCAGAATCGATGGGGTCTGGAAGGTTTTCTGACTTGTGATCTAACCGAGGGCTTTTTATAAATTCTAAGTAGTCAAAATTTTGTTTCTCAAATTTCTAATGCTAGGTGTTTTCGAAGCCCTTTGCAAATCCTTGTTACAGTTTTCACCATCATTTGCGTCACAAGTCGTTATGTATTTTTTGACTCCATTCAACACCCCTGAAATCTCATTGCCCTCCTTCATCGTGTTATCTGCATCGCATCCTCGCTCAAGCACCATGTGAAACGAAAAGTTTGGTGACTCTTTTGTCCCGATACTCTGCTTGTAACTGAATGCTTTTGTATAGCACTGCCCGAGGCAAGTGACAGATTTTGGAGTTGTATCTGATTCAGGGTTCCAGCAAGTTTGGGTGTCCTCATTTGCAAGAAGCTCATCCTCTGTTGGTTCAGATGCAGCTTCTTTAGTTGTCGACAAGGAGCATTCATAGCATGTGAAGGCTTTAACTTCTTGAGCTGTTGACGGTTTCCCAGTATTCCCCTAAAAACTGTAAGCTCGTTGTTTATACTTGCCATTTACGTTGTCAGTGGTTGTTTTTTCGAACTTTTGTCGGATATCAGCAAAACCAGGCTGAACTTTCACATCTGTTACTGGTCCACTAGCTGGGATTGCAAGTTCAGGATTGACAGTGCACCCTCTTTTGGCATAATAGTAGACTGTATCTGGATTCGTTTCGCTTTTGTACGCCACTGATGCAGAAAAGCAGCTAAGAGAATCGCATCTTGTTTTCGTTGTGACAGTGGCGGCATAGCATGCGTCTTTGATATCAGTATTTGTGATTGCTGATGTTTCGCACTTGATGCACTCGATTTCTGTTATTGAAGCTGCTTGGTAGAGAACATCAGGGTCGGTCAGAGAATCGTCGCTTGAGGAGACATGTGCGTTTGTTATCGGTCTCATCTCATAAGTCTGTGTGGTTTCTACAGTAGTAGCTCGAGAAGAAGACGAGAAACGAACAGCATCAGCAGCAGTATTTTGCACGGGTGCTTTCGTCAATTCGATTGCTTTCGAAGCGTCATCCGATGCAGCGTAGAGTCGTAGAAGTCCCTGAGTGACTTCCTTTCTCTCTGGAACGGGAGACAAATTTTGAAGGGAATCAGTTGCAATATCTGTTAATGATGCGCATCCCCGGCGAATTCCCACAAAAACATTTGAAACCGTCGTTTCTCCATCTTCAACTGTTTTCCAGCCGTAGGTTTCTGTCTTGCAGATTCCTGTGCCAACCGGATTACAGTAGCCAGGTGTATTGCCGAAGTCTGTTGTATCGAATGCTGCGCCGTTGAGACTTGGGTTCCAGCATGGCATCGTTATCGCATCGTTTTTTTCGGGCTCATCTGAACCTTCGAACTTCTGGACTTCGTGACAGAGGATACATCCAAGATGTTCAACCTCTTGGACTGTGACTGCGGATGTTGGCGTTGTTGACGGATCGGCCCGACCATCCATGTACTTGTTCCCACTTGTCCAGGCGACGAAGACAGGATTTTCAGTTTGACTACTCACAGTGTAAGCTTTTACGTTTTTGTACAGTGGGAAGTCGACTCTTGATTCGGTCTTTGCTGTTGTTGACGTTGTTCGTTTGACGCCATAAATAAACCTAAAAAAGAATGAAGCTGATGGCACATGTAAATGGGATCAAAGGTACGGGGAACTTACTTGTCTTGTTGTTTATCCTTGAATATGAAAAATTCTGCAACACAGTTATTATTTGCTATTGCTTCGACAGCATAGCCAGGTTCTGCCGAGACACCATTAGTGACTACGATGCTGACCGTATTCTGAAATTTGTATGAAAAAAGAACTTGTCGAGCCTTTTACCTGTCCAGCAATGCACGGATTCGTTGATGTTCCTAGCGCACTAACTGCAAGTGCTTCTGTATCCGCGATATTTATGTACTCGCATTTGAGGCAATACGATCCTGGAGTAGTTTCCTGATCATTGAATGTTCCTCTCGTTGCTAACGAGCTCGAAAAAAGAGACAAAAAGTAGAGTTTTTTCATCTCTGGAAGGTCGGCTCAAAAGGCGAAGTTTCCGACACACGAGTTCATTTTAAACGGTCCAAAATTAAAAGTAACCATAGCGAGTAGAATAAGTAAGTAGAAACAGCTTCTCAAAGCACCTGCAATCGACATCAATAATAATGTTTTACTTAACTTTGTATAATACAAATTCATTAAAGATGCAAAACTGTTGGTGAAATTTTGGTGACGATCAAAGTATTGTTTTATTCAATACAGTTTTGAAAGGAGAAGCAGTCTTACTTGATTCAAGTGGACTTGTTTCTGCCAAGAACTCCATCATCATACTCGAATTTGTTAAAGTACCCCATTGCAGGGATGAACTCAAAGGGAACAGAACTAATTGGATTGTTTTGAAGGCACAAATTGAGTTTTCCACTGAACTGTCGGAGATCGAAACCCTCACAGTCAAATTTGCAGATTTCGTTGCCGTCCATGTTGAGCTCAGCGCCCTTGGTCAGTCTTTGCAGAACGCTGACGGGAAGAGTTTCGAATTTGTTGTGAGAAAAATTAAATTCTTTCGTCCTTAAAAAAATTTGTTTTGTTTCGAATTTAAAAATAATAAAGAGTACTTATGGCTTTGGCCGATGAAATCTTCGATTGCTTCCCACTGCGAGTCTTCAAAATAATTGTTGCAGAAGTCAAATGACTCGATTTTTCTGACTGGGTAGTTCACTCCATTGACTCGTAGTCGCCCGTTTTCGTACGAAAATGGGAAGACTGTCAGTTTTCTATCCTTGCAGTCGACCTAGAGAAGGCTGTCAAGCTATTGATTGTTAGAAGAGATGTTACCTTGTACGTGGTTATGTTAAATTCATCCGGCACATTTGCCATTACAGAACAAGGAAGAGCACACTCAAAAGTGTTGCAAGGCTCGCTTGTTGAAAAAGAAGATCCGGTCCGCATAAAATGTTCGACACCTGGCTCATTGTCTTATCCATACAACTAAAGAATAATTTATCATTTCATTAATTAAATTCACCACTTACATCTGAGCCCGATGACGGTATCCACCATCGCAAGTTTCTGAGCATTGACTCCATTCACTCCAGTGTAGCAAGTAGGTGCATTCTTGTTTCTCCCATTTCGAGAATTTTCGGATTTCATAAGCAGTCTTTGTATCGAACATATTGAGTGCGATGTTGATGAAGATTGGGGGGATAACTCCCTCTTCAAGGAGCATTTTCTTGATATAATCTCTCAAAAACATATCCTCAAACATATCTGCGAATTTTTCAACGACAAAGGTGCAGAATTTTGAGAAATTCTCGAAATTTGCGTGGGTCTGGTAAAGAAGAGCTTTGTGAGTTTCGATGGCTGATGACATGAATGAGCATAGGGTAGTTTCGTCTTCGAAGAGGATCGTTTTCAGGAATGTCAGAAACTGCGTTCCCATGTTGCAAATTGGTCGTTCGATGCCACTCTTGTTGATAAGTAAGCCATTTTCGAGATCTTCGATGAATTTGAGGAGCTTCTCAGCAGGGTTTCCGACGTAAATCTCAATCTCTCTTGTGATATCTTCTGGTAGAAATCGCTGAGCTTCAGCCCACGCCCAATGCATGAACTCGTCGAATTCAGTTGGAAAGTCTCTGATCTTGTCGAGGGCAATCATCGCAAACGCGTTGAAAACATGTTCCTCATCATATCGGAACATATCGTCAAGAACTTCTTCGTATAATTCTTCGATGTCTGCTTCAACCCATGGCATGCCAAGGCAGTTTCTCGAAATGCGGCTGTAGCTGCAAACTCCTGCTCGGAGAATATTCTTCCAGTAATTGTCGCCATGTGGAACTCGACCGAGGATGTACTCGTTGAAGCACTGAACGACTTGGTCAGCAAATTGATGAATCTCACAGCGAAGTTCGAATGGTCCCATCTCTTCTTTGATAAAGTCAGGTAATTTCGGCCACTGCTCCTTGTTCTCGCAGAATGGATTGAAAGAGGATGTCAAGTTCCAGGTCATTCCGATTTCCGGAGAAATTTCTTCAATCTTCTCTTTGATCTCATAGCACTCGCTGTCTGTAAGATTAAAGACGCTCAGCATTTCTGCGATAGAGTCACCGTGGATGGTTTCCTTGATTCCTTCCTTTGCTGCTTTGTCGACTGATTTTTGCATCTCACCCCAAAGAGTGCACATACCACTGTAGAAAGTGTCATCATTGGCAACTGAAGCAGCCGAAATATTCACCGCATGGCTTGTAACAAGTGTTGCGAGATTCGACTCAACGATATGAGCACCAATTTTAATCAATTGGTAGACATCATCTTTTGTCAGTTTCCTTTTCTCATTATCAGAATCATTACCACTTGTTTCCGGCCAATCATAGTCTCCATAGCCCGGAGTTGTTGTCTGAGCATAAGGTGTAGTTGAATTCGTCTCATGACTTCTTCTTTTTCGTCCGGAGTCAAGATCATACAAATTGTACTTATCAACAATGCCTCCGTAGAAAACGTCCCAGACGCTTTCATCCCAGTATGAAAAATAATTTTCAACGGTCATCGGCGTCAAATTCTTTATACAGAAGAAATACTCGATCGCTTTAGTTTCTGTTTCCGCGAGCATTGTTGCGATCTCTTCTCCGGCCATCGAAAATGATGTTTTGAGACACTCGGTGTAGACGTTCTTGATGGCGTCGGTGCAAGAGTAGGTGCCTGCAGAGTGGTATCGCTGGAGAAGGAACATCTCCATGCAAGAGTATTTTGAAAGTTGACCCCAGATTAGCTGATCCATCACATTGCTGATGATTTTTGGAGCCATGGCTTGAAGTGAGTCGGAATCATAGTTGTTGTATCCCCAGTCGCCGTAATTACCGTATTCCGGATAGGAAGGATACGCAATACTGCCATAGTCATCATACGAGTCAGTATTTCCGTAATCTTCGGGGAAATCTTCACAGACAAATCGTACCATCTGACCTGGGTCGCACATGCTTTCACCCTCTGTTTCCATGCATCGGCAATAATAACTGAAGTGAGACCAATTGTTTTCTTCCAGTAAGACCCGAGAATATCCCTCAAAAGAGGCGTGATCAATTGGGAAATAGAGCTCGGCGCGAATAGGGAAGCAGTTGTCTTCTTTAAATTCGTATGTGTACTTATCCAATGACGTTCTTTGGTAAGTGATCGATTCATCGTAGTAGTCTTGGTATGACCAAGAGTCCACCGGTTCCCAGGGTGAATAGAATTGGCCGGGTTCAAGTCCGTTGTCAGGTTTAACTGGTTCAGCAGTCATATCGATGATATCCAATCGTCCGTCTCTATCGATATCTCCATTGTCATCAACTTCAAAGCAGAGATTGTAGATTTCATTGAAGACCATGCAAGACTTTGGAAAGTAATCTTCCTCATTTTTGCAGGTAAGCGGGTACCATCCGTTTGCTTTGTGAACCTCAGCTCTTGTTTCGCAAGGGACGGGTACTTCGAATTCCATGGAGCTACAAGATGATCGAGGGATACACCAGTTCTGAAGAAACGACCAAACTTTTCCTTCGGGGCAGACGCATGAATTGAGAAGATTTGCGCTGGCACCAAGGACATCAGGTAGATCCAAATTAGCGGCCTCATTGAATTCAAGTGGAAGTGTGGCGGCAGAATCTCTAGTGCAAGTTTCGAAGGCTGAAATTTTTTCTTGTGAGGATCTGACCAAATTTGCAGGACATCCTGATTCTTTATCTTCAACTTTTCGTCCGAGAATATCAGTAAAAAAGCAGGAAATGTCGGTTTCGTTCCCCATTCGTGGGTATAGATTGAATTCACCAGAATTATATGACCCATAAGGGGACGTGAAGTCGTCGATTATTTCACTCCCATTCTTAATCTGACAGGTGTATGCTGGTCGATAAAGGCCTTGGAATCCAAGGCATTTTTTCTCAACAACCGGAATTTCATCTTCACAACCATCGCAGGCAACGATGTCTTCTTTGCAACGAGATCGTAAATTTCGCTGTGAGCAAATCGTTACACAACCAGATCCGTCCTCGCAGTATTGAAATTCTTCAAACCGAACGAATCCGAAGGGAGCAAACAAAAGCGGATATTCCTTCTGAAGATCCATTGTGAAATTCGCCGCGGGCATCGTTTCGTCAATCGAGTCGGTCTCATCATAAACTGCATAGGTAGAACTTTGTTGCGTGGTGGTTGTCGTGTACGTGTAGTAACTATAATGAGGCCATAATATTACTCGAGATTTGACGAGTTCAATAAATGGGACTCATTCCTGGAAATGTCAGAATAAAGGTAGTCTTCTTCTTCTCTTCTTTTGCGAGATTTTTCAAAAAATCTAAAAGATATTTTTATCTTTCTTACTTTTTATTTGAAGCTTACTCTTTTACTCCATCGATATTCATCTTATCAATATCCAAGCCTTTTGCTGTATCAAAGAGCATACGAAGCTTTTCAGCTATAGGATTCATTGGCTTTTCGATCTTTTTCAGCTTCTTCTTGTCTCCATTATTGCCCGGGGCACTCTCGTCCTCTGGGGAAGCTCTGTAGTTACCATGAGACATTCGTCCTTTCAAAGAGTCTGCCGAATCAGCAATAGTTGTCTTGTTGGAATTGCCGTAGTTTAGGTAGTCATGGAGCGCTTGCCCACCGTTGTTTAGCTTGACATACTCTTGTGCTCCTCTGGCGATTTCATAGAGCTCTTTGCAAGCACCACCGTCGTAGTAGAACACATCATCCATTGGAAGCTTCATACTTAGCTCGCCTTTGAAGCAGCTGACACTGTAGGGGAACTTATCTTGAAAGAGGTACCGATAGTTTCCATCAGCATCGTATCCACCACCGCATTCATCAATGGCCGAAGCGGCAGGGGGGTCCGAAGACATCTTGATTGGAAATCCATCGAGAGCGTAGCCGACGGTCGTTTCAACTTCGTCGCACGAAGCCAGGTCCTCATACAGGCACATTGGCGGGACGAAATACATCTCGGTAGACGCAGCCATGTCCATTTCGAAGCCCTTGGCAGTGATCGGCAAGAGAGTTTTGAAACACTCGTCGGAAAATTTGAGCGCAATTGGAGTCACATCGCAGTTGTTTCCAGCGAGAACGCCGCGAATCGGAATACCATCGACAGTGAAGCCAACTGGATGAGTTGAGCCGGCGTTGGGAGCTGGATTCGATACACCGTCAGGAAGAAGGGTTGGTGAAGAAGGAATGACGAGAGTTGTCTGGTCGACAAGGGTCAAGGAAATTGCACCGTTTCTCAGAGTGCTGGCAGTGACGTCATCGAAGAGGTCGTCGAGGAGGGAGCCTGCCACCGCATTGATGGCGAGAATGTTTGAACAAAAATATAACATTTTTAGCCGGAAACCCCGGACAAACAAAATGGTAACAATTTTATTATGAGAAAATCATTTTGAGAGTTTAAAATCTTAAAATCTATTACACCAACTAGATTAAAAAAATCCATTCGATTCTAAAATCAACTTTTCAGATAAAAAATGTTTGATAATTTTATAAAGATATTATATTTTTCAGCAATATGGTTTCCGCTCCATTATCGTTTCTACTGAATAAAATATGTAAATTCCCAAAAAATTTGTCTCTCTCTCTCTCTCCTTACCTGATTTTGACCATCTCGGTCTGTCCGATTTCTTCCTCACCGGCGCATCTTTATAGGATCAAGCTCGAGTGGTCACTTCGACTAAACAGCCTTAACCAGCTCAAAATAAAAATAAGCTCAGGCATGGAAACACTTGTCGCGGCACTTGGCGATGTTGACGCTGATGTCGAAATCGCAGAAACAACATTTGATTTGATCGATACATGCCATTTATTTTCTTGATAACGGGCTCGAGAAGATTTAATGCAATTAAATTCTTGAAACTTTTGATTGACGTGGAACATTTTTGCGAAATTCGATACATGGTTAACATTCGTGACGTGTATGAGTCAGAAAAAGAGAAATAAATTTATTTAAGCCTTGATGTACTGTTTAAGAAAATCAACGAAGGGAAGTGGTGTTGTCTTTTTAGCTTCTTTCTTTCCAGCGCACTGTCCAACAAAATCCATGTTTTCGTCGAATGCAACGTAGTCAGTCTTTGAAGCATCCCAGCCAGGACTAGAAATGATAAAGCGAGATCGAAATTGAAGACTTACGTGATTCCGAGTCGAGCATTTTCAGCAACAAGCCAGTCCATAAGTGGCTGATAGTAGTCCGCCATACCGTCCGCGTTCATAGTTGCCTCGTCGTCCCCAGTGAACTCCTGAAAAGAAGCCATTGAGACCTTGATCTCTCTCGTATAAATACTCACGCGAAGCTGATCAAGCCAATACTCGGAGCCGCCCTTGCCCATAAGAATCTTGAGTTTATCTCCAGCTGCTTGACATTGGTAGACATCGCATGTGTAGAGAGGGCCGGTATGTCCGCAAGCGTCGCAGAGAACTTTTGGAACTAGAAATTATTTTTAATAACTTTGGCGAGATTTTGCTTGGTACCTGGAATTGATAGATCGTTCGAGAGTAGTATCGCATCATTGAGTAGTCGTTGGCAATATGGTAGAGAGCAGCAGGATCAGCAGATTCTATTCAATATTTGATTATTATATTCTTAAGCGATTTCTTACTTTCAGTTCGCTCAGCTGGGGCCTTGACACCAACCCACTCATTTTTCATTTGCCAAAACTGTTCCATCCATTCATCAGTTGAAATCGACTCGTTGAAGCTAGAATATCGCCAGTTTTCCATCATGAGCGTAAATGGCATCGTCGCAACTTGCTGGAGAGCCTGGAACATGAGGAAGTTGATTGTTGTCTGGTATTCTGTCTCTTCGTCTCCCTTGGGGCCGAGGAGTCCAATAGCTCGAAGATGTTCAGGGGTAGCGACATTCATCGCCATAACTTCTCCCATTGCCTCGTGGAATCCTTCGTTTCCGCCATCTCGGAATTGTGGCGGCTGGAAGGCGTATTGCATGTAGTACTGATTTGTTATTGAAAGAAAAATTAACAAAGATGAACCTGAATATGACCCATTTCATGATGAATAGTGAGCAAATACTCCATATTGACGTCCGTGCACATCTTGATTCGGAAGTCCTCGCCGTTGAACAAGTCCCAAGCAGTTGGATGACAGACCATCTCCACATCTGGATTTCGCTCAATAACAGATTTGTCCCAGAAGATGTCGTTGACACGTTCCAAACCAAGAGAAGCAAAGAAGTCATCAGAAAGCTCGAACAGTTTTTTGGCATCGTATCCTTGCGCCAAAAGCTCCTCAGTGACATCGACGTCTGGCGCGTCTGGGTAAGGAACAACAAACTGATTGAGCCCGGTCCAAAATCGTCCCCACATGTCTCCAAGAACATTGGCGGGAAGAAGACCTCCATCGTTGTCGAAGATGTCATTGCCGAAGACTTCGCCAAGTCGATATCGAACGTAAGCGTGGAGCTGGACATAGAGGGGTTCAATCTTTTCGTACTCAGCAACAGCCATATCGTTGAAGTTATCGTCTGGCATTTCATAGTCGCTTCGCCAGTATGCTCCGTAATCCTCAAAGCCGTTGAGTTGAGCCCACTTGTTTTTCATCTCGACATAAGTCTCGAAATGAGGTCTCATCTCGTCACCAACATTGGTTCTCCATCCGAGCCAGGACCAAAGTCGCTCGTTGTAGTCAAGAGAGTTAGCCATGATTCCCTCAAGTGATTCTCCAGAATCTTCGAGGTACAAGCATCGATCAGCGTCTCCAACAGTGCCAGAGGCGTAGATTCGATTCATACTGTTCATTGCATTGCTGAGAGCTGCGCTTGATTCAGCATCGAGGGAGTTCGAGTTTCCAAGAAGTTTTGCGAACTGTCGCTTGAGAAGAGGATCTTCATAGTTTTTCCAGTCAAAAACTTTGATGGCGTGGGGGATGTTGGCGGAGTACCAGGCGCCGAATCGAGCACTGGCAGCGCCGGCCAAAGCGAGATTGTGGTCGGTGATGTTGGTTTCGTAGGTAAAGTACGCATCGGAAGCATCGTGGACGTAGAATTGGTACTCCTCGTTGAAGTCCTCAAGCCACGCCTTTGCGGCATTTTCGTCACTTGGAACGCACTCACCTGGAAATTAAGCTTGTCGTAAAAATAGAGAAATAAAAATTACCTTGGTAGTAAGCATATCCAGAAGCGCAGCCACAGACGTCATGGAAGGCACTTCCTCCGCAAGTCAAAGAAGCCTCCAAAACATCAAGCTCCGTCTCAGCCTTGGTCAATCGCTGCTTGAGCTGATCGATCTCTTTATGCTGCTGGAGAACAGCGTCTTCTAGGATCGCAACTCTCTCATCAAGAGATTGGCTCAGGCCAGAGCCGAGCAGGAGACCGAAAAGTTTCATTTTCGATTTACTTTTCTGCTGCACGGAAAGGAAACATCCAGTGAGCAGACGGCTATTTTCTCACGAAAATTGCGTAAAAACTGCAAAAAATACAAAAATAGCCCTTAGAACCTGCTGGATTTCAAAACTATTATTAGGCCTCGGACGTAAAAAATCATAAGCTTCGAAAAATATTTTTCATAATAACTCGTAACAGAAAGGGAGGGTCCAGTTTTTTTATCGGTCAAATAGAAAGCCCTTATCAAGACCTTTCGAATGAGCCCTCTCATGTTCACGTACGATGACCGGATGGTGAAAATCGTCTTTTTTACGTCCGAGGCCTAACTATTATGAAATGAACTTTGGAAACGATTTGAAATCGTCGATTTCCGTTAAAAAATGTCGCGAGTTTCAGAACAGAAACCAGTTTTTTGAAAGTATCTTTTATTTAATTTGATGTTGCAAAAAACTGATCAGAATTTGATGCCTTCAATGCATCCATCTTCAAGAATGCAATCTTGATACTCGAGGAGCGCAGTTTCAATGCAAAGATAGTACTCATCAGACAAGTGTTCAAAGTCCACAGTGCATTGAAGATCCTTCCTCACCAATTCGCGCCAGCAAGCTCTGACACAGCCATCATCTCGTTCATAAGCTCGAAGGCGACCCAGCACACTCGGATCGAGCAAAACAGATGCGGAAGAAAAACTCAATAAACCAGCAAAAAGTTTCATTTTTTATTCTTTTTTTTTATGAAAACTTAATATTAGACTCCAGATCAGGGTTCTAAATTTGAGGCAAAATCTAAAAGTCTAGTCTGTCCGTGTCCGTGTCCTCCGCAAAAATCCCAAGTCTAGTCTATCCGTGTCCGGATCGAAAAAACGGATTTCTGTGCGGTCTAGTCCCGGACATGTCCGTTTTGTCCGTTTTTGTCCGTAAAATCCGGACAAATTTTTTTTTTAAGAAAAAGTCTGGTCTAAAAAGTCTTGTCCGTAATTTACGGACCGTAAATGTCCGTAAAATTCCATGGGTAAAAAACTAATTTTTATAGAAATAAATCTTTGAAATAAAAATTTGAAATCTTTGAGAAATAAATTCGGCAGAGAATACATCGAAATATTGAGTTCTTTTCAAGCCAATTTAAGAAAATTAAGAGACTTGCCTGGGAGTCCCAGGCTGGGACAAGAGTCGCAAATTTATTGCTATTTTTTCGGAAGAGGATAGGCTCAGCCCAAAGACTTCATAAAATTTCTAGCTTAGCTCAGCATCAGCTGGTTAAAGCCAACTCGTCTCAGAGTAGATAGAAATTTATTTGAAGAGAGACATATGAAGTGATTTTCTCAAGTTAGAGAATAGTCTTTTTGAAGGTGTCTAACTAGAACTTTTTTTTTAGCTAGGACCTTTTTTGAAGCTGACCTAAAAGAAAATTTCTCAAAGCTGAGCTAAGCAGTATGAAAATTTGCGAAACTGAGCTGAGCTTGCGTTTTCTTAATGTCAGCTGGTGTTATCCAAGCTGACCTTAGCTGGCTTTATGAAGAAAATCATTAGTCTGAGCTGAGTTCTCTCAAAATGATCGAGCTGAATGACTGAGCGGGCTAGCCCGACCGCTGACCCCTCAACACGTTGAGCTGGCTTTTTCCGAAAATTGCTGTGCTGAAAGTCCCAAATTAGGACTCGCAATGAATTAGCGGAATAATGAAGGACCTAATATAGAATATTTTTAGGTAATATTAAGAATTTCTTAATTTAACCAATTTTCCTTCAGACTCGGTCCTCAAAGTTCCGGCTTCGCACCATCAAAAAGACATCAATTAAAAGTTATCATCGATATTTTCCGGCAAAAAGTCAAAAATTTTGATATTTTTAAATTTTAAACTGAAAACCTGGCTTATTTTATCAAACAATGACGTTGGTTCAGGCTTTTTTGAAACGAAATCGAACTCCAATCGTGCTTTTTTACGGATTTTTTCGGATTCTGCCTGGATTTTGCAGACACGGACAAAAGTCTGGGGTTGTCCGGATTTCACGGACAAATACGGACAAATACGGATTTTGTCCGGATCATGACAAAAGTCCGGTCTAGGCTGTCCGTTTTTTCCTCAACCAATAGACTAAAAGTCAAGTCTGTCCGTACGGACAAGACCGGACAGACACGGATAAAATCCGTACACGGACATGTCCGTTTAGAACCCTGCTCCAGATGGACATTTCCCAGTTTGAATCTTCAAGCAGAAATTTGTCCTTATAGGTTTAGTCCTCGTTGATCTCTTGCCACAAAAAAGTCTCTCAATAAAAATTGTATGAAAAAACTTATAAACAAACATTTCGAGTATCTCTCAAAGCTGTCAATTTCTGCGTGATGATTGCAGGCGGAGCGGAAAAGAGATAACGCCGTAAGTGCAAATTACGTCTTTCCGGCGAAGGAAGAGAAGGTTATCATTTCGGATGGAAATTATGGCATCATTTCATCCAAGGCTCTTCTTTAGTTTCCAATCAAGAAATCAAAGCGGGAGCTAAGAGGTCATTGAATTCAGAATCGACCCGTGTTCTCAATCGCCCCCTGATGCGCTTGTCAAATTGCTTCTGTATTGTTCCACCCCGCTCGGAAAACCGCAATTGTTGATACTAACCCTGACAGGGCAAAAGTAAAAGCCACATCGTTTCAATTTTTATGAATACACCGGAACAACAGAACACTTTTGTGGTCTTCCGGCGGATTTCAATTCTGAATTCACTGGATTTTCATTTCAATCGACTATTTTTGTTTTAAAAAAGAAACAAAGAAAAATTATGAAATTAAGGGTATCTCCTTGAAATTCGTATTTGCATAAAATTGAGTGATGTCTTTATTGAATGGAAGTCAAAACTAAATTGACTTTTCATTTCAAATTCAATTTCCCCCTGTTGCGGCCCATCATTACCAGAAAGACGCCGTTTTCTTATTTATAAGGCTTTATTATTCTGCTACTTGGAGCGTGGTTTATTAAATTTTGAAAACTCATAAAGGTTATGCGGTCGGGGCCCTAAGACTTTATGAAAATGAAATTGTCACGCGCAAATAAGGGGAGCTCATCAATTCGGATAGATGGCAAAGGGGAACATGCAGCTTCGGCCGCGGGCGTATTGCGATTTCGTGGCGAATTACGGCGTTCGCCTTTGACGTGTAAGCCCTCTTGAATAAACTAGAATTTTGGTGTGGTGGCTTTTCGTACCTCTAATCTCCAAATTTTGGCCCTACGAAAGTCTTATCACCAGGTTGCCCGCGTAAAACTAACAATCGCGTTAAAAATGAATGCTCTGAAAACAAAAGCCCTCAAATTATAGATTTTTGAATATCGAAGAAAAGGGCTATAAGCGATTTCGGGCGTTATCAATTCTCAGACCGCAAAAGCCAAAATATTCAAGATAGAATAAATTTTCACGCCTTGCCAAGAAGCGGGTTAGTCGTATTTTTCTTGTCTATCTGAAGTAGCTTTTTTTATGATTCATCATCTGATTTAAAAGGCTTTTAAAACCGAAATCTCTTTAGCCCCCGAATTTCGCACAAAGCAGATCATAACTCGCGGATGTTTGGAATTTTAATTCGATTCGTCGCTGCGTTGTTCGTTGTTTATCATTTCGTCTTCCTGCCAAAAAATGCAAGAACTGCTTTGCTACATTACTCCCAGACACGATAAGAAACACATTTGAATATCAGCGTCAACAGGGCGACGCGAGAAACCTTCAACGCGTCGGTTTAACCTTACAATTTGCTCTGGAAAAGTAATAGCGGCGTCAAACTGTCGAGTTTGTGTCGTCTAAATATATCCATTTTCGACATGTTTGCTGAAATTAATATGCCGCTGAGACCATTCTTATAAATACACAAAGGAACAATTTAATCCTTTATTGAATATTATGTACATAAGAAGAGTGTCCAGTGGATTTTATTTAACGATATGATATCGTCGATATCCTTTTCGATCATCAAAGAAAAGTTTAAGTAAAAAGCCGCGTAGCGGCTTTTTTAAACACGAAGCCGCAAAGCGGCTTCGCCAGGAGTTTAATAAAAGGAGCCTGACTCAGGTTTTCTACTCAGATTGCCGATCTCAGCTTAAATGGTTCGAAAGTGTTGAATTCATCATAATTCCATCCTCATTTTGGATGTCATGCATCGCACTAATTCGCCTCGTCCGGTCGTAAATGAGCTGAAACGCAAAGAAGATCAGGGCGGCGCAAAATGGGCCATTTGGCCCCCTTAGAAGCCGACCTCGCGCCAAAGAGATTGATCGAGTGCTGGGCGGAAAAGCCGCTTTCTTTTAATTTCAAATCGAAGCGAACCACTTTTTGCACACGTCCTGGGCACTGGGGAGCTACCGTACATAAAAAAGGGTGGTACGGTTTACTTGTTTATAAGAAGTGGTGTTCTTTGTCAAAACCGTCGATTTGTGTGAAGGGAAGTTAGGACTTTTTGGACATTTGCACTTGAAAATTCTTAAAAAAAGATCAAGAAAGACTTTTCATTTGAAAAAGTAGCTCAAATACAGCAAATTAACTGTTTGAAAATCGTCGAAGTATCAAAAAATCAAAATTCAATTCAAAAAATTCTAGTTTTTCTTTGAAAATCTTCAATGACTAGTCAATTGGTCGCAATCCTTAGTTTAATTTTGATGAAAATCAAGACTCAAATTAATCCGATTTTTGTTTCGAATAAGTTCGCGCCGTTCAAATCTTATCGACCCGTTCCTTGTTTCAACATGTCCCTACATTTCTCACGTGATGTCTGAGCACTTGACAATCGATGAATTATAAATGCTTCCTCAATAATAATATATTTTCATGCTTATTCGACGCGAAACTGCGGCGTTTTGATTCGATTTGAAACGGCTCGGCGGACTTGGACAAGGGCTTTCCGACAGATAAATAAATCATCATCGTCTGAAAAATGAGCGAGTTTCCGGAGGATTGGAGTTTGACGAGTTTGTTCCGACTTGCTGAGTCGGAAACAATCTTCAATTGAATGCGGTTAATTTACGATTTCC